TTATAATAATACTCTATAAAGTTAATTACTTACTAAAGTAGAATATTCTTTAAAGCTCTCTAGAATAAGTATTTCTTTCTTATAAGATATCTATTACAAATAGAGACGCGGCGCGCTACTAAGTAAGTGCTTAGTACTAAGAGATTATAAGTAGACTAACTACTAGGGTGATACTAAGTAAGTAATTAGTATACTTACTATACTTAGTAACCAAGTATACTAAGTAGACTAAGTAAGATATAATAATACCTACTTAAAACTATAGTATGTAGATAGTACTATTCCTATTTCTTGGAATACTTTACTTAATATAAGATTTTTATACTTTTGTAATAAATATAATTATTAGCTTATAATAATAATTTAATGCCATTATATCTTATACTATTTTTTTGTTACTTAATTAGAATTATATTATACTCTAGTAGCTTAATTTTGTTATCTAAAGAGAGCACCTATTATACTCTAAGTACTATTTTTAAAGAAATACTTAAGATTGATATATTAATATATCTACTATAGAATCTATTACTAGATAATAAAGAAACTAGATCTTAAAAGCCTCTTCTAAGAATAAATTTATTAAGATCAAGATACTAAATAAATATTATAGAGCTAGAAAAGAATTAAAACTATTTTTGCTTTAGTACAATCTATATATCTAGTAGAAATAAGTTCAGTTCTAGACTAAAAATAGAGTTATATTTATAATTACCTACTTTAGAAATAGAGTATTTAAGTAGCTTTTACTATATCTTAAGAGTTTCTTACAGAGCTTAGACTTAAACTAAAGGCCTAAAATAAGAGCTATATTTATAAATATAACATCCTTTAAAAAAAATTTTACTAAAAATTTAAAAATATTAATATAAAATATGTTTTAAACAGAGAACTTACAAGTCTAGTATAAAAAGACTCTATAGTAATCTATACTATCTAGTTCTAGCTAATAGTAGTAAACACTAGTTAAAGTAATACTATTCTAACTATATAATACTACTAAGAATTAAAAGAGAGTATTAGAAATAACTTATTATCAAAAAAAATAGTCTACTAAACTATAGTCTATCATTAATACCTCTATTAGAATTAATAATTATCTATTTAAATAATATTTTAAGAAAGTTAAAAAGACTATACTAGTTATAGTATAGTAGTATAGAAGGTTTATTATATAGAAGTTAGTACAAGCTATATATATAGAGCTTTAAGGGTTTTTAGATAGCTAGTTACTAGTTACATTATAGTATTAAGTAGTACTATACTTATTTTATATACTATCTAGCCTTACACAATCTTTTACTATAGTTCTATTACTATTTTAAAAGTTCTATCTTAATACCTTATCTCTATAAATATATATAATCTACTTATCTAAGTTTATACTTAAACTCTTTACCTATAATAATAGTGTTTATAGTTTATATGTAAAGTCTATAGTTTAAGTCTATCTTAGAACTAACTTTCTAAGAATATATTATATATACTTATAGTAGCCTATATTATATTCGTTACTTCTTTCTTTCTATTATAAAAGATCTATAGTTTATATCTAGCTTAGAGGGTACTTTTTAAGAACTCTAGAAATTATTTTAGTATAAAACAAGTATACTTTATCTCGTATAATATAGCTTTTAACTTTTATCTAGCGCCCTTATAATAGCTCTCTACTTGCTAGAACTTTGAGAAGAGCTTGTAAAATCTATTAGCGTTATTCCCGAAGGGGAGTCTATTAAATAGATATTGAGTCGTCTTAGACAACGCGTCGTTAGCACGAAGCCCGCCGTGATGTAGAGGTGTGCTGTCTCAGGGAAGTGTCGAACAATCGGCTTGTAGTATGCATCCTCGCTTTCGGTTAACGGCGTCTCGCCTTCGTCGATTGACGCTTGAAAGGAACTACTTGGAGCCCCCGTTCTCGCCTTTGAGGAAGTAAAAAGACAAATGATTTTGAGACTATATTTAGAAAAGGTGTGGACACTCGTGCGGGCGAAGGCTGTGTAGTCACAATCATGCACCTCCTACTTATACGCCCGGACTGCACAGCCCCCTAAGAAAGCCCGACCGTCCTCAGCCCACGCTCCGTTGGGTAAAGCCCACCTAATTCAGCGGCTTCGTGTTCCCAGCGGCTATATGAGCACTTGAAGCCTACTTCATGGCATCAATTGAGATTGGATGCAGCCCAGCACTGCCCAGGTCACACGCGCCAGCATCGGACTAAAGAGGCTCTGCAGAACCCTTGTCCACACACTATGAAGCTCCGTCGTCCAGCAGTGGAGCCGGCACAATTGAAGATTATCTGAGACCGGACGGAATTCATCGTAGTGATACATTATCAATGGGGTGGCCCCTGAATCAGAGGAGTTACAGGCCCGGCCTGTGAACTGAATCACCACTAAGCACATTCCGGGAGCGATCATTAACTGATACAGAGACTCTAAAAGCAAGGCTGCATGGGATGTGCCCCGGTTCGAGAAGCGAAATTTATCGAAGTAGACGGCTGTGAAGGTGATGACCTCTACACTCCACCTTGTGTTCGTGTTTTCTGTAGGAGCTTAACAAAAGTTGTGGAAAGTGGACGAGAGTATACTTGGTGAGAATTTCTTGAATAAGCGCATTCGTTGGTTCAGAACGTGAGACCTATGAGAACCCGCATCAATTGAACTTTCTAACTCTGCCTTCTAGACTCAGACAACAGGGGTGAACTACTTTGAGATATAGTCAGTGCTAGCAATCCGCACTGAGAAGTGTACCTGCGGAGCTCTGCCGGCGCATCACGATAGGCAACAAAGTAGACGTAAAGCGCTTGTGATATAGTTGAGACTGAGATAAGAAGTGCAACGATACCGACGATGCTACAAGTGACGGACAGCAGACTTTCGTGTTTTATTGATAGGAATGTACTGTAACGCCGAACAGAAAAATCCATAGAGACAATTATGACCACAGCATCTACCCGTTAAGCTTCTATGTCTTCGGTAGTCTTCGCATATATACCACACTGCCACTGTGCACAGCCTTGTGCTACGACGCGCTCATCCTGCCGGTTGATCCTACTAGATAGATGTAGAACCCCTGAAGCGGATCATCTGTAGGGCCGTGCGTGCTTCAATGGAGTTTGCGCCTCCAGCCACCATGATCACAATGCACGAGCACAGCACCACTCATGGATCCGTATACAAGCACACGCGAAGAGTTTACTAGCGAGCTCCTATCCCGCCCGGTTCCATCGACCGCAGCACCGGCATGGAGGGAACTCGTCGAGACTCTCAAGCCCTCTTGAGAAGCTCGCGCACCATCCCGCAATGTCACCCAACCTACACCGGACTTATATGACTCCGGCCGCTTCGAAGAACAGAATTTACTTCATGTGGGACTTCGTTGGCCGTACAATTGTAATTATGCGATAAGTCCGCAAGACGCGAGGCTCCGGACGACAATGTCTTACTCGCCGATAGGGTATTCTCTACACCATCAACCCTGCATTGCGGGGCCACGCCGCTGGACGGGAGAGTTGGAATGATGCGCAAGGTCGTGCAGTCTATGCGAGCATGCTAATAACCGACGCGGTGCCTGGTATGCTGAACCAGATGATGGAGACGACGAATCCGGACCAGAGAGGACGGCATCCGGAGTTTGGGGACGACATTATTGCGATCGCAAGGCGATTGGGGAAATAGGTGAACCAATTGGCGAACCTTCAAATGTAAAGCATGGACTTTACGATTTTCTACGGAGTGCTACAAGCGTTGCCCTATGTGTCCTGAAGATTATGTGGAGAAGCCAAGCGTAACCTTGGAAGAAGTTTGGTAATTTGCATTAAGATCTGACCTCGGAAGTCATCTGTAATTGAAACGACTAGAATTTTCGGGACGATAGCTCAGCCGTGCTTTTACTATCCCTTCTTCTCCATCTTCTCGAACAAACTGTCGAGTGTATTTTTAACGCTCTGTTAAATCTGGATAGATATACATTTGCAAGGGTCATTGTCGGTGTCGCTTGCCCGATAAACTCGGCTTAAGACTACTCTTGCAGCATCAACTGCGCTAGACATCCGAGTTCCCCATAGAAGCTCTTACGGCGTTATGTGAGCTTCATGGTAGCCCATCTTAAGCAGGAAATTGCTTCCTCAGGGGTGGATCCACCCGCTCATGCTGCAGGCAAGGTCCCCTACATGTAAGCGTGTCCAAGACGATACCGCTGTCCTTTCCGTAGAAGGGTCCCAATGGTGCCCAATCACTTCGCAGGCAGAATCATTGCGTTGCTAACGGCTTATGCAGCTTGATGGTCACTAGTCCATCTGCTTCGCTCTTCGAAGGAGAGATTCTGGACAAGGCAGTGCCGCCCTTGAATTAGATTTCGGATCCGCGGTAAATGTCACTGGGCCACTGGGCTGCAAACACGCCCAGACTGCCAGAGAGCGGATATCTTAGCGTTGGGCTGGGTAACACGGAATACTCTTACAACCACTTGCGCGGCATCCCCGGCATGATATCCAAGATTCGATAATCCAGGGAAGTCATAGGTGTCAGCAAACGTCCCCAAGCTCTAGAAAACTCTTACCAATGGACTAGGGAATGGCAGGAGATCGACCCAGGCTAGCGCGATTTAGCATAATCACCAGGGTGTGGAGAGCCGGCACTGCAGGCTCTGTCGAAAGGTCGTCGTTGAGCAGACCTTAGACTTGTTCTTCAAGTTGTCTTCAGGGTTGGCATCTGCCAATTATCCCTCCCGCTAGCAAGCATGGATCAAAGATCAGAAGTTTTCAGGAATGCGCATGCATTTGCCAGAAGAGGAAGAGCGTTCAAAAGTCCAATTGGGCGAGCTAGACCATAGAGTTTTACGCAAAGCTCAAGCAATTCTATTGGTAGCGACTGTATTGAATGTTCCTATGTTGAATAGGATCTCGCCGTATCATACATAAATTGGTAAAGACAGGCTGAGGCCACTCTAGGTCGCCTCCTAAGATAGTCCAAGAAGATAGGCTGAGGCATTCTAAACCCCTACAAGATTGGGACGCAAACGTTTCCGATATTGACGAGACCAGACTGAAGGCAACATCGTCAACCGCTTGAAACATAAGTGGAGGGTACTTAGAATATACCTGGTTGCCGGACGAGCAGCAAGCCACCCTCTGGGTGCACTGCTGGTTGAGTGCGCTGATCACTTCGTGTGCGAGCGGGATTAGCCATATTCCGACGCAAGATGCCGTGTCGGGCGACTCACCATTGATGTCGACACATTGGAGGCCGACAATAACGGGGATACCGTTCCGGACCCGCTGTGTCTGGAGTTGCTGGCAGCACTTCAGTCTCTGGTCGTTGCCGCAGACGTTCTGCTGGGAGCCCGTCTGCTGTGGCTCTGGCTCGGCAGCGGGAGCGGCAGAGGCGGCAACTGCGACGGTCAGGAGAGTGAGGATATTCTTCATCAACATGGTGATTGATTGGGGGTGCTAGACTTCTCGGAGAAGCTTGAAAGATGTAGATGAAGCAGGTCGAGGTTATGCTCTGAAGTGCTGATGCTGTAGATCGATAATAGACTCTCGAGGCAGATGGGGAGGCGCTTCTTATACGCATCCGCCACCCATAAAAGAGGAGAGAAGATCCCGTCACCGGCAATTGAATATGACATCAAGCAATCTCTTCCGGCGCCGCCTACGTTATCAAGATTGTCGGCTGTCGCAGCTAAAGTGCGTCGTGCAGGGAGCGCAGGCTGAAGCTGGTACAAAGCTTGCAAGAAATCCTACCACTCCAGGGCCTATGCGACCAGTCTGATCCTCAGATCCAGCAAAGAGACACAAGCCGCGTGGGAATAACCTTGTGAGGCTTGTGATCGTTTGCTCATACCCTCGTGCCCGCACCCCAGATATGGCAGCAACAACCGCGAGCCAAAGTCTGGCAGCAATGACCACGACGGGCCAACCTCTAGCACCTGCGAGCGCGATGCGCCTAGATCTGGCAGCATTGAACACGAGGAGCCCGATACCAAGGAAGCGAATTAAGGGATTCCACGTCCAATCCGCAGATTGTCCTGGAGGGCTAGTCGGCGTTCTCGATGCACACTGGTTGATTATGGTCTTTTTCCCGCTGCAACTACTATTGAAAGTGGATCGTCTCCAGAAATTTGCGGATGGCATGGCCGGTCGGTATCGAGTTACTTCCAAGCTCCTTGCAGGTATGCGTGGTCTTCGGCGTGAGCCTGAGCCTGAGTACAATACAACAATCCAGGTCGGTACCCTGTGCTCGCCCTCTGTACGTGCTTGGAACTTCCGAGTTCTAGGTACTTTCCATGTTGTTTCACTGCTCTTCCTTACAATCTATATGTTTCCCGCTGTCTCGGATGTGTGACTCCAGGACAAGGACTGGTGTGATATTCAAGACCGATGGATCGTCGTTTGGCCAACGTGTATCACGATAGAATCACAGGATACAGAGCAGGGTATAGAAAACGGCCCTTCTACCGTTGCAGACAGATGTCCGTCTCAGGGGGATCAGACGAGTTGCCATCAGTCTACACGAGCAGTAAGTCAGCTACGAGCAAGGGAGAAACCCTCTTGAGACTAGTGTTGATGTCAGAAGGTTGAACCTACCTGCAGAGCGTGACTATGACGTCGACATGTGCTCGCACCCAGGAGATACAGGCGTTGGAGAAGCACTCATTCGGTAGCTAACGTTCCTGTACCTGCCGCTCGGTGCGGGGAGATCCATGCCGCGCCTAGCGGCTCGCGGCGATCAACCTTTCAATCGGTGTGGAGCAGGTCAGCCAGAGTAGGACCAAGAAAGAACCGTGGCGGTTCATCTAAATGAGGGTAGGCTTGACAAGGCAGGGAAGCAGGCCCTGGCACAACGAGACGCGTGGCTCCGTACAGCAGATTTCTGCACCCTACTCTCCATCTGCGGGGATGTATCGCTGCTCCAACGGCAGGGCTTAAGTTGGAGGCGCTTCGCCTTCCGAACCTCAGTGGCACTGAAACTATCCCCGTCCAGCCGCTTTGAGGTGACGAGAATGTCACGCGGGTGATCGGAATATCTGCCCTCCGACCGCAGGGAGCTGCACCTGGCATTCGCTCCTGCGTCGCCCTGGTTGAGACGTTGTCTCTCCTAAGCCGGACCGACGCGACAACGCAGCAAGGAGCAATCCATCACAAACCTGAACATGGAGGAAAAATAATGTTCTGAGGTCTCCACACCTTGCTAAAGGCCTTTGCAATTAATATCTCACATTACATATCTTGAGGCAGTTGTTCTTTATCTTTCACCAATATTTAGTGATGTTAAACGCTGAGTTGGCTATGCAGTTCTTCTTATGATCTCCACGAAGAGCCTGAGAGGATGGATGAATTTCGCGAACGAAACTGGCCTACATTTTGCAACCGATGTAAGCTCGTAGGCCCTGCGCGTGCTCTTCCCCACGGGCCCAGTAGCGCGCCCCACAGAAACCTCGGAGAACATTCTAGCCCTCAAACCGTCGCCTAGTTTTACCGCGGAGCCTTATGTCTTTTCACAAACACCATCCATCGCAGGAAATCTGAGTGGTGTATTCATCATTCGTATCAACATGAAAGCAGTAGAAGCTCAAGCATCAAAGCCCAAGCAGTAAGGCCCAGCAGACTCGCCAGATCCGAGCCGAGAAATGGCCACCGAATGATGTCTGAAAACCCTCCAGCCATAAACCGCCGAACCCGATACCGGGGTCCGGATTCCCTCAAGCCGATGTTCGTAGAACTCAAGCCTGAAATTCCAAATAGGTTCGCCAGATTCGAGCAGAGAAAGACCCAAGGAAAGACCCAAGAAAGAATCCAAGAGAGACCCCAAGATGAATTCCGAAAACCACCAAACCAATAAACCGTTAAACTCAACAGCAACCTCAATCCCAAGAGCAGCTGAACTCTGCAGCATCAACAGCTTCAATGTAAGAAATCTTGTTCTTGCTCGCTGAGCGAGAAGGGGTCTAGAGGCTGAGATCCTCGCACATCACGACCAGACATGCCTGATGAAAGGCTCTCATTCCCGTCAATGGTGAGGTGTGGACTGGTTTGCACCACCAGGAGCCTGAGCGGACAGATTCTCGACGGCGGAAGGCTGAGCAGCGGAAGAGGCTTGGGCTACCGGGGCTGCAGCGGGATGTTGATCAATGGACTGATCTCCACTAGCAGGAGGCTGAGTAGTAGATGAAGGTTGAGCCTTCGGAGCTGCAGCGTGAGGTTGAGCCGCGTTCGGATCTGGAACTACGGTAGGCTGGTTTGCGGACTGATCTTGCATTAGAGCTCTTCTAATTGCCTAAATTTTCGCATTAACAAGATCTAGCGCCTATTGGAAATTGTTGTGTTGAGTATTATCCCATCCGACGTCCAGTTTCAGGCTCTTGAGGTTCCTAGGAACGAACCCATTTGGCGCTGTTTTTCTAGGCCTTATATCTGCGTTGGCCCAAACTTCTTCTTGTTAGCGGTGTTGTATCTAAGTCTCTGCTACAGTCTTACCCAGGTTTCGAACTTGCTCCCAGACATCACGGTCGTTCAACCTTTGACGCTTCGGCCCTTGCCTAGCAGGTTATCCAAGATCTTAGAGAGTTGCTGGCAGCTCTCGTCTTTATCATCGATAAACTTCTCGATCTCAGTGCGCAACGCCTGTAGATTAGCCAAGCTCCCCGCATCGGCCGTGCTGAATCTTATCGGTGAGGTTGTGCGAGACTGAAGGGGCTACGAAGCGCAATGTGGCCAACGCGAAGCGTGCCGTAATCCTTCAAGAGAGGCCTGTAGAAGATCTCGATAGGCTATGGGTCCAACGTAAAGCGCGCCGTTAGCTTTCGAGTGAATGTTTGTCGACTATCTTCACGGGCTAGCTGGACTTCGTTCGCAATGGGCAAATACAGAGCGCGCCGAGATAGAACTATTAAGGGAATGAAAGAGTGAGGCCAGAAGGATGGAAAGTTAAGGAGGGCAGGGGGGCTGAAAAGCCTCAAGGAGGAGCGGATCACGTGCCATAATTGAACGGAAAGGAGGTATTGAAGTGAATAACATGCGTCACCTGACGTCTAGCTTTGACACCACAGCTCCCTCTATCCTTCTAGCCCCCTTCATTCATCACTTCGCGGAACGACAGATGACGCGAAGGATAGGGAAACTGCGTTGTTGCCCCTGCAACAGCTTGATTGCATTTCATGAATAAGGAGTAGCATAAGTTTGCACATCATAGCTTGGAGGAGGAAAGGGAATCTTAGAGATTTTCGAGTGAATCGCAGCGGTTAATGACGATATCAAGCGGACATCTGTGCCTAACGTCTAGAAACTACAGCGCTGTAACCAGAACGGTGAGTCAAACCAATCATTGCGGCTACGCAGTCTCACTCATGCTGCTCACATGTCGTCCGCTTCTTTGACGTGTGTGGGGCCATGATTTTCCATCCCTCACTCCCGTTCCAGCACCCTCAACTCCCCGTCGGCGAGGTCATAAATGACGCCATAAAGCTTGAGATCCCGCTCTTCCATGGCTTTGATGACTGTCTTGTTCTGGCGCAGGGTCTCAAGAGACCGCTGAACATTGAGGCCCGCCAACCGGGCAGCTCTCTCATCATCCGACGCAAGCTGGTCAAGCTCCTCCTGATGCTTCTTGCGCATCTCCCTGACGGGCGCGAGCCAAGTATTGAGAGTCTCCCCAAGATCCTCGTCGCCCAAGGAAGCCGCAGCACCTCCGCATTTAGTGTGCCCGCATACCACAATCCCATTGACCTTCAGGACGCCGACGGAGTAGTCGAGGACGCTGTTTGCGCTGAGGTCGTTGGGAGAAACGACGTTGGCGATGTTGCGGTGGACGAAGATGTCGCCGGGCTTGCAGTCGCAGACGGTGGTTTCGGGCACCCGGCTGTCAGCGCAGCCGATCCATAGGAGCTCGGGTTTCTGTCCGGCTGCGAGGGTCTTGAAGAAGTCGGGTTGCTGCTCGCATGTTCGCGCGCGGTAGGATTGGGAGCCGGTTAGGACGCGGTCAAAGAGGGCTGTTTGCACAGAGTTGTCAGCATCATATCGCCGGTGGAGACTTGCCGAGGGCGGGTGAAGCTGAACTCGTACTTGTCGCTTTTTGGGACATGGTGCGGGAATGAATGCGGACAGGAGAAATGGTAGGTATTCTCGACAACGGAAAGCAACGAGATAGACGCATCGAAGGGCGATGAGGGCAGAATCATCAAACTCGTGTACCTACAGGTGTTTCCCATCTCGATGGTTTATCGGGAAGCCTAAGTCGCTGCCGTTACCACGGACCGTCTTATGAAGCCGCCGAGACCGCTTGGCAGCTCAGCTAGCAATTTCCAGTCGCCTCTTGATAGATGAGCAAACAATGCCGTCGAACAATGCCGCCCAGAAGCAATGAAGAATACGGTTGTTCTGCAAAAAGGTAGTGAAGAGTTGTAGCAGAGAGTCGGGGCTCAGCAGCTACTTATCTGACGGCAGCTCCGACGCTCGCACAAGCAGCTGAGCAGCTGAGCCAAGGGGCCCACCATGGTTCTGTTGTTGGGTCACTATCCAAAAGCGTTCCGTTGCGCCACGGAAAAGCAATACTGCGCCCTGTTCGAAGACTCATCACCTGCGTAGCAGAATCACACTCCAGGTTCATCCATGGAGAAGGGTTGAGGTGCAGGGCTGATCCATCTTTGACATCCCGTGCTTCCTCACCTCAGGCACTTTGACCGGAGCAGTCACAGCTCCTACTTCGGGAATTCCCTCTAGTGCCAGCTACTTCGTTTGTATCCTTGCCGCAATCTCATTTATATCCTTGCTGCAATTTCAGTACTTGAGTTTTCCATGATGGCTGTCCAGAGTGTCGCATCACGTGCCTGCCTGCCCTCCGCCGTGTGAGCCAAAAGTCAATACAATGTATGACATCTTAGGATACGCCGCGTCTCGTTCTTGTCTAGTCCCGCTCCTTTTGCCACTTCAATATCCTGCCCTCTCCTTAGGCAGATAAGGCTCTTCCAAATACTTGACCTCCTCCCCCGTAAGTTTCACCTTGATGTTCTCCACACTTTCCTCAATTCGCTCCTTACTCGACAGCCCAATGATTGGATTACACCCCTTATGCAGACTCCATGCCGTCGCAACAGCCGCCATACTAACCCCCTTCTTCTTCGCCACCTCCTCCGTGCGGTCGATGATCGCCTTGTCCACCTCGTTCTCCCGGCTGCGGATCAGGTTGTGCAGAAACTTGTCCGTCTTCTCGCGCTTGGTGTCGCGGGAGTTGTAGGGGCGGGTCAGGGCGCCCCGGGCGACGGGGGACCAGGGGATCACGCCCACGCCGGTGTCGAAGCAGTAGGGGAGCATTTCGCGCTCTTCTTCGCGGTAGAGGAGGTTGTGGTAGTTTTGCATGCTGCAAGCCATTAAGCGGGTTGTTCATCGGAGATGAGGAAACAGGGAGAAGGGACGAGGGTACCTGATGAACTTGTGCCAGCCGTGCTTCTCGGCGATGTTCTGAAGTGTCTGGAATTCCCATGTTGCCATCTTATCGCCGACTGGTCAGCCTTCGTTCGGCCGGTTTAGGAGCAGTTCAGCAGGTAGAACATACGCTTGATGCGCCGATGTAGCGCACCCACCCCTTCTCCACCACATCGTTGAGTGCCCGCATGATCTCCTCCCTCGGTGTGCCGCGATCTAATCTGTGGATCTGAAGGACGTCGATGTATGTGCCCAGCCTCTTCACACTCGCTTCAACAGCGTCAAGAATGTGCTTGCGGCTCAATCCAACCTGGTTGACCATGTCGCCGTCGTTTGTGGATACCGCGGAGATGGGCATGCCGGGGGATTTGGGGTTGACACCGAAGTAGCATTTGGAGAGAATGACCACACGAGAGCGCGGAATGGAGTATTGCGTGAGAGCTTTCCCGATGATCTCTTCGCTGCGTCCGTGGGAGTAGATATCCGCCTGATGGGAGTATTAGAGATGTTTCGACGACTGAAGTATTGGCCATACAGTATCCCACGTATTGATGCCGCAATCGTACGCATGTTTGAGGAGAGGAAGGGCTTCGTCTTCATTCAGGACCCATTCCTGCCATTCGCTCGAACCGAATGACATGGCCCCCAGGATAACCTTGGAGATCTTGAGGCCAGATTTGCCCAAACTACTCCATCGTTAGCCAGCTCCATGTATGCTCATTAATTGAAGATCCCTCCAAAGCCGAAGCCGAAGCCGAAGCTTAGAAGGCTGTGGGTGAGGCTGCATACTTAGTATATTCCATCTTCGATTTCTCGGCCATCTTTGCTGTAGTCGTGGTGTGACTGATTGTCCTGAATATCCAAGGTCGAAGGTCTTGAGAAACTTGAGGGAGGACCTCCTTCTATCAATCAATGATCTGAAGTTCAGGTAATCCGACGTTTGCGTATGATCTACCACAGCTCCACCTTCTTAACTCCGCTCTAACTCCAGTGCGTCACATCCTCGCTCCAGAAGTTGTGAGGCGGCAGTGTGAACCGGTAGTTGGTGCAGACAGGTCGTGGAAGGAGGTCAGCATCCGGTGGACTCGACTGATGGGACTTTGTTCGCAGGATCTATTGAGCCCCGAGGGGTTGCCTGGATAGTGAAATGACAATCAAAGACGCTGTTGCGCGAGGGGTTATCGATGCATTTGGCGGGGAGTTTGATTAGAGAGACTTATGTCCAAGACGCTCCGAGGGTCACAACGCATACATAAACAAAAGGTATCGAGATGTAAATCTCAGCCCGTAGGCCGCTTCATTGGTCATAGATATGAAGCATCGCTATGCGACTCCGGCCCTGCCTGCCTTCCCATTCCAGAACTCCAAGCTAAGTGATCGTCTGCCAACCGCGCCGCCTACTGACCACCACGAAGACGCAGCACCAAGTGCAGCGTGGACTCCTTTTGGATGTTATAGTCGGAAAGAGTCCTGCCATCCTCCAACTGCTTCCCCGCGAAAATGAGACGCTGCTGGTCCGGCGGAATGCCTTCCTTGTCCTGGATCTTCGACTTCACGTTGTCGATGGTATCCGATGACTCCACCTCCAGCGTGATCGTCTTCCCCGTCAGCGTCTTGACGAAAATCTGCATGCCACCACGCAGGCGCAACACCAAGTGCAATGTCGACTCCTTTTGGATGTTGTAGTCCGAGAGCGTCCGGCCATCCTCTAGCTGCTTGCCGGCGAAGATGAGACGCTGCTGATCTGGGGGAATGCCTTCCTTGTCCTGAATCTTCGACTTCACATTGTCGATCGTGTCTGACGATTCAACTTCCAGTGTAATTGTCTTGCCAGTGAGGGTCTTGACGAAGATTTGCATGCCGCCACGGAGACGAAGGACGAGATGCAGGGTCGATTCCTTCTGGATGTTGTAGTCGGATAGCGTGCGACCATCCTCGAGCTGCTTGCCAGCGAAGATCAGGCGTTGCTGGTCCGGAGGAATACCTTCCTTGTCCTGGATCTTGCTCTTGACATTGTCGATCGTGTCGGACGACTCGACCTCAAGGGTAATGGTCTTGCCAGTCACTGCGCCAAACAGTCAGCACGTTGCGCGTGACATAATGATGACATCTGAGAGTACATACGAGTCTTCACGAAAATCTGCATGCCGCCACGGAGCCGGAGAACGAGATGGAGCGTGGACTCTTTCTGGATGTTATAGTCGGACAAGGTGCGCCCGTCCTCGAGCTGCTTGCCGGCAAAGATCAAGCGCTGCTGGTCTGGCGGGATGCCCTCCTTGTCCTGGATCTTGCTCTTGACATTGTCGATGGTGTCGGAGGATTCAACCTCGAGAGTGATGGTCTTTCCGGTGACTGCGACCTGTCAGTGAGCTGCGAGAGGCTGATGTGGCAAGCGCGGGTACTTACGAGTCTTGACGAAGATCTGCATGGTGAGTGAGTGTGCTGGTAGATGGATATGTGTTTTGGTTGTGATGGGGTGTGGATGGCTGAGGTTGGTTGAGTTGCGAGGTGGTGGTTGTTCGATGTGTGGAAGATGGGGGATGTTTGGTTTGAGAAGGAGGTCTTAAGTAGGCAGCATGGAGGCTGGGGCAAGAAGGTGAATGCGGCGGTGACGGATGAGTAATGCTTGTGACGATGGGCGCTAGCAGGGGTCAGAATGCCCTGGAAGCTTCCTTGTCCCGCCCGCTCGCCTTCACGCCCTTTTGGAGCTGCGCCTGGGCATTGAACGGCTCGGATAGGTGTCTCAGCAAGAGCCTCTCGGTGAGCACTTCAACGTGCCCACGGAAGGCTCGAACGGCCACACCTCAGATCTGTTCGTTCTGTGAGCAACCGTGAGCAGCTCGCCGACTCCTGGCAACTCCGCCATAACGCGGGGAAGGCCGTTATCAAAGCGTTATCTCCCGGCGCTATCCGCCTTCGGGCGACATGAGCATGTGACGCGTCACTGGGGCGGGTACTGCGCAGTCGTGGCGGTGTTGAAGTCGTGGGCCATTTAACTAAGCATGCATCAATCAATCAACTACGACAGTCCATACTCGAAAGGCGCAAACAGGGCGTCAGAAGTCCCGTCACATTTCAGGAATGGACGGACTGCAGAAGAACCAAGGCTCGCGGGCTCGCCATCGCCTACCATGTTCTGCAGCTACGCAGATGTGATAGAATGCAGATAGCTTCTAAGGGCTGACCTGTACTGGCTGGTGTAACGCTCAAGGACTGGATCCTTCCGTGCGAGTTGGCGAGGAACCATATGGGCTCGCCCGCGTAGAAAGCACAAGTATACAGATTATGCCCCATGAAGCCTATATCCGTTCGCTGTCTGCCCTGGGATTCTCGAAAAACATCACCCAGCTCCCCTCCCACACCCATGCCTCCAGTTCCACCACTCTGGCCGCCCAGGCTGATACATTAGTAGTCCACAGCTCGCTGCTCCAGAGTTTTGCACACTCTTCATTTGCTGAGGCTGCAGAGCGTATGTCTTCAATATATTGAACGGCATCCTGGTTGACCATGAACGCACCGTCCATAGGGTACTCTTGAACCAGTTTTGAGACCATCCGGGCTAGAGGTGAGCTCGGTGACGCAGAGATTTGGGCGATGATGTAGGCCGCGCAGAGCCAAAGCATCCAAACCACATCTTCGACGTCGTTTTCACGCAACTCCGCCACATCGCAAGTTCCCAATCCTGACTCTACGCCAATGTTGAAGCATTCGGATAGTCGCTTGTCCTCGCTGCTATCGAGGATGGCAGAGGCGTCTTCTAAGCTCAGGATGATACCGCGCGCCAGAGACTCCTTAACTTCAGGGCGATGGTCTCGATCATGTAATACCAATGTTGGGGGCGGTGCCGCATGTTCCTGGTTGGGTGTGGGATCAAAAGAGACGAGCGACGTTCCTGGCCGAGAAGACGTGGGAGATGCAGTACGAAGCCCGAGGCTCAGAGAATGACCCGCTTGGCGAAACCCCTTTAATTTGCTTTCAAGCTGGTTGACAACGTCCGTCAAGATAGCAAGCTGACCGTTGCGGTACATGCTTGCATACCTCTGTCGGATATTATTGGGCTCTGCCAAGTTTCTGGAAGGTCCAGCGACAGCATCGCGTTTGATCTGTAGAGGTGCCAGGAGATGGCGTGTGGCTCCCACAACTTGCCGAGCAGTCGGACTGCATGCTGCGGTCTCCAGTGGCTGACCTCGTGTGTGTGCGACGATGAGAACAGAGATCATAAGCATATGAAGAGGAATGCCTCCTGTGCCTAGGATAGCGTCTCCATAGCCGCCGGAGTAATGGAAATGACACCGGAGGTAGAACGTCGATTCCGAGGTGGTCCAATCAGCTGATGGGAATTCGGAAGGATACAAAGACCGGAGCACTGCGCGCACAGCAGGCGGAGGCTTCGCTAGCCGGATGGCCACCTCGTCACATGGGTTATCCGGAATGCAGAAGCCATAGCCCATGAGTACTGCGTGAAGTTAGTCGTGGCGGCTCAGCGTCTATTATCTTGTATTCGTCGGACTCCGAACGGTCGGTCGGATGGATACCCTGCAAATGAGCACCAGTGAAACCCGGCATCCACTCCGCTCCTCATTCCTTCGTTGAAAGCCACACCCAGCGGATTGCAGATGTGCCGAGCTTGGATCAAGACCTTGGTCCCAATAACCCCGGAGACAAACTCTGTCAACGTCATGGAGCAGCACTTCGAATCCTTTTGCGTTTGTACAAGCCATGGTTTCAAGGTTTCTCCGAGACTCTTCCGAAGTTCACTTAAAGGCAATAATGATACCCCAATGTAGAAAAACCTTTTAAAGACTGGTCTGTAGCTTACGTGCAGTGGCTTTGGTCTTACCCGAAGATGCCTGCATCCAACGGAAGCGAAAGACGGCGTAGGGAGGCGGCAGCAGGCTATATGCGAAACGGATATGGGTAGCAATGATACAATGTAAAGAAGTCACCTACATTCCTCGTTTCCCTTTGGTCCGTAATTGTTGAAAACCTGATCGCCCATCGAGATGGGTTCAGCTATCCGGAGATCGAAGGAGCCCGCCTTGAAACCCCACACGGCTTTAGCTCCGACCTTGTGGTTGGCAATATCGAGCACAGGATACAGAAGCGGGAAGACCTCCTCGTACTCCGGTAGGGCTGCGTTTGACGCGAAACTACGGGATGTGAAGACGGTCGCGGCCCACAAGTAAAGCTCCAACGTGTAATCCCTGGCCTCTACATCCTGATCATGCAGGGCATGACAAGCAGCTTCCCACTCGCTTCTCCACTGAGCATGTCGGGACTGAGCAGCTGGCAGTAGGTTCGTCCCGAGGAGCCATTGCTGGTCCTCATCCGAGAAGAACAGCGGCGTGTTCAGCTTACTCTCTTTGGGTAGGCATCTGATGTAGGGTGCCCAAAAGGAATCGATCCCCATCAGACGCTGCTCGATGAGAGTAAAGTAGGATACTACGTGGACGGGCGCATACCCCACAAGCTTAGCCGCGACGCCGTCGATCAAAGGTGTGTCTGGAGAATCTCGGCAAGGCTTTACATTGAGATAGGATAAAGAGAGCGAAAAAGGGCACCTGCATATGGACACCTCTGCTCCATCGACTGGTCGGCGTGCACGGAGGTGGATACCGCTCCCGACGTCCTCAGAAACCTCTACGCTCTCGTCCAGATGGCCGCCGTTGCTCCTAAACCATTCGAGGAGGTGAGATATCTGAGTGGCAGACATAGCAGCGAGTGGACTGACTACGGCTTTCGAATATCATGCAAAACAAAGCTTGTTCGACAGGGTCCCAGAGTAGCTTTCTTCCCACTGTGCCGATTCTGCCTAAACCTGGGTATATCGTTGTGCCCTCTGCTGCTTTTGCATTTCCCCAGAAAGTCGGAATATCGGCGCCGAGACTCCGGATGGTGGAGGGCGACGCCACATTTGCTCTCCGTCTGTCTTCAGCTCGGCGACGACCTTCTAGCGCTGAGGACTGTTCTTTGCCCCAAGCGAGTAGTCGCAGTTCCGAGTGCTGCAGGATATCATGACTATGGCTGTTTTCTTTCATCGTTCGGAGCACTTGGCAGTATTCATGAGCAGGTCTGTGAGAGCATCACGTGGGTTACACAAACAGCGAGTCTTTGCTCTACAGTACGAGGGGGATCTCTGACCTCTTCTCATTCTAGACAACCCATATGCTCTTGGCAATTCTGCAACATGTGTTCCAATCTTACTGTACCTTCATGACATGGTTCGATTGCGCTTGGTGAGCCTCACGGTTCAATGACCTTCGACAAGACCGTCAGACTACACCTTTCCGGCAGCACGACGAATCAGGCTTGAACGGCCGTAAGTTACTGCAAGAGCGTCGGCGTTGTCGCATCTTTGACTCTTTCCGTCCTCTGCCAACCTCTTAACGGAACGAATTGAACTCCGGTGACCGAGACTCAGAAACCCCAATAGGCCTGAATCTATGACGGTAGTCCACCGCTTGTTCGATGCCCCGGGATGCCGACACAAAGAGTTTCCCTTCTCTTTCGGTCTAGGAACTTGAACAAAGAGTAAAAGCAGTCGACCTGCAGTCTTCTACACCTCATCCGATGATCCATGCCGTTCATCTGTGAGGTCGGTTTACAAATGTGGTCGCAGCGAAGCATTTCCTAGCGCTTCGCGAATCGACAGGGATCAGCTGCGGGCATCCTCAGTGCTTACGCCGGGAGCTGCACATCGACACCGCCCCCACCACCACGCTTCGTAAAGAGGGCGCCTCCCTCAGTGGGACGGCTCTTTGAGGGGCTTGGGCACGATTGAAGGGGAGACCAGTGCCGGAGGGGAAAGACCAAGGAGATGAGCATCCAAACTGCACAACATTCGCGACTGCCATCACAGCTGCTTGTCCCACCATCAGGATGTTCCTTTCGCTTTTGACAGCAGACGCCGCTGCCTCTCACGGCCATGAGTTCTCCTCTTCGCGGCCGTCGTCGCCCGACCGACGCTCTCCGATTCCTCGAGTGCTCACCCCTCTTAGCATACTCTCTTATGGAGCGCGAGCGAAAACACCCCCCTTGTCAGTCACTACCAGCGCATTGAACACCGAGTCTATCAAGCAGAACAACGACAGCATGAGTCAGCACCGGGCAATCTCGTTTGCGGAGCCCGAACCTCGAGAGTCTGACAGCACTTATACCGTTCAATCGAGACCGACTACCTCCAGCGGCGAAGTTCTGGACGACCAGATTCAGAATAAACGACTTCCGCGATCCAAAACGTGCTACTGTTTTGGACATCCTCCTTCGAACAAAGACATAACGCAAAAGTTGCACCTACAATCGAAACTGGTACTACAGTTGCAGCAGCTATACACCTCTCCAAGGCCGAAGCCTGCCTACGAGGTGTTCCCGTCCGCACTACTTGCCGTAAACCTCAAGAAAAAGTATGCCCAGGAGTTCAAAAGCAGGGACAAGCTAGGCATCGAGGATCTGGTGGTAGTTACGGCGGAAGACTACAAGACCGCCGGGAGTGACGAAGGCGACGACGACGAGGGCTGGGCGGCTCGCGAAGTGTTTGGTTGTATATGCGTGTCGAAGAAGGAGGAAGCAGGCACAAGGTCAAAGATCGACATCATCCTGGAAGACAATGTTGTCTGGGAGGCCAGGTCATTTCCAAGCGGCGCATACGAGTTTAAGATGACAGATTCGCACGGGCTGAATCACACAGCCCGCTGGCTCCCTCGAAAGTCCAAACCTGAACGCAGTTCTAAGGACGCTGGACGGACCCCTTCTGCCCCCGTCGAATCGAACAAGCGGTTTGCATTCAGTATTCTAGACCCTAGTTCGAGGCGTCACCCAATTGTCGCTACAATGGCGACCACTGGCATTGATATTTCGGACTGGTATATTATGCCGTCGCCCGCTTCGGCTACCACTTCTCCCACCTCCCCTGCACAGAGCCCATTGTCCGACGAGTCGGAGCCGGACCAAGACTTCAATACGGAAACAACAACCACCAGCGACCCTGTGGTCAAGACAACGGAAGATTCTCTGCGGAAGCTGATTATCGTCACTGGCATCTGGGTAGCCTTCTGTGAGAACTGGTCACCCACATTCCGTTACTCGCTCACTTCGCCAGCGTCCACAAATCAGTCATCGATGCGGAGATTGGCGAATCGGCCTTCGCCTGTCCCGCGCTCGGCTTCGATGCCGACAGGGTTTGGGAGTGCTAGTCGCCCCGCCACGCCCGATAGCACGATCACTCGGAGCAGTTTTGCTAAGATACTGCATTCTGCTGGTGCTATTGTTCACCGCTCCACAGCATCCGCCACCTCCATCCTGTCGACTTCCCCACCTCCGGCGCCAGGGGGCTCCGGAACCCGCTCGCAGCGCGCAAACACTGCAAGCACCGCGTCTTCGCTGCGTACATCGAGCCTTCCGGACCGTGTGACGTCAGCTCCTAGTCCCAAGAAGAAAGTATCGCAGGTCATAGAGGGCCAGAAAGATGGACCTGCGGACGAAGCGAACACGATGGAGATGGTGTTCCTCTCCGGCGAGGGCGCCACCGAGTCAGACTCAGACTCAGATGCAGAGGCCTCCACCACCACGGCCGAGGACTCGACATCACAGCACACTCCGGCTCGCGCGCCGAAAGCAGGGATTCCCATCACGGACAACATACGGGCGCTGGACGCTGCAGCCACCGACGAGCCTGTCCCGCAGCATGATGCTGCGATGGACTCGAGTCCCGAGACGGCGAGATGCTACCCCTGCCGTCGTAGGAAAGCCATGAGCGAAACTACGGCCGGCAATAATGCAGCTGCTGGACAGCGAGAGGCAGGATTTCGACGGCTGCTGGGGTTTTTCAGGCAGGGTGGCTGATCATTCTCTCGGCGTTTTATTGTTGCTTGGTTACGTGATACCCGGTGCTCTTGTTTGAGTAGCCACGACTATCTCTACGGTGGAACGTTTACGAATTAAAAGTGTCAGGATAGGGCCTAGACAGCTCAGTAATAATTAATGCATCATAATGCAAGCAACGTCGGCAAATTGACCAGGCTGTAAGAAACAAGCTTCACACTCAGGTTGTGATGCCGAGCCTCGAGAGCCCAAACTCTTCTTTTCAGAAAAACAAGTAGTGAGGAGATGTTCGAATTGCGTACCCGATGCAAGACATATTCGAGGTGAGCTAGTTCTAGGATGAAACGTTACGCTATGGCATGAAGGTAGCACCAGCGGCTCTGCGAGCGGCTGCTGGTCGCCAAAAATGGCCGCGCCGAGCGTTTACGGATAGGGCAGATGTCTTAGTGCCCCATTGGGGCGCGTCGCTCAAATGGTCTTAGAAGCGCTTGATATAGATGGGTTAAGAGATCAGTGCTTGTGTGCTTCCAGCGGCTCGGGGCCCAAGATACAATATCTGGTGCAAGGGTTCGGTAAGCAGTCGGGTGTTTTAGCTTTCACATTTCTAGCCTGTAACATGCAGCTGTCATGTGCTAGAGTCTCTGTATATGTTCCAGCTGTGCTTTGAGAGGACGGTTGGCCAGGATGTAGCTCTCACAGGCTCGGGGCAGTGCAGCGGTTAGAGGGAGAGTCGGGCACTGGTATGCTATGATATATCAGCACGTGGCTTGATGAAGTCCCAAATCTGGCCTTGTGACGATCAGACTGGCTGGCTGAGGCTCTTCCTGGGGCTCTTGGGTGCAAGAAATCAGTACGAGTCTTGCCCGAGTGACCGGTGACCGTTAGACGTGCAATGAGGCATTCTGCGTGAAGCATCGTCCATGGTTGCGTGACCAGGCCACACTGCACTGCCACGATGGAGACGCGTGCCAACACAGAAAGGTGAAGCGTCTACTCCGTAGAGCAGGCTCTTGATGCTGGGTGTAAATGCAACAAGGCCGGATGATTCGACACGGATTGAAGCCTGCTGCGTGTCTGAGACATGGAGAAGCTTGGCATTTTCTCGAAGCTTCAAGGGCTCAAGGGTTGCCCAAGTGCTCGCAGCGACTCCAACTCCTGCATGGTGCAGCGCCACTTCCGCCTCGGCTTTCCCTGTCCCGTTCAAGCGGCGTTTCCCCCTTGATCCCATGGATCTTTCAGTTCCTCCCGCTGCGCGAAAACGCGTCTTCGCATCGTCCTGCCCAGATGTCCCTTGTGCCATCCGTTGCCACACTCTATTCGCGCCCTGGCGAACACAGCGGCCCGACCTGCGTGTCGCTGGATCGTGGAGGCTGGCGATGAGTGGTTCGCGAAGGCTGGGAAGAACTCGCTGGCCACCAACACGCTTGATCGGGGGCTTGATCAGGCTTCATGATGGCCTGGGAGCATTCGTCACGCCGGTGGGACATGGCAAGTCATTGTAGTGTTGGACGACTTGTCATCCACCACTTTTTGCTGTCAGGTGTTGCTGCACGCTGTTCATATGATTCAGTCTGTTGACCGCCACCATCTCGGGCATCGTAGCTACTGCCAGCACATCAACATAACAACAAGAGTCATCCCCAGCTGATAGCTGCATGATTGCTCGCTGTGAAAGTCCCGCAGCGAACAGAACCCAAGGGCGTGCGAACACGACCTGTATCTCCGACGCACAAACCTCCTGGCTTCGAGGATTCTTTGTCACGGCCGCGCACTTGCAGACACCTTGCAGCGGCGGCATGCTCTAAAACGAACGGCTACCTAGCGATCTCGAAACACGCATCCCTGCCCATAGCGCGATACACGGTTGCGCGGAGTCTAGGTTCGCAGCTGCTGCAAACGGAAGCAGTGAAGTTCTGGCGTTTGGCGGTCGCTGGACGAGCATTCAACTTGAAACGCGCCTCAACCCGCCTTCTGCCCCTCGCTCGGTTTGGACATCTGCACGACACTTTCGTCGCTTTTGTTTCTGACCCAATCGTGCGCGTTGGGCCAGCAAGAGTTGCCGCGCGACTTTCTGCAACGGCTGATGTGGCCCAATCAGGCGCCAGGACCGCGCAGACCCCGAGGATTCCTTGACACGCCGGGGGGGCAAGCCCTTCGAGAACGGCGAAACCTCCACCACCACCCTTTGCTGGGCCCGGTGCGAGGGGGAGGCACAGGATAAGTATCTTCGCCCGCCGCACCCTGAGACGGCCATCAACCTCCTTTGCCTCCTCATTTCTTTGCTAGAAAACGCCGTCCTTGAAGGAACGCCGTTGCCCGTATCCGCGATACTACCTCAGGCTCAGCCTCCGACGCATCCAACTCCATCACTACACGCCATTGCTACCATCCGGGCAGCGCCCTCTACTACGACGCTCCAGTCGCCATTCAACTAGATCCATCATTGCTTTCACGGTTCAGCACTTCCCGCAGGTCGGAAAGGCTTCTCATTAATATCAGCTATTCGACTCTGTACGAGTGGAGTTACTGTACGCCCTGGTCACCATACCTGCCAACTCACGGTATTGTCGCGATTGCCATATCAGCATTAATCTAATACCCATTGTTACGATCTCCGGAGACATTCCATTTTTGGCAATAGACTTTCCCCAGGGTCAATTCACACGGCCACCATTCGTCAATAGGTGTATCATCCTATTGTGTCTTGCATCAATATCCACCGACATACTTAAGGATCCACTCCACCACTCAGTCCTTCTTGTCAACCCACCTCTTCGTCAACACTCGCAGAGATGGCCTACTCAGCACCTTCGTTGGAGCAGAACCAGGCTGCCCTCAACTACTTCATCCAGCTCCCGGTATCACGAGACATGATCTCATATCTGGCCAACAAAGCTTCCCAGGTCATCCGTTGCGAGCAAACATCAGAGTTGAACAAGCATCTGCCACCAACACCACCCGCCACCCCACCCCAACACGCTCGGGAACCATCTTTGCCATCTCTGGAAGCATTCATCATCTCTCTTGTGGAGCGATCACACGTCCAGGTCCCCACGCTCATGACATCCCTCGTCTACCTAGGCCGGCTAAAAGCACGACTTCCCCCTGTCGCCAAGGGAATGCGCTGCACTGTCCATCGGATCTTTCTCGCTTCCCTCATCCTTGCTGCTAAGAACCTCAACGACTCCTCGCCGAAGAACAAGCACTGGGCACGCTACACTGCCGTCCGTGGCTACGAGAACTTCGGCTTCTCCATCACAGAGGTCAACCTCATGGAGAAGCAGCTCCTGTTCCTTCTTGACTGGGATCTACGCATCAACCCTGAAGACCTCTACTACCATCTTGAGCCATTCCTCGCGCCTATTCGGCACAGCCAAGCCAAGCAAGAAGAGGAGCGCCTCCGCCAACAGCGAGAGAACGAGCTCCGCCTAGTAGCCGCTCAGCGGCAGCAGCAACAGCTTGCTCTAAGCGTCGAGAACCTTGCCCGCTCTCGCCTCGACGTCTCCACATACGACACCACCCAATCCTACCTCGTCGACACAACCAACTACATCCAACCCCGCCGCGCTCTCGCCTACGCCACTCCCTCCTCCCGGTCGGCCTCCCGCACACCCTCCCTCTCTCCCCCAACACGCAGCTCCTCCACGTCCTCCGCCGACTCCCTCTCCTCCGGCTCACCCGCCAGCCTCGCCGGCTCCTACGCCTCGTATGGATACACGATGGAGCCTGTCAGCGAGGAGCCACACGTGCAGCGCTACGACGTCGACGCCGGCGCCACGCTCATGCACATCCGGCCGCCGCCGTCCGCGCTGCACAAGGCGCCGCGCGAGTTCTCGCTGTCGTCGTATGAGGAGAAGCCGGCGAAGAAGGCGAAGACGTCTGGTGGGCTTCTTGCGCGGTTCCTTGGTACTGCGAACGCGTATACGGCGAGGGCGTACTAGTGCCATCCTTTATTGATAGCGTTCTCAAAAGCATGTATGATGGAGACGAGTTTCTTTGCGTCTTTGGCCGAAGATACGATGGGCCTGCTGGGCAGTGCTCATCGTGGTGGCCTGTGGGTTTCGGGCATTGCATTGCATGGGAGGCGTTTTTGATTGGCATTTACATGGTTGGGTTGGGATGAGGGCATGCTGGTTGGGCAGGCACTTCCTTGGACTGCTTGGATGATGGGGATGATGGAATGGGGGTTCGGATAAGATAAGAATGGCTGGTCTCATAGGAGATGGGTCAATCAATGCAGATTCTGCCCAAGTGCCGTCTCTTCTGACATACCGTGAAGGCCTTGCATTTTTGAAGCTTGCGGCCAGGGAGATTGTCTGGCTAATGTGAGTGGGTCACGTGAGTTTCATCCAGCCTTCTGCTTCTTCACACACACCTGACAACGCAGCCTCGCCCGGTGGTATGTACAAACCACGATGCTCATGCTTTCTTCTGCTGTATGCCACACAATCAGGCAGCCGCAGCAATGCCTTAGAGGATGTCGGCCCGCAGATCTTGCGGAAGCGCTGTCTTTCTACACCTATTCATTCCGTCTCAAGACACCCATCAACCGCTGCACGATCAACTTGGACCACTCTTTCTGTACTCATACTCCACAATTTCTCAAGCTCTTTCAGTCACTATGCCGAGTGTGTGCCCAGATGATTCCACAGAATGTCTTCTGAGAGCGATATTCGAAGGCCAGAGGCAGTTCATGTTGCCGGCTTCCTGCTCCAGCACCGCTCCTGACTGTCACGCAGCCGGCCCAGCTATGATCTCGGATCCCTCGTTACTACTGTCTTGATCGGATTCCTGGCCACGCTCATTGCTATAACAACGGTTTTCCTGGGTTTGTGGACCGCTGGGCCTGGGCGGCTCAAGGCTTCATACAGAGCTATTGGGCCTTGGTCCGGGTATACCAAAACTATATCAGCGAGTCGATTTACAAAGAACGAGACGCTCACAATCCAAACAGTCGACAATCGCACAAAAATGTACAATGTTTTCGTTCTTTCGGTCTGCATTTTTGAGACCAAATAGAATCATTCGTTTCAAGAGACAAACACCAACTGTGATAAAGTGCAGGTATCTTTCCCGCTGGATGGGTCGAGCTTCTGAGGAATCCATCAAGTTACATGAAGAACCATTCCCCTTACTTCAGTGCGAGACAGATCATCTACCTAGTGACTTGCAGGCTGCACCGACTTTTGGTACAATCGAGTCTGTCGTTAAATTAGCCGCAGTTGCCGGCTGTGACTCCATAGAGATGGTTCAAGGGTGCCCACTCGCGAGAGGTTTAAGCTTCCGAGAGCATCCATACCTTGGATCAGTCGCGGTCTTTGAGCGCTTTACGCTCGTCCGGACATATCGGGAGTAAGTCTCTGCTCGTGAAAGGCAGTATTGGAGCTTGACCCTTCTTTACAGCTCCCATACCCAGTCTCTACTGGACGGGATCGTACCAGATGCTCGACGGTAACACCAGCTGTAGGAAGATTCACTTCGAGAGGCTGAGACGCCCTCGTCAAGACATGAACGAAGTCAATCGAGGTCTCAGCGAACGTAGCCAGAAATGCGGCCATGCTTTGTGCTACGCTTCCTAAGACGAGCATCTGCCCGGTCTGTTTTCCTGGCCGCCCACACCCAAGGCAATGGTCATGGTACCTCTTGCCGGATACTCGGAGCGATGCAGGTTTATACCACATTCCGTGTTTGGAGTACAAGAAGCGGCACCGTTAGTCCCTGGGACCTCCGGCACGTGGAACGATAAACATCCCGAGCTCTTCGCTCAAGCGATAGAGAAATTCTTCTACTCCACTGGAAGGGATGTCTGATGGGATTGCAGGAGTGATCCAATATTTGCGGGTGACCGGATAACAAGAGACTTCTGGGCTAATCAGCACCTTCGTAAAGATCATCCGACTTCCGTCCCTCCCCATAGCAGTGGTGCCTTGGGTTGGCTAAGCGAGTTTGGGTCTCTCTGGCATCGACCTGATGGTCGCTGTCTTCATCGACTCGAAGGAGTGTGCAAGCTACCCAACGATATGAGTAAAGAGCTGCAAGCCGTCCTTAATGAGATTCGGAGGAACTCGGCCGTGGGTACGTCCTGTCGGCGGCCCAATCAAAACGACCCAGCTACTGGAAAATGACGGTAGCTTGATCATCTCACCGTTGACGCTCTTCACTTGCTTGCAATGGACCTAGGTCTAGGATGATATGGCCGAGTTGGGTGTTGATGACGAGCATAACGTGCGTAACGCCTTAGCACATCAACTACAAGAGGTATGTAGAGTGTCGTGGTTGATGTTTTGAAAATGGCGCTTGGGTATTTTGATCGGAAGCCTGCTAAACGCCTCCAGGTGGATTTCTGACTCAGGACGCAGGGCGGTCTGGACGCCGCGTGCGAGGTGCGTCGTATCCTTTCCGACGTTGAGAAATTGCCGGACTATCCCTACAGGGGATATTGTCCACGGTCACCTGGTTTGAGGACGAGTTCAAGCGGCTCAATGCAAGAAGCATCAAATCGAGTGACGAAGGACGATGGTCTCAGAGTTCTTCTGATCTACCGAGCAGTGCTTGTTGCATCACTGTACGCTACAGCTTTGGACACCAGCTGCGTCGAGGACACAAAGCTTGGAAAACGTGTAGTCAGGATTCTATGATACTACCTCCAAGGGCCATCCGAAAGGGCGTTGCCGCATTGAAGGTGGACAGCGCCCAAGCGCAGTTCAGAGATCAAAGACACCTTAAGCGATCAATATACCAATGGGCTGCAATGCTGAATATCATGTGCTTTCTATCGTATGCAATCAGTGTCTCTATTCTATAACCAACATGCTCATAAGTCCAGCCCAATCGCGAATCTGGTCATAAACAAGCTAGACCATAGATGCGGCAACAAACTTTTCGGATCGCCTTTGCTCCAACCGGAAGCAAAGCTCAGAACGCGTTCATCCCATGCTCGACGTCCCACACATCCCCTTCATTGAAGAAATCCACCAGCAGAAAATTCGGCCGCCTCTCGTACCTCGTCCGGCACCTCGCCGCGTGCTCTCCGAGCGCCCCAATCTCGAAGCTCGCGCTGTTCGTCCGGTTCGCATGCGCAGCGTCCGGGTAGCGGAAGCCGAAGAACTTGGCGTAGAGGAAGTGGTTCACGAGGGATAGGCGATTTGGAATGTACGAGTCGGGCCATCGCGGACGGGCTGGCTCGCAGGAGAATTGCCAGGGCGACTCGTTGCCGAAATCGGTCTGCAGTGGCCGTCAGCTAATGCTCGAACGCAACGCGTCAAGAATCGACCGGAATGGATCAAGAATACCTCGAAGGTGTAATCGAATTCTGCAAGAAGCCAAGGCACAAGATACTCTCTAGCCCCTCCGGAGAGAAACGTCACCGCCCGCTTTCCGCTTTGCACCATCTCCTCGATGGTAGGCCAGTCCTCGATCTTCATCCGGCCGTACCGCTTGTCGGGCGGCGGCTCATACGAGATCAAGTCGAAGCCCGTCCTGTAATACGCCTCGATCCATCTGATGAGCGGCACGCCGGTGTTGACGAAGAGGAAAGTCACGACTGCGAAAGTCAGCACACATTGTACAAGGGCAGCAGCGGAAAGGTTACTGACTTTCCTTGGGGTTTGCTTCTAGCCATGCTTTGGTGGTGAGGAGGTACTCTTCGAGGCTGCCGCCGTCGATGAGGGCGCAGTTGAAGTGGCAGAGTCGGATTTGGTTGGTGCCATTTGGGTCCCGGTGGCCTTGGGCTTGGATGAGACGGATGCCGGATTCCAACTGGACGGAGAGGTTGAAGTATTGGTTGCCTGGAATCATCAACGTCAGATAGGAACAATCACAGTAGTGTCATAGAGCGTCATCTCCACGCTCAGCAATACGCGACTCTGGTGCATCTAGCATTGAACAGAATCTATTAAAACAAAGGCCAGCTGCGCCGTATGTTGTTAACGAAGAAACAGAGCTACGCTTGGTAGAAGACAACTTCGTATGAAGACGATGACTACCAACTGAACCTTACGGACATGGATTCTGAGGATGTTCCCCAAGGCACCGCCGTCACTCGTGACTGAACCTCTCATGGCATTCGGAGAAACTCGACCATAATCACTGTGACTTCCATGTGAATTCACACAAATCATCACACAAACCCAACAGGCAAAAGCAAAAGCAATACCACAAAAACTCTCCTACCAGAGATCGACCACCCATTCTCCTTCGTCCTCACCGCAGCGCTGTTATGCGTCCCCACAAACGTCACCTCGGAATACCGTCGCCGATACAGTTCCGGCAAGGGTTGTCGCTTTCCCGGGGCTTTGGGCGGGTCACGTGCGCGGAGCACACTTTCAGGGTCGAGGAGTTCTCGCCATTCGCGTGACGCGGCGATACAGGTTGTAGAGAAGAGGAATGGGAGGAGGAGTAGTCGCATGTTTGACTTGTGAGTTCATGAAGTAGATGGTGGTGAGGCGGCGAGATGTATGGGAGGAGTAGACTACTGTCGCGGTCAGGTGGATCTTTGGGGCGAGACGGGCTGCCTTGGCTGGGCTTGGTGTTGAAGTCATAGAGTTTGTGTGCCTCATGTAGGTTCATAATGCACTTTCGGCGAGTTTCCAGTTCGTAAATACATTGCGAAGCTCATGAATATTTCAAATCATCATGTGAACCATGAGTAGTCGTCCGAGACAGATTCTCACAAGCCCCCCCAGCAACCCTCAAAAATCCTTAATCCTCGTCCCCACCCCTCTCTCATCCGCCAAACCCACCAAATCCCCTCCAACAACCACATCCATCAATCCCAGCCCAACGCTCTTATATATCACGTTTCCCCTCTCCAACCAGTCCCGCAACCCCGTATCCCCATGCTCCTCCTTCGCCTGTACTCCCTCCGCCGAGCCCTCCGTAGAACTCGACCCCCGCCTCCGGGCCTCCATATCCCTCTTCAGCATCACCAGCTCCCCTAGCTCCACGACCTGATGACCCTCCAACCCGGCCTGAATCACCTCTCCCGCCTCCTTCAAGCACGCCTCCACGCTATCCACCACGACGGCCCCGCCGCTCTTCGCGTGCCGATGGTGGTGGTGCTTGTGGTCCGACTGGTGCACGGCCTGCCGCAGGATCTCGGGGTCCAGCTCCAGCATGTGCGGCTTGTAGCTCCCGATGGCCGCGATGTAGCGACCCTTCTTGCGGCCTTCGGTGCTCGTCAGGATCTCGCGTGGGAACAGCGGCTTGAGGGATGGCGTCGTCGTGAAAATAACGCTCGAGGCTCGCAGCTTCTCTTTCAACAGGCGGTCGTACTCCCTGTGCCCGGGGGTCAGGATGCTAACCGTCTTGGGCTTCGGGACCCCCCAAGTGTCCGAGGGGACGTCTAGAGGCCAGATGCTGTCGAGGAGGGCGTGCGCGCGGCTGAAGGAGCGGTTTATGACGTTCAGGTGGTGGATCTCGGAGCCGCGCAGTATGACCGCCAGCCGGATGTGCCAGTAGGCTTGCTTGCCGGCGCCGAAGACGCTCAGTTCGTGCACGTTGTGTCGCTTACGGAAGAGGATGGTGGAGGCGAGCGCGGTGCGGAAGGCGGTGATTTCTTCGGCGTTGATGAGGGCGCGCGGGCTGCCGGTTGAGTCGAAGAGGGTCAGGGAGCCGCGGGGGGTGGTGGTTGCGGCTGAGTCTAAGGTTGAGCCCGACGCTGCGCTGGTCTTGCTGGCGGTAGGGCTGAGGGGGTTGGTGACGGCTGTGGTGGAGGAGCTAGCGGTTGTAGAGGAGCCGGCTGTTGAGTATGAGCTGGCGGATGTGGAGGCGGCAGACGATGAGGATACAGAGAGCGAGTCGACAGATGGCATCGAGGGTGACTTGGCCAAGCTGGTGTCGTCAGGAGTGCTCAGCGTCACAACCTTGATCCCCAGTCCGTCGTTGCTGCTTGCGGGCATGAAGAGCGTCGTAGATCCATCCTTACGCCGTAGAGATGTTCGCTGCGGTTGGTATGCTGGACAGCAGCCATTGTCCTGGGTATCGGTAGCAGTAGAGTAGTGGTGCAGGGCGTCAGCCAGTGACTGTTGTAGATTGAGTATATCCTGCCGGTTGAGGGAGAGCAATAGCTCTTGGATGGCGGAGTCTGAGAGTATCGTGAGTGGCATAATGTGCAGAGCGCGGTTTGGTCAAGGGGGCGGGAAAGGGTCTTTGATACTAGATGTCCTCAGAGAGCTAGTGAGATGGCAGCTCGCCCGCCGAAATGGCATGACTGAAACACGAGAAAGCCAACAACGGTAGTCGCGCTGCTTCAAACTCCTCTTCGCAACCCCACGGGCGGGAGGGGCTGTCGGAGATACGAGTCGTGCAGCCCGTAATCTTGGTAATCATTACTCAGCATACAAAGCAGGCAAGGCTGTTGCACCGGTAGAAAGCACGTGAGAAAGTTTCTGGGCTTCGTTGACTGATTCCATAATGCAAATGCAGCCAGCTGTCGAGTGCTGAAAAGCTGGTCAGATTCAGTTCGACGCTCGCTAATTGAACAGAAGGTATCCCAGCCAATGACCCGTACGCCTGACATGTCGTGCATTTCCTTAGATCTTGATGGCGCTCTCCAGAGCCTTGCGCTTCTTCTCCTGCCTGGCGTTGGCCTTGGAGCCCATGATGCCACCACCCCAGTGACGCCTGCTCTCCTCGTGCTTGTCGGTGTAGCCCTCCTTGATGGCGGAGACCAACTTGCTGAGCTCGCTCTTGTCCTCGCTCCTGACCTCGGTGAGAGCCAGAACGGCGGCGGTCTTCTGGTGAACGACGGTGCCAAGGCGTGCCTTGCCCTTAATGATGGCGTACGGGACTGGGCTTGATCAGCGCTTGAAGGTTTCAGTTTTCGAGTCTGCATTTACTCACCACCCATCTTACGGCAAAGAGCGGGGAGGAAGATGACTAGCTCAATTGGATCGACGTCGTTGGGAATGAGGACGAGGGACGCCTTCTTGTTCTCGATGAGTCCGACAACTGGTACAGGTTAGTATCCAGAAAACATTGAGCACCCCGAACAAGGCCAGCAGGAGACATATGCTTACCATGGTTCAAGCCGTACTTCACAGCATAGGGCTTCTTGCTGACGTCCTCCTTCTTCTTTCCCTCCGAGATGGCGGTGGCCTCCTTTGTCAGGCGCTCCTTCTTTTCCTGCTTCGACTCCGGGCGGTACTTGGAGAGCAGCTTGAGGGCTTGTGCGGCGGTGTTACGGTCGAGGACGTGCTGGAACTGAGCGATCGCTGGCGGCACCTTCAGGCGCATGAGGAGGATCTTCCGTTGCCTCTGTAGTCGGACATCTGAGATGCATCAGCGTCTGCGTTCCTCCAGTGGTGTTGGTGTCGCAAGGACTCACACTCGGGCCATCTCGTCATGCGGCTAAGGTTGCGTCTGGGCTGGATGTCCTGGCCAATGCCGAAGTTCCTCGGGCGCTTCTCGAGGAGCGGGTTCTGCACAGCTCTGTCAGCAATACACCAAAGGTGTGGCAGATGAACGACGTACCTTGGCCGGCTTCTTTGCGCCAGCCTTTCCCTGAGGGAAGGGCGCGGGGGCCGTCTTCTTTCCTTTTGGTGGCTTCATCACAGCAAAGGTCAGCGAATGCCTTTGTTGCTAAAAGAGCGAGCGGAGACGCATGATGCCTTCCACTGCTCATGCCAATCCATCACCGGTACCAACCAGCGAGGCTGGGGGCACGGCGGTATCGAGGTAAGATGCTTACCATCTTGTCGGCGACGGTGGGCGAATTCGAGGTGTTTGTCGATTAATTCGGCTGGAGTTCGAGATGCCCACTTGACACTTCGCAAAGTTCTGTGGGTTCGACGATGCCGTTGTTTTTCCGTTCCGGAACCTTTCGCTGGGCACGTGACTTGCCGGCCCTTTTGCCATCCTCTCAGGCTGGCTGCAAAGGGAGGCACATACTCCGTAGATGTCTAGGAGCTGGGGAAATGTTGGAAGTGTTGGACATTTTTGACTACTAGATATGCAACTGCTTGTAGCTTTTGGTAATGCTAAGAGTGAGCATGGCTAGCTCTTCGACCAATATAAATCATGCCTTTGAGGCTGGTGCGCCATCGCCATGCAATTCAAGCAGAACGCCTCCAATGCCGGGTATCATGCAGCTCGAAAGCATCGCAAACCAAGGAAAATCAGCCCTGCTTCCTCCCCTTCCCCTTTTTCTTCCGCCTCTCCTCAGGCGCCGCACCAACCTCCATTCTCCCCTCTTGCAGCTCCTCCGCCCCAACCTGCGCCCCCTCTTCGGCAGCCATAGCCTGCAACTTCTCCTGTCCGCTGATGAAGAAGCTAAGATCTCTGTTCTGCTCTTCCAGCTCCCTCTTCTCCGCGGCCAGGCTCTTGCATCTCTCCTCAACCTCCCCAGTCTTGCTCTCAAGGTGCTTTATCCTCGTCATCAGCGCCTCATTGATCGTCTTCTCCTCCTTCCACTCCCTCATCACCTTTCGCGCCAACTCTTCCGACTTCGCCGACTTGCTCGTCAAGCGCGCAACTTCCTTCTCCAGACCCGCAATCGTACCCCTCGCCTCCTCCTGCCTGATCTGCATAGCCCTAAACTCCACCATCATCGCCTTCGTCTGCGCCGACGCCTCCTCCGCCGCAGCAGACGCCTTACTCGCCTTATCGACCGCGCGCTCCAGCTGCTCCTCAAAATACAGCCTCTGGCTATCCAGCTGACTCGTAAGCAAATACGTATACTCGACCCCCATATTCTCCATCTTCTCCCTGGGCACCATCTCATCCGCCAATCCGGTCATGCTCGTATCCGCATTCCCAAACGCGCCAGGCAGATCGATGAGCTTCTTGTCGCTCTTGTTCTGGATGAGGCGGTGGACGTACCCGTCCCCCGCGTAGTCCCACACATGCTGCGTCGCGACGTCCATGGCGTAGCTGTGGCTCGTCTCCTCATAGTGCCGATACGCGTGCGCCTCGTCATACCTTCCACACCCGGTGTTGCCGCAGATGAGACAGATCCACAGATTAGACGTCGCGCTGCACACGGAGCACTCGTTTTCAGGCATCTCGCCGTTCGCGAGCACGCCCCCGCGCAGGTTGAGGAAGAGGTCCGATTGCGTGTATCGGCATACAGGACATCCGCTGCCCCGCCATTTGGAGAGGCAGCCGCAGTGGAAGACGTGCTGGCAGAGGATGGTGAGGAGACCGCTGGTTTCATCCATGTGCTCGAGGCAGACGGGGCAGCTGGGGAGCTCGACGGCGGAGGAGGGTGGCGGGAGCGGCTTGGTGGATAGGGAGGATGCGCTGGTGGGGACTGGGGCGGTGGAGTTGGGGGTGGCGAGGGGGGTGAAGGGGTCGTTGAGCATGTTGGGGAAGCTGGAGGGGCTGCGTGAGGCCGAATCGTCGGGGTGGAAGGAGATGGATTTGACAAAGACGACGTGGCAGTTCTCGGACTATGGAGTATTAGCTTCGGCTGCGTGTAAGAGAGTAAGGGTGGAAACACACCTCCATGCTATTGAACAACTTCCCGTTGTACGCTTTTTGCCATGCCCTCGCTGCCTTGGCTTCCCTGAACTTCATAAGAACCATGTACCTGTTCGATATCGCCGTCCTGATCAGCCGGAAATGGCTCACGTCCTCCCGTGTCTGCTCGCCACAAAAGCCCAGTAGGTCCGAAGGCGTCATGTATGAGGGGACCGCGAGGATACAGAGAGTAGTACAATCCTCTTCGTTGAAAGTCTGGGCGTCCGCGTCTGCCTTCCCACTGTCTGATCCGGTGCTCGGACGTGTATCATCATAAAGGCCCGGCGTTTCCTGCGCATCTCGATATAGGTGCACAACGCCCCATCCGACGTCCGTGTCCTTTGGGGTCGACGGCACATATCTCCCCCTCGTGGCCGTCCGTCCAGGACTCGTTCCCACTTGTGACTTGCCCCCTGGCCGCGTTGCTCCATCTGGCGCCTGTCTCTCCATGTTGATGCTTTGTATCGTCACACTTCCGAAGCGCCAGTCCCTGGTCGAAATTGATTCCTGTTGCCCACGTCCTCCGTCAATAATATGCGCGCCAACGAGGCTGTCCTCACGCTCGCCTGAGGAGGTCGAAGCAAAGTGGCTGAGCCGGCGAGCTGTAGAAGGCCGATGGGGCAGTGAGCGCTCGGCGCCTGAGCTGGCGGTCTTCGTTCGTCTGTGTGTTTGCTTTTCCACTAGAATAGAGTTCCACGAGGATGTCCGGTGCACGGGGAGCTCTGTCTCAAAGATGTCCGTGTTTGGTGGAGGCAGATATACGGGTTGAAGATGACTCGGCGGGTCGGTGGGTGTAAGAGACCATGGACAGAGCTCAAAGGCTAGGTGGAAGAAGTACGACCGCATCAGGAAACCTGGAAGACTTGATAACGTTGGTGATGTCGCACATTGTTAGGTTGTTTCATGGTAGGGTGCCACTCGGGGAGAGGAGTGTTTGCTGCTTTCGCCATGCGGCAAGCACCCCGAACGGTGAAGCGGGTGACGACGTTGCTCTCGCGTGCGCCTGGGATTTCAGGCAGCCTTAGAGGCGGTCAAGTTCACGATAGCATTGCAGTGACGAAGCCCAATATTTTTACATTTGTTAGCATATGGTATATCTGCGGCAGAGAAGGTAGTGTACATTGTGCAGTTCAACAGCCCGAAAGACGTGCCTTCGTCCACTCCCTCTGCGTCGATCTGCCACTTCTGTATGAACCCGTCACTTCGGCATGCCTCAGTCCCACGCTTAGACAGGCCACCACATCTTCCCAATAGCACCAGCAGTGTCACTCAGTGGAGCACCTCGCACGGATCTGCGCGGGAGTGACTCGGCCCTAGCAACTCCACAGGCAGGAATGCAGATGTTCCTTCGACAGCAAGTGTTGACAGCGCAAACCTGGCCAGTTCCGCAGTCAGAGCTCGACTCGCAGTCAGGAAGGTTGATGCAGTAAGTCGAGCCAACTATGCAGAACTTGTCGCCTGCTGGGTCAGACGAGCAGATGCCGGAACTGCACGAACCGAGACCGCAGCGTCCGAAGTTACCACAGGTCGAGTTCGAGGTCGCGCAATCGTTGCTGGCGCAGACGCCGTTCGTGCAAACGCCGGACGCGCACTTTAAGTTGTGAGAGAATGGCATGGCAGGGTAGACATGTGACTTACGCTGTTGCCGCAGGTGCCGCAATTGTCGGGATCGCCGCGAAGATTCACACACGCACCGTAACACCGGTATGTGGAGTTTGAACAGATAGGAGTCGGGAAGGTAGATGGCAACAGTGACGTCGTATTTGTTGGAGTCGCTGTGCCACCAGTGGGCAGCGCGCCCGTACCGGTTGGCAGAACGCTAAACGTTGAGTTCGGATACGGGACCGAGATGGACATATCTGTGGGAGAGCTATCACCAGTGCCCGTACCGGAGCTTGTTGGGTAAGTCGTAGAGTCGGTGCTATTCGGATACAACACTGAGCTCATTGCACTGGGAGTAGAACCGTCCCAGGTGTTGGTTCCGTAACTGGTGGGATGGGCCGTGGGATAGGCGGTCGCGCATCCTGACGGAAGCAAGCCGGAAGCAGTGGCCGTAGAATTGGCCGTAACTGTCTCAAAATGAGTGGTAGTGATCTCCGTGGTGATAGGCTGAAAATTGGAGTCAGTGATGCGTTCTTTGGCATCTGATGCTAGCTGGAGACATACATCAGGCGTCACTGTTATGGTGGGTTGGGTAAAGTCGCTGAAGCAAGAGCATGCGCTAGTGTAGTAGTACTCTTCCGTGCAAGCCGAGGTGGCATAAGCTGGTATCGTCTTGTATGTGGGAGGCGGAACGCTTGGCGTAATGACTTGGGGCGCAGCATTTCGCCTCAGCTTGTAGCCGTAGTTGTATGTGCTGTTGACAGTCACAGTCGAGGTAATAGTGGATACGAGCGAGACTATCCTGTGATGGAGCGTGAGCACAACTATTGCACGAGAGGCAACTCCTAGACGCAGGACATCACACAGGACATCACGCAGGGCAAAGGCTGTGAGTGTGATGCGGCCGACTCACTCCGCTGGTAGAACAGTTGTTTCAGCCACATAGTAGCTGCAGTCCTCTCGGGCACTCGAGACCGCAAGAAAACCTGTGTTGGTGGCAAGGACTGCACGCTGACAATCATCCTCGTAGCAGATGCTACCATACCCATACTGTCTCCCGGCAAGAGTGGCACAAGCCGCCTGAAACAGGCAGAAAAGAAAGACTGATGATTGCTTCATGACTGAGGTTCCAAGAAGAGCTCTTGCTAAGTAACGAATGTAAGAGTTGGTCGGGATGTCCCCAAAAACGATGCGCCAGAAGGACCTACTCCCTTATATTCCAGAGGCCAACCCACCTTGAAACACGTCAAGACACTTGCGTACTCAAACAGAACAGCTCGTAGCTGCTATTGTGTGGACCTGCATTAGCTCCTAGGAGGCTTGCAGCTTACCCTGTCGATGTCTTAGCGGAAGCCTTTACAGTGAGCAGCCGCCGACAAGGGCCAGTATGTACGCTGCCATGCAGAAGGGCGCAGTTTGATATCCCGAATCTTGCTATGACTCCTGGGGAAGCGAATGCGTCCCTGCATATGACACAAGAGTATTGAGCCTCCCGAGCGAGCTCAATATAGTCGAGGGACACGGGCAGTGGGTCGCTGATGTGCGTTCTGTAGGACGTGAGCGGTCTCTCAGCGGTAAACGCGGAGTTGCAAAGACAAGGCCCTTCAGGACGCATCGGACGTGAAGCGTTTTGGCACTCAGCCGCGAGTGATTCTGAGGGAACACAAGGCGGGTCGCAGCGGATTAGTTCGTGTTTGTCGATTGCGGGCTACTCCCGCAGATGCAGAACGGCTGGGGACTGCGGTGCAAGCTCGAGATTGCCCTTGACAGCTTGACAGCTTGACAGCTTGGCTGCAGATGTCATCTCAAGTAGTGTTCTCTATCAGGGCAGTGTGGCGTAAGGCTTATGCAGCAGGCTTCAGAAGAGTCCTATCGATCGTCGCAAGGTACGGAGTAAAGCAGGCAGACCCAGGACAGAGCAGCTACCTATCCAGGACAAGATCCGTCCTTGGTGGGATTTGCTGGTGCGAATGCGGCAAGAACCTCGTTACAGCCCACATCCGAGTTGGTCGAAGAAGGGGGAGGCTGAATGCAGGTACGGCGTTAGGTGGGCCTGTGCACCGTGGGCCGTGGGCCGTGGCACACTGCATAGTGGGTGCAACGTTGCGAGCGCTGCAGCCACTAAGCCAGAACAGACTCGGGGTTTCGTAAGGCCACCATTCTACGATGCGAGGGTCGCGGCTTCAACCTATGTTCGTAGCACAATCCGAGTAAGGAGAAAACCGAGTGCCATCACAGCCAAAGAAAACTCTCATTGCAATCCTTTCGTCACGCGATTCGCGGAATCCTAGCCAAATGCGACTGGTAGCCGTGCTCGATCATCTACCCTATGGCTTGCCCCAAACGGATCAGGAGGTTGCAGATGCAACAAAGCTAGCCTGGCCTGAGTAGACATATTCCCACAATGCGAGTAGGTCGTCCATTCACGCCCGAGACAAGTCTCCGACCAGACTGACGATTCTGGCACTTCGTCAGTAGGGCTCGTTTGGTAATGCGAAGGACGGTAGAGAGATTCAACCACCCAATAAAGGCGAACTCAGGTCATCCGCCGTGGTGAGATGTAGTCATGGCATACTCTGTAGCATAGAAGATGTAAATCTCGGATCTCCTGAGATATCGATCCATGAAACCTGTAACAAGCGCCTGAGACAGATCAGCATAAGCGGAGATTAAGCCGTGCCCATATATATCAGAGGTCGCCTTACCGGATAGCTTCCGTCAGTCGCACTCGCCCATCAGAGGGCGATCGTCACCCGCGGATGAAAGTAGCCACCGCCGGAGGGTGGATGCGCAATCGACCGGATGGTTCTGTCAGACCGGACGCGCTCCAAGCGTTGTCCCAAGTTGTGAAAAGGAGATGCCCTGGTAGCCCGATTTCTGTGACACTACATGGCACTCTCTGTCCGTCCATCAACTTGGAGCATTGTACATCCCGGCGCAGTGATGCGTAGAAAGTGCGATATCCACGGCACAGAATTGTTCATAGACTCTAGGAATGTAGTTTGCTATGCCGGAGGCAGGAAGCTTGCGAAAAGGCCTGCATGGACGATGGCGTAGATAACCATCCAGCGTACCACCCATATGGCGCTGGACTTCCGGGACGTCTGGATCTGCTGGATCGGACCAGCTCCTGCGAACGCAGACGCAACCATAAGGTACCAAACTGGATACCCCGATGAGAGTCTGTTGATGATCTGGACATGGAAATTGGTCAAAGCGAGAACAGCGAGTATGACCTGAGGTATTGCGAGCATCCGGACACACAGTCTGCTGGCTTCGGCACGTGTCATCAACTTCCCGACCTTGGCATGTTTCTCATCTTGCATCCCGTGACTGGACTCGGAAGCAGATCCCCGACCGACGGATGTGGGTTTTCTTACTATTGCACGAAGGCCTGTTCGGAAGAGCAACCACAGCATAGGTGCGGCTAAAAGAAACAGGGGTAAGTTCGAAAGAGTCCAATATCTCAGAAAACCGTTGTTCCTAAGCACTGTCAGTATAAAAAATACCAGAGGTTGGGAAGTAGCTGTGGAGCTCGCTCACCAGTAGTTGCCCTGAACAAATGAATAAATACTGGGCAACGACTGCTTGCACCACGGTCTTGGAGCTGTCATCGATTGCGAATTACTACAGTACTGGCAGTAAGCGAGGTACTGCGGAAAAGCCATGCCCATGCCAACGAAGACTCCAGACACGCCGAGTGCAACAAGGTTCCGTAAGCTGGACATGCTCTTGATGTTAGGCCGCGAGAGTAGCGCTGCGCCAAGGTCATAGGCAAAGATCGAGCCACTGAGTAGACCGTTGCCCCTTACACAAGTGGCAAGGCCCAGTAAGACTCCCGCACTGAGAACTAAAAGATCTTGTTGAAGAGTGAGATTCTGATGACCGTGAGTCCATGAGCCGGAGAGGCTATACAGCCAAAACCCTGTGAAATTGAGCAAGGAGAACAGGCTCTCTCCGTAAGGCGCCGAGAGGAACAAGCCGGCGGGAGAGACGATATACAACGCGGCTGCTGTAAAGGCTACTCTATGAGCATGCCGCTCGTCGGCCAATCGCACAACGAGGCGATATATGACAAGGACCGAGAGAAGGTGGCAGATGTGAGACAACACGATTCCAGCCCAAGCATAAACCATTGACTGAATGCCTAGGCTCTTTAAGACTGTCCCCGCATCAGCAACGCTTGCAAAATAGAACACTGCGTTAGGTCACAAACCCTGAGCTAGAGAACCGACAGCCACAGTGTAGGCCCAGCCAAAAGCCCACTCCTGCTCGTATACATAACCGCGCTCGGCTATCTGCGTGAAGTATATGGCGTCCCATCTGGTAAGCTTCAGGGCAAATACATCGAAGAAGCTGTGCCCCTTGCAAGTATTCCCCTGGCACTGTGCAGCTCCAGCCTGGCGCCAGAGAATTGCTGTTGAAGTGTCGTAGCCCATGCCAGGGCTTAGCACCGTGATAATGGTCAGAAAGGCTCTCCAGCATGTTGCTAGAAGTAGCAATGCCTGCACTGGGTGGGCCAGAGGTTGGAGTAAAGGGTGGTGCCGCGGCATCCACCTAGACGGCATGAGATTTAGGACATCCCCCATTGAAGCGTCACGAGATTGTGTCCTGAAGTTATAATGTTTGAAAGGCCCGCTTGAGGTTGAGATGAAGCTTGAGACCAACCAATCAAAACGGCGAGCTAGTGGTATCGATAAAGGAGCTAGACATCTTAACACGTGACGTTGACCCTTGGGTACATCAAACGTTCACTCTACCTTAAACTTCACCCCAATTCGCGCGCATCAGTCTTTTCATCAACTGCATTCTGCACGCATCCATCCGGCCACTCTACAGAAGCTGCCGGGTTACGGGAGTAAAGGAAATCTGGTCCTGTGCCAATCAACTCCACTCTGAGGGGTTAGCTGTCTACAGTATTTTCGAACCGTGGCCCGAACCAGAAGTATCACGACATTCTCGCGCCTCCGACATCGTATTTCCGTCAACACATCAGAGGCCATCTGAAGCTGAAGTCTATGGCTCTGTACTTCTGGAATACGTACGGACTGAGCTCATAAAAGCTTTGAGAGAAAACTAAGCTTCAGTTGCGGCCGTCATGTATCATGCAAATCAGGCCTATTACAACGGCCAAGATAGCAACTATGAGGAGGGTAATGCGGGCATGGCCTGGTCGCAGAATAATGCCACAACCGAAGGCTTCAACTTCAACAGGTTTCTTCAGGATCAACAGCATCTCCTTTTTCCTGCTACGGGACTTCTTCCGGCAGGAAACACTTATCTGCCTTTTCAGGGCGAACCGCACTATCTCGAGGAAGTAGAAGAAGATGAGAACGAAGCAACGGACTATGAGGACTTGCAGCCAGAGCAAGAACAATGGCATCATCCTGAAGGTCCACACTCGCGTAACGCTTCGTTGGGTTTCAATGGTGCAGTAAGTCGCGAAACTTACAACGCTCAGTCTTTCAATTCGAACAATCAACGCGTTGAGACACCCCACAATGATGAGTACGAGCCAGAAAACCCAATGATTACGCAGGTGCTCCGCAAACCGGAAAGGCAACATAAACAGACAAGCACTGTCGATAAAGCGGCGGAACTGAGGGCTAAAGTGCTGGCAAGCCGAACACACAAACAAGGCACCCCAAACCGGGATAAGAAGCAGGAACTCGGGCAGAAGGACAAGGCGCCTGAGGCTGGAGAAGCTCCCACAGCTGTACCAGCCACACGGACACACTCAGTCACGGACCTCGACGGACTCATTGCTGAAGAAAGGGCGGCCGCTGAGACAAAAGCTCAACAAGATGGCGCCTTTCAAGCTATGAGTTCTGGGCCCACTAGATCAGTGGCAGAGCCCGCAACATCATTTGCTGAAGAAGCCCATCAGAGAGATCTTGCGGCAGCCCTTAACGGCCATGCTGGTACGGAGCGTGCTTCGGGATCACAGTTGAACGCTGCGTCGCACGAAACAACATCACCGACGCCGCAGGAGACAATTGAAGCGCTTCGGCGAGACCATGACGCGCATGCACAAGTTTCATTGAGAGCTACAACAGATCCTAGCAGTAACGGGAGCGCAGGTGGGAACTGTTCGGAAATACTTTCATCACATAAAGACAGGCCGTTGGCCGCTCGAAGACAAGAAAAAGTTGCTGACGGCCATCCACAGCTTCGCTCCGGCTTGGAAACACAGAAGTAAGCACTCCACATAGTTCCTTCGCCTTTGTTTGCATGTGGAAAGTCTCATATAATATACGTGTTTCTTTGTATCCACGATGAAGAGACCAACGTTCGTCGTGGTACCTGCGCAGTACTGACTTGCCCCCTCAGGCCTCGCTCGCCTTCATTGCGTGAGCCTGCTGGCGCGAATATTAAGACGGCAGATGATAGCCATCACAACCATTCTAACCGACCCAACAACCACAGTGATGAAACTCTTGGTTCGACAGCTCGCCACAATGAGGGCGAATCGTCACGGATTGTGTATGAAGACATCACTAAGCATATAGAGCCCCTCATGCGTTCCATGGAACAGCGGCTCGGTCAGTTGATCGATGGTCGGCTTCAAGGTCTGGAAGAACTTATGGCAAGGAGATCGAATGAGGGAGTCCGGGAATCTGCCAGTCATTCACACTACTTTGACGACCTTGACGAGTGGCTTGATCATACAGGTTATCACGATGAAGCTACGCGCAAGCATGAGCTTGAGCAAGCTCGAAAGCTGGCAGCTCTCGATGTCCAGAGGGCAGAACTAATAGCTCAAATGGGAAGAGACAGTCATCTCACGCGCTCGAAGTCAGTACGCGGGCAATCGGCTAAACAGCCAGAGCCGCTGACTCCTATAAAATCACCAAGTCTCAATGCTGCAGCACCATCCTCAACCACTATGGGACCGCCACCGCTACCTTCACCAAAAGCAACCAGGCCTTCGATGGAGAAGAATGGCGACAACAATGTCCGTCAGGGAACCAAGCGGCCGAGCGAGACGTCTCTCCATGATCAAATGCCCGCGGACAAGGTTCAACGCATTGAAACTTCTCGTGAGACTCGCAATGAAGCGCCTGAAAAGAAAGCACTTACTGCACCGCAGCGTCAAGAGCTGAAGGCTGTCGATACCAGGTAAGATGGTCTTAGAAATGACTCTATCTCATTCGATTATACACATTCTTGCTCGGTTTGGGTTGTGAGCCACCTCGTATCCGATTACCCTGTCTCAGTGCGAGCAAGAAGGGTCCTGAAATACGTAGTCCATGGTCTCATGACCTGTAAGAGCTGATCGAGGTTGAGGACCCTCGTAAGATTGCCGCTCAGGGGTCTCCGCTGCCTCGCAACACTAGGCGCGTGAAATTCGCCGAGCAGTACGTCAAACGGATGATCGCCGCGAACGCAGGACGGGATTGACTCACCATAGTCTCTGGAATCTCTTCACATGTATTCAAGAGAAGGTTCTTGGCTAATCGGCACGTTGTTATTGCAGCAGATCAGTGGAAAGGTCGTCTCCCGGCTACCGTATCCGGGCCGCCGCTGAAGAAAGTCCTAAGGTCAGTAGGCCAGTGCAACCGCGCCCAACTTCTCCCCGTCGGCACGTAGCAAGAAGCGTCAGTCCTCCATCGCTTGCAAAACGAATTTCATTGCCGGACAACCACACCTTCAGCCGCCGAGCTCCAGAAGAAAATTTATCATCGTCACGCGCTGCGCATACTTCCAATGGTAAACCGCCCTACAGTAAAGAGCATTCTCCAGATCGCCGCTCATACGGCAGACCTCGTTCTCCGGTTCCGCAAGACTGGCCCAGTGGTCACAATAGGAGCCGCGACTACGATTCGAACCATCATTCACGCAGCGTACACCACGATACCAAAGACGAATACTCCCACTCTAACCACCTGAGCCGGGACAACTCTCGGGGTCGGGGCCGCGGCCGTGGAGGACACCCTCCATCTCGAGTAGAGGAGGCTCGACAAAACAGTGCAAGAGATCTACAAGCGGAGTCTTCCTTGGTCCATCCGCGTCAAGGAGGTCAGTGATAGATCTCGCCCTTTCGGAACAGCTGAAGTTTATCAGCAGCTGATGTATCCTGCAGGTAATCGATACTTCATAATAAAGTCATGGAATCACGAGAACGTCCAGATTGCACAGCGGGATGGCACCTGGGCCACCCAGCCGCACAATGTGGAGACCTTCGTCGAAGCTTTCAAGACCTGTCGAAATGTCATCCTGGTCTTCTCGGTCAACAAGAGCATGGCCTTCCAAGGATACGTATGCCAATCCCCGCCTTTCTCCTCACTTCCACTAATCTTCCCCTCGACAACATCACACTAACGCAGCTCTGCTTCCCACAGGCCAGAATGGAATCCGTACCCGGTACCGCGCCCGAACCATCCTGGACCAAGAAACTACTCTGGCCATCCTCGCCACCCTTCTACATCCGCTGGATCACGATAGCAAACACGCGCTTCAGCCGCGTTGGCCACCTCAAGAATGCGCTCAACGAGAACCTGGCTGTGCTCGTTGGCCGGGATGGACAAGAGATTGAACAAAACTGCGGAGCTGCCCTCTGCGAACTTATTGACGAAGAGAGCCGTCGGGTGCATTGAGATAGGAGAGGGGAAGAAGGATCGATATACGCCGTGCTGGATCGAAGATACGTTATGCTCAACCTTTAAAGCGATCGTCGTGGTCGCTATTCAAATTGCACTGATTATACGTGGACGCTGGTGGAAGGGGAGATATGACTGAGGTTGCAATCCATACGTAGCTCTGTACCTTAATTCCCGTAATCTGAAGCTGGAGTATCTTCCTTACAGCCTGAGCCAGACGTGAAGTCTATCGAACTGTGAAGGCATCAAGCACTCGCAGACAACTGCTGCTGAACATCTCCCGCGCAATAACCTCTAAAAACCCGAAGGGAAAATTGTACCTTAAGCCGCGTTGTTTTCATCCGTTTCGTACTAGCGCAGGCTCGTAATAAATCGGCCATCTGCTTTCGTAATCAGTAAAGCATTCCTGTGTTCTGAAGTCACTCACGCCGACTAAACATAGTCGTCGACTACCACGATCTGCCATACACGCACGCCTCGAAACGAACCAGCAACACCGACCACAGATTGGCTCACAGCGGCCACCAGCTTCTTCACTCCCACCTCGCCCACGATGGAGCGCCCCTCATTCAAGCGCAAAAGCGACTTCCCCGACGCCCGCAGCCCCAAAACCCCCAAAACCACCAACGGCGCGCCTGGCGGCAAGATGTCCTTCGCGCAGCGCATGATGGCGAAGATGGGCCACCAGGAAGGCCAAGGCCTCGGCAAGAGCGGCGAAGGCATCCTCAACCCCATCGAAGTGAAGCAGCGGCCACAGGGCGCGGGCGTTGGCGCCGTCAAGGAGAAGACGGAGCAAGCGAAAAGGGAAGCGAAGCGCGCTGCTGCTGCCAGGGGAGAGGAGTATGAGGACTCGAGCGAGGAGGAGCGCAAGGCGAGGAAGAAGAGGAAGGAGGCGCTGAGGAGGGGGGATGGGAGTGCGACGGCTAGTGGGGCGAGCACGCCTGGGGGTTTCCAGAGGCAGAAGACGAGGTATAGGACCGCGGCGGAGATTGAGGCTAGGGCGGAGGGCCTGGAGGTGCCGAATGTGCTGAAGAGTCTGATTGATGCCACGGGGCGGGAGACGAGGCTGTTGACGTCGACGGCGGGGCTGATGACGCCGACGGGAGTGCAGGATAAGGAGACGGAGAAGGAGAGATTGGCGAAGATGGCGAGGAAGGAGTTGGAGGGGTTTGCGGATGCGTGGAACGAAAGTGTGCAGAGGGCGAAGTGGGTCGAAGCGGAGGAAGAGCAACTGAGGGCGGAGATGCAGGCGCAGGAAGAGGAGGTCATGAGGCTAAATGGGGTCGTCGAAGCTGTGGAGGCGCTGAGCGGGCTAAGTCTAGGCAAGCCAGTGTCGGCGGATGAGGCTACAAAAAGATGGGAGGAGGTCACAAGCCGGCTAGAAACGATGCAGGAAGAATACAGAGACGAGATTGACAACTTTGGGATCTCCGAGGCCGCGGTGGCCGCCATACATCCTCTGTTCAAGCTAGAGATGCTGGACTGGGACCCTCTCGGGAACCCCACACATCTGGTATCCTACTTCACCCGCCTCCGCACCATCCTGCGCGTCAACCGCAACGACCTTGCGCTCCTAAACGGCCACGACGACTTCGAAGGCGTGTCGCGCCGCCACAAATCCACCACTCCCTACGAAACCCTCATATACTCCCTCTGGCTCCCGCGCGTTCGGACCTCGATCACGAACAGCTGGTCACCCTACGATCCCACATCCCTCATAACCCTCGTGGACGCCTGGCGGCCAATCCTCCCCGAATTCATCTACCACCACCTGATCGACCAGCTCATCGTGACCAAGCTCTCCTCGAACCTCAGCGCCTGGAATCCGCGCACATCCCTCTCGCTCAAGAAACACAAGCACCCCACCCCGCTCCCTCACACCTGGCTCTTCCCCTGGCTCCCCTACCTCCCCGACACACACACCGACCCCCGCTCCCCCACCGGGCTTCTCGCAGACGTGAAGCGGAAGCTCCGCAGCGCGCTCGACACATGGGACCTCACCCGCGGCGTGCTCCCCGGCCTCGACGCCTGGCGCGACGTCCTCAGCACCGTCCTCCAGGAGACCCTGATCCGGCACCTCCTGCCGCGGCTTGCTGCGCACCTCTCCTCGAACTTGGAAGTCGACCCCGCGGACCAGGACCTCACGCCGCTCGAGCACGTCCTCGCCTGGCAGCGCTACTTCGCCCCCAAAATCCTCGCCCAGCTGCTCGTGGTTGAGTTTTTCTCAAAGTGGCTCAACACGCTGCATCTGTGGCTGACGGCGGAGCCGAACTACGAGGAAGTAGGCCAATGGTTCAGCTGGTGGAAGCAGCAGTTCCCCGACGCTGTGAACGCCGTGCCGGCCGTGGCCGCGGAGTGGGAGCGTGGCCTTGCGATGATGAACGAAGCGCTAGACCTCGGGCCCGAACGCGCGCGGACGGAGCTTGCGCGCCCCGCTGCAGGACCCGCGCGGCCGGTTGGCGGAACCGCAGGGACGCCGAAACCAAAGAGCACGCCTTCGAGGGGCAGGGAGGTCGTGGCGGAGACGACGTTCCGAGATGTCGTGGAGGCGTGGTGCGCGGAGGAGAGCTTGTTGTTGGTGCCGCTGAGGGAGGCGCATGAGCGGACGGGGCTGCCGCTGTTTAGGATCACGGCTAGTGCGACGGGGAGGGGGGGCGTGTTGGTTTATTTGAAGGGGGATGTGGTGTGGGCGCAGGATAAGAGGGATAAGAGTCTTTGGGAACCGGTGGGGTTGGAGGAAGGGCTGGTGAGGAGGGCGGAGGGGAAGTGAAGGGGGGGGTTTGAGAGGGTTGGAGGTTATGGGCATGTCGTGCCGTGTCATGTCTGCACGAAAGCGAGGGAAGCTCAAGGTCATCTACGAACGAACCTTGGACGAACGGATGACATTTCGCCTGGAGCCTCCGACGCACCGCCACAAGAGAAGCGTAATCCGGCTCAGTCAGGATAGTCGCGCAGAAGGTAAGGTATCCACCAGCCTCCACCTCTCCCTCGCGCAGATGTTCCACTCTCAAATCATCGCTAATGGAAAGGAACGTAAATAGAGTGGGTAGATCCAACCAGGCTACGGCCTTTCCACTGCTATCCGATGCGAACACTACATTCGCTTCATGACAACCTAGTCTTCGCCGCACTTCCCGTATCAAGTCCATCGAGTACGCTACCGCGCTTCCTGTCTAGCACTAGCTACTCGGCAGAGTACTCCCTGCGATCCTGAAATTTGTGCACTCATCGTCCTTGCGCTGCGTGTCTTGCATGGCATCAGCAGCGAGCGAGAACTTGTGCCCGCTACAACGAAACTGAGAACAAGCTCGCTCTGCGATGATGAACGGATTGTAATTTGTCATCAAGCTGTCAAGCCACAAACGCTTCACGGGAGTAGCAACAATGTAAAGTTCGCTGTCCTGGGATATCGCTCAGGCGTTCCGGCGGCCATTAAGACGCAATATAGCCCAATATGCACAACGCCGTCTGCTCGTTCCTAACGTCCTCGATCCGACCCAAACAATTGCGACACCCATTGCCATGCACTAGCGCCCTCTGTGGTAGACCGAGTCGCTAAGAGGGCGCCGCCGGTATTAATGCTCGAACGCTCAAATATCAATGCGCCGGATGTCCATGCAAATGAATACAACACACCAAACATAGCGAGCCAAGCGTACAAGGACAGCTCATGCCCTACACACTCACGGCATAACACTCATCCTCCACCGATCAATCAGATCCCTCTGCCCCGAGTCCATCGGTTGCTCCTGCACCATCCCCGTCTGCATCATCCCCATCTGCTGCATCTGCATCTGCATCTGCTGCATATGCTGCTGCTGCTGTTGCTGCGCCATCCGCATCTGCATCGCCATCTGCGGCGGATACCCCATCCCGCCCATCATTTGCTGCATCTGCTGCATCTGTAACTGCTGCGGATACATGAACGGGTTCATGCCCATCTGCTGGCCGGCCATGGCTGGATAGCCGAATCCAGAGGCTTGCGGGAAGGCCGTACTGGCGCCGGTGTTCATCGGGTTCGGGGCCATGGCTCCGAAGTAGCCGCTCTGGTTGCCGTTCGCGTACATCCCAGTCACAGGCGCAGAGACAGGGAAGCAATTTGGCACACCCGCACCCAACCCCAGCCCCGGCGATACGCCAGCGCCACCAGTCCCCGAGTTGTACGCTCCTCCTTTGAAACCTGTGCTTGTGTTTTGCGGCCCACTCGGCCCCTGCACATCCACCAGCGGCTTGTCGAGCCCATAACTCGAGCTCCGCTTATTCGTGTCGTAGATCTGGGCCCGATGCTTCGCCTGCGTCTGCTCGCTCTGGTGGAGCAGTGTCCCCGGCGTCAGCGCCGCCGTGAGCGCCTCGCTCGAAACTTTCCGCGCCGCGTTCGCGCCGATCGGGTTACTAAGAAGGAGGTCTGCCATGCTGCGCGAGGGCCTTAGGGCGGGCCGTGAGGTAGAGGGGACGGCGAGGTTGTTGTTAGTGTTGGTGTTTGCGGCGCCGGCACTCCCGCCGCTAATCTTCCGCTCCATGCCCATGCCGTTTGCAACGGCCTCGGCGCGGAGGCGGGCGCGGCGCTGGCCGAGCGTCTCTTCTTCCTCGTTCACGGGGGCTTTGGGCGAGGGTAAGGGGGAAGGGGAGGGCGTCTTCTTGGGCACACCCAGTCGGCTCAGCATCTCGGAGGCGAAGTCGCCGCTCACGGACTTGGGTTTGACGCTTGAGATGGCTTCGTCGAGGTGCTCTTTTTCCTTGAGCCGCTGTTTGCGCTGCGCCAGAGTTTCTTCCTCGTCGTCCGCTTCCTTGGGCGCGTCTGGTTGGCCTGCGAGGTGGAGGTCTGGGCTTCGTGGCGGCGCGAGGGGGGCGTCCATGGGGCGTTTGGCGGGGGAAGGATCGCGGCGGATGGCGTTGGGGTCGACACCGCGCAGACGGTTGCGGCGGGAGGAGAGGGGTTCGTTGTCTTCGAGCTCGCGCCTTTCGATGAGGCCGAGCGGCCGGTCCCAGTCGCGCATGCCGTTCGCTTGCGTTGGGACGCCCTTCTTGTTAATCAGGCCGTCGCGGCTTGGGAAGAGCATACCCAGCGGCACGTCCTCGTCGTCGCTGTCGCGTTCCTCGTGTTTGGTGGCGGGGTCTTCCCAGGCTAGTGTTACGTGGTGCTTATCGCGCCGCTTCTTCTCTATCTGGGCGACGGCGTCGAGCTCGAGCAGGGTGCTGTGCATGCCGTTTGGAAAGGCGTTGGCGGCTGTGCGGTTGCGGAGCTTCTGGGCGGCTTTGCGGAGTTGAAGCTCCGCCAGTAGCGTTGTGGGAGGTCCGTGAAAGGGTGCGGATTCGGGTTCGGGCTCAGGCTCATTGTCGACATAGTGGTCGTCGTCATCAGGGGCGTGATCAGGGACATGGCCTCCGACCAGGTCATCGTCGGAGTGCAAGGAGCGGTCGTCGCGGTGGCCATCTCCGTCCTCGTCTGGGTAGTTGCGATAATCTGCAGGCCGCGCTTCGTCATCGGCGTCGGTGGATTGTTGAAGGGGAGTGTTCTCGCTAACTCCATCCATGTGGTGGTTTGGAGTGGCATGGTCGTCCAACTGCGTACCGACACTGAGGCGACTACTGTTGTGCTTCTGGAGCTTGTTGAGCTGATCCGAGGAGGAGTTAGAGCGCCGGCCAAGCAACAGGCTGAAAGAGTTCCGACTCTTTCTATTCTCAGGTTTGCTGGTGGGCATGATCGACACCGTGCTCCTCCTAGCCTGCGCTCTCCCGTAGACTTCATCGCCCACGTGACCCGCGAATGGGTGATCGGTAAATGCGCTGACTGGAGCGTGCGCGGAGGCTTCGAGGATGCTGTCGAGCGTCGCTTCAGCGGATTCACCTTTGACTTCGACATCTTGGGAGACGCCTTGGGCATCGAAGAACATGCTTGCTCTTAGCTGAGGAGGCAGACTAGCGAAGTTTCCGACACTCTTTCGCGGGCTCCTCTTGTTGACGGTGTTGTCAACGGAATCATAACTGTTACGTTGCTCGTCCCCAAGCCAGATGGCAGATTTTCTGGCCTCCGCTGGCAGGGAATCTAACATTTGTGTGCGGCGCTTCGCTTGAATTGAGGTGTCCGGCACCTTTGACAGTCGCTTGGGCAGGTTGAGCATTCGAGGCACAGGCGCTGGATAGAAGACCATGTTTTCGCCAGGGGGAGGCTCGGTGCCGTTTTGCGGCTGAGGTAGCTGGCGCAGCATGGAAAGTACGGATGAATGACTGGTATGACGACTGTGCTCACCGCTCGAGCCTTCTTCTATGGTTTCATTAATTGTTGGGGCATAGTGTACACCGTCAAAGTCGTGGAAGAGTGTCCGCGCTTGCTGGTACGTATCAGTGGATGCGGCGGTCGGAGGCCGGTCTGGGATATCAGCAGGTAGTTCCCTCGAGTTCCGCTTGCTGCTCCTCGCAGAGCCGTTCTGCTGGATTTGGTTCGCCGGCATCGATTGCAACTCTTGTTCCATCTCTTGCGCGATTCGGTCGTATTGTGCGGAAAATGAGGACGAGTCTCGAGGTTGCCGGGGCGCTGACACAGGTATGGAACTGTCTCCTGCAGTTGCATCCTGCCCGCCTTGCCCGTCCTCCAACTGGGTAACATGCCCCAGTCTTGAACTCTTCGAGGCCGAGCGTTGTCCGTATAGCGAGGGATTGGATTGAGACCAAGAACCTGATCTGACGGAGCCGATTGGAGAGGTTACATAGCCGCCCGGCGAGTAACCCCCACACCTGGCAGCGCTGTTGACGTCCACAATCGAGTTGAAGTACGAGCTGGTCGAAGTGTTGCGTGATCGAGTCAACGGCATAGTTCTTTGCTCGTCGACTGTTGCTGACCGCATAGAGCCCCGCCTGCTCTCAGCCAGCTTCTGTTCTAAGTGCATCTTTCGAATTTCTTCGGCAATGTCTGAGCCCATGCTGAGCCTCTCAGCGCTCTGCTCCAGCCGCTCGACATTCTGGACGTATGCTCCCTGCAGCGACTGCAAATCTGCGGTCGGATGGCGGAGGAGGACGGTGCCCTCTGCCGACGCTGTTCGCACCATGGGCTCAGGCGGGTGGGGGTAGGCGGAGGTTGAGGTTGAGGCAGCCATGATGGCGGAGGTACGGAGGTTCAAGGGAAGAAGAGAGGGACTAAGTTAGAGCGGACTCAAGTCAACTATCTGTAGGTAAGGGAGCGGATGGCGAAGCCTAGGGCGGCCGGTGAGGAAGCAGAGGGTGTTGATAGGGTTGTCCAATTTCTCGCCCAATCCCAGGCCAGTCGGCGTTTGTCGTTGCGCCTCCCGCGCTAGCAGGGGGCTACGTTGGTCTCGCAACCCTTGAACTCACCCTTTCGGACAACAGGCCTCATATCTTGATGTTGATATTGGCGCCACAAGATACACAGATATACAGATACACAGATACACAGATACACAGATACACAGATACACATACACGCTAGCACACAGGGCACTGTCGACGATGATACAAGCCATTGCTCGTGCAGCAGACTCGAGCATAGATGATAACACAATCTCATGCCGGTTCTCCACCATTCCCACAGGTAGGGCAGCATATACAACCTCGCACGACGTCCGCAGGCACAGAACGTGCATCTCAAACGACGCGCGACACCTTAGTTGAGCGTCTCAACGAGCACGGAGAGACGCATGAGTTGCAGGCCATGTTTTGCTATCTGCTGCCTATCTGCGAACGGCTGAGCTGAAGGCCAGGGGTGCACAAGCAGTAGACGGAGCGGTCCCAAAAACATGCCTGGACTCAGCCTCCTGCCGATGCTACAACAAGTCTTTGGCTTGGGCTCAAGCTCGCGCCGTAACGCTTTCAGTGGGAGATTCACACTTGGCTGCAGCACTCGGAGTTCTTCAGGAGCTTGACGCAGGACCAGCCAGACCACAAAAACAGACTCTATGCATCCTTGACAATCTTGCGAAGCGCGCACGTAAACCTTCTACGAGGCCGTCCACGCCTTGGTTGCTCTATTATAGCTTGAACCTACATCGTCTTGCCTAGGATAAGCCCCGCGGAGAGGATAATTCCACCTACGACGTTCTACGGCAGCACCGCTATTGCCGCATTCGGAAGCGACCTACCTAAAGCTCGCATTTAGCGGGAATGCGAGCGCTAGCTGAAGAGTCGAATTGAGACGTGTCTGGAGATGCAATACCCTTCGCTTCCTTCAAGACAAGGCATGGTCCCTCCTGCCTCAAAATACACTTCTAGTGTGCACTAAAGTTAATCGCCGCAACGAACCTCTGTCCCAGGCGTCCGAAACCAGCACACCTCCAAGATACGCTTAGCTTAGAGAAAGCCCCCTCATCTGCGCGTCTTGTTCTCAGCCATCCACGTCCTGACGGCCTTAGCGCTATCGTGGGCGGCGCGAAATACTGTTCCGTACACCGTGCGGTTAGAAGTCTGCTTGTGGGTCTTCTCATGGGTTGATCGACTGAAAACAGAGTGAAAGGAACAGACTCACGCCGTCGCTCCTGCTCATCGAGGCCGCGCAAAAAATCAGCGCCCTCGCCCATGGCGCCGCGGGGGTTGTGCGCCTGGTCCGCGAGAACGGCTGCGCGTTGTTTGAACGTCTGCATCACATCTTGTTGTTAGCAGCTACGTCGGGCCGAGGCGGACGGTGTGGTGGGTGTTGGAAGCACGAGAGCATCGTATCCAGAGCAAACAACTACGACGGCATAGACGTACCTCACTCAACACATCCCCAACCTCCTCTTCTTCGAAAAGTTCGAGCATGCGCGCGCCGAGAGCGTAGAAGTGCGCTGCGAGGGCTCGGAGATCGACGGTCCGCGGGTCGGCTTTCAGAGCGTTGAGGACGCGGGGAGAGAGGCTAGTGGGAAGGTCGAGGGTGAGGAGGGGCGTGGGGCCTTGGCTGTGGGGGTTAGCTTGGGGTTATTGTGGAAGGATGGAGCATATGGGAGGGCAGGGAAAGGCGAGTATGATGTTTAGATAAGGGTTATGTGGGTTGGAGGAAGCGCAAGGAGGGGGAATAACTGGAGAAGGATGACAATGTGTACAAGAGAGATTGAGTGACGCCCGAGTAAGAAACGTACAAGATAGAGCCTCAGGCTGCAGGAGAACCTGAGAAGGTCTGAAATCACAGCCGGCCCTGGCATAACGAGAACCGGCCGAATGAGCAAGCGAAGGGAAGGAAACTCTGAACATGGGAATGCGGCGTCCGACGTGCACTCAGGAACCTAGGACTTACCTAACGGCCAGCATCTCCCCAAGCCACAGAGGAAGCTCCACTTTCCCGCCCTGCTTCATCTATCCTCCGCCTCATGAGCTACCCCTGTCGAAGTCACGCGAGCAGTTCATGAAGCCTTACATCGCCGCCCACATTGCCGTCGAGATAGCCCAAGCCGGGCACGGTGAGCTCAAAGGTGCACGGGACTTTCTGTCGTGTGTTTTTAGTCCATGACCAAGCTTGCCACCGCGTATGGGGAGGTTACTACCTGCGCGTCAGTGAGGATGGCGTCGATGTCGTAGTAGCCTCCCATTGTGAATTGGCAGGCGTCGTTTTCGATGTTGGTGTGAAGCGAGCAAGACCGACGATCTCGGTACTGCGAGCGATTAAAGAGCTACGTGTTGGGCTAACTGAGTGATTCTAGGTACAGGAAGCTCGTTGTCGCGACGCGCATCTGCCGGAACGCGTCGCGAGAAATGCGTGACTCAGTCAGACTGGGGGCATAGAAGCTCAAAGTATCTCGGTGAAGGCCAAACAAGAGAATGGCAAGCACAAGTAGCTGGCAGATTCACGTGGGAGATTTGTCACCCAGGCAATGGATCGTGACGAAGCCAGGGCGCCTGTACCTTTTCTGAAGGCGATTGCGTACCGTTTATGCCTGGCGAAGATCCCCGTAGACTTTGGTACTTAAAGAGGCACAGCCTTGCTTCCTGCTGCACGACATTGCACAGTCTCACGCCGGACTGCTACGGACCTTCGTTGGGTTGTTAGATCTCCTGTCTGCAAACACAACCGTAGCTGTCTCGCCATATCTTGAATCCTGTGTTGTGCCTGGCCCATCCCAGTGGTGCTTAAAGTAGTAGGGGTTTGGGTGACAAGCAACGCTCGGCTCTTCTCCGCTTGGCGTCAAAGCTCCCGTCCTTCGAAGCGCTACCGAACCTTACAGCCTCGAGACTTTGGTACTGGTCCCGGCCACAGACATCGGACGGCGGCCCGCATACAGAGGAACGAATAGTTCATGGGAGCCTACAAGATCTCCAGGACGACCAGGGACCCGAGGACTACTTTCTCTAAAGCTTGCCAGGGCGTGTCACGAGCTTCTGGAGCTCTACCTTCGCTATCAAGTGTGTTTTGTAAGCAGTCCAATAGACAACCATCGCCGCCTCGACTGACATGTGGCGCAGTAGTGCCTTTTATGCGCTCTTGCCGTAGCTAGAGGCAACGACAACACCTTCCTCGCCGAACTTCGCCGCATCTCCTGCTTCCCCTACCAGCGGACACTCGTTTTGCCATCCCTATCATCTCTACATCTTGAACATCTGCGAATATCCGATTCTGATCCCACATCATGGCGAACGACAGGCTGGCGGCGCTAATTAGCGCGCTAGATGGACCGGCCGGTAACGATATCTCACGCGCGACATCTCCAGGCGGCGACTGGACGGAGGTAAATGGCGGAGTAAACGGGCAAGATCAAGAGAGGCAGTCACGTCGCGGCCGGCCCCGAACCTTCCCATACTCGGAATACCTGCCGTACCCAGTCGAGGACCATGCGGAGAGGCTGGCAAACCTGGACACGTGCATAAAACACCTGTATATTGCCGTCTCAGCAGGCGATTTCTCGCCCGGTGCGGTGCACTGGACGCGCGAGATTCGAGGATGGATGTCACTTAAGTTCGACCTCCCTTGGGAGACACGAGTGAAGCTGGTAAAGCTCTACTACGAGATGGCTCTGGCTCCTGGGCTGGACTATGTGGTGGCTGAGCGATTCGCCAGCATGTTCATGGTGTTGACAAAGCGAAAGCACTATCTCCGACCCGTGAGGGACCTCACCCTAGACTGGAGACCACTCTACAAGGAGCTCAAGAACTTCGTGCTTCCTGCGGAGGGCGGAGCGTCTCACACGGCCAGCATCAGGCGCAACATCCGGACATTAACCAAGCTCAGCACATTCTCTCAGCTGTTCTTTGATCCCAATGAGATACCGGAAATGCTGAAAGAGTTTCTGTCCTACTTCAGCACCTCCTTCACGGAGACTGCGTATGTTGTGGCAGGCTTGCTTAATCTCTTGTTGCCTACGACTGCTCCTCCCCCCGACAAACCCGAGCTACAGCCGCAGTACTATCTGCCGACGTTCTTCCATCTATGGTCTCTTGTCGGCAGATCAAAGCAGTTCGATGTTCATTTCATCGACATCTTTTCCCGGTTGGCGCGAGACTCGCTGTCTGCGCCACACATCTCGTACTCAGAGTACGGCATTTTCACCGGCGAACAGTCCTCTTTGATATTCACCGCCGTTCTCAGACTGCTCGACATCCCTGTTGGTCAAGCAACTTCTCCATATAGCAGCACGGTCGATCTCTCTGCCGGCTTGGCGCTGTTGCTCAACCGCGACGATAGAAAGCACCCATCTGCCCATCATATCGCAAGATGGATAATCATGTCGCTTTCTCCGGCCTGCGCGGAAAAACCAGACTCGATCCTTTCGAAGCTGGAAGGTCTGATAGAGGCTATCGAGACATTCTTCCACCCGTCAAATTCGGGATCCTGGACAAAGCCGTTGTCCCAACTCACCTACTACTTAACGGACTTCTTTGTCATGCGGTGGAACCGCGAGCGCAATGGCGAGATGGAAGTGCCCGAGGAGCGGAGGCTGAATGATGCGGTCAAGAAGCGCTTCGTGCTCTGCATGCGTGAGGTCATCTTCATGGGCATCTTTGCGAAAAGCAGCACCGCTATCACCTTCTCCTTGTCGACACTTCAGAGCCTTGCATTCCTTGAGCCCAACTTAATCCTCCCGGGCGCTCTGCAGCGCATATACCCTGCCATGCAAGGTCTAGTAGAAGTACATCGGACAATCACTTCCATACGATCTCTTCAAATGCTGTCGAAGGTCATGGCAAGAAGCAAGGGATACCGATGTCATATCACGACGCTTCTGGGGCTTGCATTACCCGGCATAGATGCCAATGACCTGGACAAGACTATGCACACGCTTGCATTCATCCAAGCGATAGCTTACCAAGTCCCGTTTGTTGACCTTACGCAAGAGCGGAAGCCGAAGCGCGCCACTGACAATCTTGAGGATGGAGATGGCACAGAAACTCCCTCGGAGGGCCACGATACTGGCGTCGCCATGCGCTGGATCACAGCTCAGGTCGAGAGGCTAGAAACCGAGGGAGCCGATATCGAGATTGACTACGAGACGGAGCTGACCGACCATGAAGAAGAGATGATCCTGCGGTCCTCAACAACAGCATTACCAGAATTCATAATATCGTTCCTTGGCCGCATCTTCACCCTGCTCGAGAATCTACCAGACGCCTCCAGGGTCCGTAGCGGATCACCCGAAGAGAACGTCATCAACAGCCTGCCCGCCTGTTTCACCCCCTTTCTTGCCGCGCTTTCTCCGGAGCTCTTCGATCTTGCGCTTGATAAGATTGCGCACTTTGTAGGCAACCATGTCATCCACCAGGCGAGAGACGCGATGGCCTTCATTTGCAATGCGCTTGTCAAGATCAATCCCGAGAAGTCTCTGAGGCGTCTTATGCCGGAACTGATCTCGAGCATCCGCACTGAAATAGAGGATAATGGAGCCGGATCAACACGGACCACTGGAACTGAGGTGTTACCTAGGGATAGAGGTCTGACTTGGAACATCAGCTTGCTGAGCATGTGCGTTGTACATGTTGGTGACGAGGTCCTGAAATACAAGCAAGAGCTGCTTGACATTGCGGCATTCATGCAAGAGCGATGCAGGGGAATCCCAACCGTCCACATCTCGAACTTCATCCACCATCTTCTACTCAATCTGACTGTCACGTATACCACGGATTACGCCTTGTACGAGCCTGAAGAGGTGCAGATGGGTATAACTAGCGGCCACTGGGGCAGGTTTACGGATCCCAAGAAAATCCGGCCTGAATGGCATGTACCGACAAAGGACGCGCTTGACTTTGCGATTGAGCTGTTTCAGTCGGAAGGAACCAAGGCAATTGACATGCTCAACGCGCTCACCAGTGACGACCCTCCAGTAAAGCGCGTCGGCAAGGCGAAAGATTGGACGGATGAGGTGTCTCGCAACCTCGTCCTCATACGGCTACTGCTGTCCGGTGTCTCTGTTCTGTTTGATGCGCGATACGACGCTTCTAGCGCTGTTGCCGTCAACGGTGATGTGGAGATGCACGACAGTCCACAGTCTGACGAAAAGGGGAACGATGACACCGACGAGCTGACTCTGGGCGATGGAGACGACGAAGAGGGGAAGACGGTGTTCCAGTACAATACCGGCTATCCTTTGGACCGGGACAGCGAGCAGTATCGTATGATCCACCGTCTCCGGGACGCTATGGGCAAGGCTTTTCATCGAGTCCATGCTTTCTTAATAGAGAAGGGAGTGGAAGAAGTGACCTGCTACAGCTCTCTATACAACGCATATCGCTCGTGGTTCGTCGATGTCGGTATTGAACGCTCCGCACACGTGCTCGATCGGGTAACACGTCTACTCGCTGCGGACATAGCTCCGTTCAAGTTCACCGGAACCCGTAAGCAGTACCCAAGGCCATTACTTGTACGCCGGGCGAATGTCTACCACCTTCAACGACTGCGCCACAACGCAACTCCCAGGCCGAAATCCGAGCTTGACAAGCAGCTCCTATTGGATCTGGCGGAGTCCAGTGTCTCTATATACACTGAAGTTAGGCGGACTGCGCAGACTGCCGGCGAATCGGCTGTCAAGTGCATAATTGGAGCGCGACCGCTTGTAATTCCTCCGCTGCTTGAAGCTTTCGGCAAGGCTGTCAAGGACAACGATTACCCCCGAATCAAGGGCGCAATATTCTCACTATTATTTGGCAGCCTGGCGAAGACAATTGGCAGAGACTGGCGATTCACGCCGACACTCATCAAGTCTTTCATAGATGTCACCGAGGCCGACAAGCCGTCGATACAGAAGCTTGCCGCAAACGCCACTTTCCAGATCATGGATATGGCGAAGCCCCTAGAGCGTCTTGTCTTGCTCGACCAAGACACAGTTGAGTCGATAGCTTCCGTCTTTCTTGAGGATGAAGCCGAGAAGGTCAAGTCAAGAATAGAGAAGAAGAGAAACACTATCAAGAGGAAGCGGACAAAGGTCGAGAGCAAGAAGGCGGAACTGTCTGCAGATCTTGTAGAGATGGGAAGGACATCGCACTGGAAGAAGGCAAGCCGAACTGCTACTATCGTCATCAGTCTCAGTATGCGATACGATTCCGTGGCGTCTGAAGGCATGATCGACCTTGTCACTAGAGGCTCGATCGATCCGCATCCTAGCTTGCGCGGTCTTTATGCAGGAGGGCTTATTGGCATCTTCGCGCTTGTACAGACCCGGTGTCTTACCAACCACGACTACAAGAAGTACTTGCTCCAAGAGGAAAGCATTCCAGACAAGATTGAGGTGCCGACTCGGTCCGAGGACCCGAACTGGACTAAGGATTTCTTGTCCAGCTTTGCTAAGCCAGAAGCGAAGTACTACGTCGACCATGACTATCCTGGGTGGCTTGTTTGGGATAAGAAGATGCCGGCCTACACAATTGAGCCTCAAGAGTACAACTATGACAAGCTCGAGATGAAGATTCGGAAACAGATCGGCAAGATCATGGACCGCCATTGGTTCTCGACCTACTTTGCATACATGAAGCAGGAGCCAAGAGATCACGGCGCCGACCGCTTCCGCATGTCGAGTGCGATGACGCTGACTGGCGCGTTCGACCTTATGTTCCAAGGGCTTACTACAGCCACTTTTGAGGACATCAAGGATTTGACTCAGTCTGTGTACGCAGACGGCAGTGACAAACACCAGCACAGGGCCACTGCTGAGATCTTCGGGGCCATGCTGTGCGAGGCGCACGACTTGTCCTCCGAGCAGCGAATGGCAGTGTGGGATTACGTGTTTCCCATTGTCCGAGGCATCTTCCAGGATGGCCTGACACCGGAGAACTCGTCGTACTGGAACACCTTCCTGCACTTGGTACTGTCTGGCAAAGACGTCCGACGCAATTGGCCCTTGGTTGAGTGGCTCACGGACTTCCGGCTCGATATGACCTCTAATGCGGCTTTCAAGGAGAGCTCCAAGATACAAATGCTAAACCTTGTCGTTGCTGATGCCGGCTGGCACTTTCAGCTAGAGAAACCTATTCTCGAGGATTTCATGAACCATCTTGACCATCCATACAAGGGCGTCCGCGAGGTCATGGGGCAAGTGATAGCCGGCATCCAACGAACCAGATACCACGAATCCTTCCCGAGCGTCGAGGCGTTGATCACCGCCAACAACTCCTCCTCATCGGTCGGTCTCCGTCCTTACCAGCTCACTTTAGCCGACACTGCCATGACCACCTCCGTCTTCGACCGCCTCGAAGCCTGGCGCCTCCAGCGCAAGCCCGGCGACCAGCAGCCAACCCCCTACACCATGGCCAGCAAAACCGTCCTTATCTGGCTCGACGCCACCCTCTCCTCCTACGAATGCACGCAGCTGGTCCCTCTCTTCCCCTCCGTCTTCCTCCAGCAGCTCCTGCACATGATGGACATCAAAGAAGACCCCGAGCTCCAAGCCCTCGCTTACCACGTCTTCCGCCACCTGCCCAACATCCCGCACCGCGCAGGCGAAGACGAAGCCTTCATCGCGGCCCTCATCCGCATCGGGCGTACTTCACCCTCCTGGCACCAGCGCCTGCGCATCCTGATCAACATCCAAGTCGTCTACTTCCGCCGGCTCTTCCTCATGAGCGAGGATACCCAGCGCAACATGTTCGATTGCGTGGCCGACATGCTCGGCGACGCGCAGCACGAGGTGCGGCTCGGTGCCTCGACCACCTTATCAGGCATGATCCGCTGCTCGCCCCTCGCGCTCCGCAATCAGGTCGTGGAATCCCTCCGCGAGAAATTCACAACCACGCTCAAGAAGAACCCCCTGCCCAAGCGCCTGGCGAGCCGCGCCCCAGGCACACCGACGCCAGAGCAGAATAAGCTGGTGCTGACGCGACATGCGGCTGTGCTGGGGCTCGGGGCCCTGGTCCAGGCGTTTCCGTATACGAGCCCGCCGCCGAGTTGGCTGCCGGAGGTGCTGGCTACGCTGGGGTCAAGGGCGGCGGGGGATCCGGGTGTGGTGGGGAAGAGCGTCAAGCAGACCTTGGCGGACTTTAAGAAGACGAGGCAGGATACTTGGCATGTGGATGTCAAGGTGAGTTTGGTTCCGATTTCTACGAGGAGGCGGTGAGACTAATTTGTGCTGCAGGCCTTTGAACCAGAGCAGCTGGAAGATCTGGAGGGCGTGCTGTGGAAGAGTTACTTCGCGTAGACGGACGGGATGGTTGCTTCCGAGCGTCAGAGCTGTGCGTTTGCCGGGTTGGTATGAACTGGAACTGGACCTATTGGTTCTAGGGTTCTACCTGCAATGTAGTATGGTTTTCTCTAGGATGGGTACGGTCCGAAATGAACTTGTTCGCATGAATGGAGAGCACCGTGGGGCTCACAGGGCGTCTTGGAGAAAAAGTGACGGCTTGTAGAATCCTAAATCGTGTGTAATGAATAGAGAAAGTCTGCGCTTCTCGCGCTACCTTTCCCCACCAGGACGTAATTTGACATATCCTTACATTGAATGATTATGTCTCGGGTACCTGTTACCATTGCATGGAACCTGCGTCCATGATCGTTATTATTCTAGGAGGTGGGGCACAAGCATAATTCCACTGTATAATCTTCTCCATTACGTGCCTGGGAATGCTCTGTACACGTCCAAGGGCAGGTGTGATCGGGCTGGCCGCACACTTTATTAAGCTAGCTTAGTTGTTCTGTCGGCGAAGTCATCGTCGATAGGCCTGTTCTCATGACGCACAAGATTAAAAAGGTATTCACTCAAACTTCTTTGACGAGTGGATAGGCCACACAGTGAACAAGAACAGAAGTAGAAAAAAAGTGTGGGGTCAACATGGCATCTTGTCGATGCCAGGAATCTGTATGTTTATTAGAATTAGGTCGTGCTGGAACGAGATCGAACACTAAGCTTACCGAACCTGGGTCTAGACGGCCACAACGTCTTGTACTAACCACTATACGACATCGACCGATAGAAAATTGTCGACTATACGATAAATATCCTCACAATCATGTTAGTCGCACTAGCATGTTACTGGTACCTCTTGACCTTCGACGGCCGCCCAACTCATGAGGCTAAGCTTTGGAAGTGGGACAGTACCCCAGTCACTCGAGTAGTAAGTAGATACACTGCATCACCTTTTCGAGTCACCAAGACTGGGGCAGTATCGATGCAGATAAAACTTCAGCAGTCTAAAGCTTCCTTAGCCATCAGGGCGGGGCGTCTACGCTTAATACTGGTGTTATTGTTACCAGCCGATTGCAATACTATTCCTACCTCACAGCACAGTACGTTGCTCCGTCGCATACAAAGTAAAGGCCACTTCTTACATTCAGAATAATAGCAGTTCTGGGAACCTGACTGTATCATTCGATGCTCATTGCTCCAAAGATAGCTAGGTCTTGCTTCGCGAACAATGTCAGCACCAGTATCCGAACGTCACAGCCCTTTCAATCAGGTTGACAAAAGCAGCTCCTGACCACCCTGCCAACCACGCCGCTCCATCTAGACTTCGCCTGGTTCCCATCTTCTCCTGCTGCCGTCGCCTGGGAAGGGATTAGCCAGACGCAAAGCCATACCCATCGTGCCAGCAGGTTCAATTCCTCTCCACCATCAGAAACGCAACTCCCAAGCAGGCGCCAAACAACCATCCGGCAGCACCATCGACGGCCCCACGAGTCCCCACCCGCGCTCCCACCGCAACCTCCAGCACGTCTCATAAGAACCACTCACCTCACCAGGCTCCCAATCCGCCCTCCGTGGCCCCGCCCCACCACTCCTCCGACTGCTTCCCCGATTCATCCCCGTCTCCGCCCTACTCCTCCTCACAATAGCCGCATGCACGTCTTCTGCTCTCAGCACGCTCGGATCATGGCTCCGCGACCTAGTCACGCGGTCCGGTCTGTCACCCGAGCAGCGCTCCAAGAGCGGCAACTCCACCACCGTGGAGCGTGCCGTGTCTTCGCGCTCGAGGACACCTGGTGCGGGTGGGCGCTCTGGCAATCCTCGTGGCGATGGTGACGGGACCGCAGACCCCAGCGCCAGCGGGTCGGGATCCCCCCGCTCAAGCGCCCTTACGCGCACGATGCCCTCGGCGGCCGCGATGGGGAGCAGCGCGCCCAAAGCAGCGGAGTCGATCCGCTGGAGCTCCACTGTGGCCGTAGGCTCGGCCGGCTGGGTTGGCGCGGAACGGCTCCTGCTGTCCAGGGAACCAGGATTACGCGGCAGGCGCGCTTTCGTAGGCGCCGAGACCGCGGGGCCGCGGCGCGAGCTGGTGCTACTGCCGGAGATGCTACGCTGGGTCTGCGCGTCGAGCTTCTGGAGGGAGGAGGCCGAGGTGCGGTAGATCGGGATGCCGGAGGCGGTGTAGCGGGAGGAGAGGTCGTCTCTGCTGCGGGTTGCGGAAATCGGTGGTTGGTGCGAAGCTTGCGGCGGGCTTTGAGTGAAGCCGTCGGTGGTAGGCTGCTGATTATCGCACCTTGAAGCTAGTGCCTCGAGAGAGTTCGTGGCAGCCGTAGGAGAAGCATAGGGCACTGCTGCAGGCGCTAGGCCATCTGCTGCGTCGTCAGGCCAGCTGCCAGGCACAGCAACCGAAGCGCGATAGAACGGATGACTTTCCAGTGGTCCTAATCGTGACGAGTTGTGTGCACTTCTTGGAGGTTGCCAGTATGCCCTGCCCCTCCGCTGGGGTCGCCGAGGCGGCTGAGGCGGTGCGAAAAAGTGACGAACGGAAGCCCAGAAGTCTCTAGGAGCCGACTGCGCTTGCGCGGGCGGTAGGTCACCCGGCCAACGAGGAGCTCCTGGTGGTGTCTTTGTGCGGATTAGGGGCGGTAGTGAAGGCGCAAGCAGCCTCGTGAAGTCTCCTGCCGGAGCCGTCGACTGCTGGGAGGTGTCCGATCTGATCTTACGAGTCTCACGCAAGCCAACCTCATCGAGACTTTTAGAGAGCTTTCGCCTAGGCATGAAACGACTCATAGAGGTCGGGAAGGACTGTTGTGTCTTCAGTGTTGCACGCGAATTCTGTTCTTTGATCGTGGCGAGCGGCGTGCCATTGGGGCGGTTCGTAAATCGCACGGCTAGGCTCACACCAAGCCTTTGCTGTGGTTCTGAAGGCTGTGAAAGGTCAGCGTAAGGGCAATAAAATATTATCAGGCCTATAAAAAGGTAGGTGCGCTTCGTTTACCTTGTTGCTGGTGGGACTTCGGACTTGACTTACCGCTGCGATTAAATCTTGTTCGGGCGCCTGAGGTCTGTCGTCGCTTGAATCCGTGGCACGCTCGACCGACTGGCAATATCCGGCATCGTAAAGCGAACTATGCTGGCTCGGTGTAGCTTCCGAAGAACCGAGGCGCGGATATAGGCGTCTCGGAGCCGGCAGAGGACTACGTGCGTTGCTTCTGTCTCCGAGCGGCACTTCTGTCAGATGCGATAGAGACATACCGTATACCTGCGTGATGATGTATATTTTTCAGAAGGCTATCGTCGATACGGTGCTAATGAATTTGAGGTGGGGAGAAGCCTTTGAAGAACCACGAAGGCTCCTCTGGCGTTTGCCACGCCTGCGTGTATCGCACCTGCCACTGCCATGGTTTCGTTGTTGTGTTGTTGCAGAGTGTGAAAAATGGCAGTCACGAAGTGGATTCTGAGGAAAGCACTTTCCACAGGCCGTAAATACTGCCGCACGTAAGCCAAGAAACAAGTCGTGGACCACATCACGGGCCTTACTGGGTTGGAAGGCATCTCGAGGCATCCTGTGGCGGTACGTCGGCCTACAACACCTACATTGTTTAGCGCTTCGAAACGAGCTCGAGGCGCCGCAGCTTCAACTACTGAAATGTGACTCCGGATGAATGCCGCTTCAAGTGCCTCTCAGAGGGTTCAACTAGGGCAAGAGCAGCGATTGATACCACCGCTTGTTTACAGGATGGCTTTCGACGGTATGAGATGAGTGAGAGAAACATGATCTGCCGCTAGAGCATCTATCGCCTTGTAGCAAGTTCACCACGAGAACGGTTGAAGATAGCAGACTGCATGGATAGTCCCACAGGTAAACTCAGGGCTGAATCACTGGGTGCACTCTGCGTTAATTTACAGGCATAATGCTCGTCAAGCTGTAAATAGACCTGCCTCAGTACATCATGGAGGAGTTGAGGCAGTGGACGTATTGATGCCCTCGGCCCGTTGACTGTAAGCATGAGCTGCCGACGTCGCTCATGCACAGACTATTGAATGCGCCAGAGAGGTTCGAGGATCTGGTCGTCGGATATCAGATCGGCAGACAAAAGATGTCGAGATAGCGGGTAATCCGGGGACTGAAGCTGCCACAGTCCTGCGCCGAGAGCCGAGGCCACAGAAGACGTGTCCGTAGGCGATATGGATGATTCTAGGCCCTTTCCAGTGACATGGAACCCTGGGTATCGAAGCCGAAGGAACATGCGAATATCAGCTCATGGGCTTTCGCTATTCGTTGCCCTCTGGAGTCGGCCATGCAGAATTTATCAGCCACGAGGAAGACACCGGCGAGCGAGCCTACTGTGCGTTCGGCTAGCGACTGCGAAGTTTGTATTTTGAAATTCTTCCAAAGCTTGTCAGTCCAACGTTACCACGTTGCAGGCCGGCGGTCCGCCCCACAGCCCGCCCACGGCTCGTTTGACATGCACCTTTGCAGATCATAGGCACGTTGTTCGAGTTCCAGCGAATAGAGTTGGATACCACGCGAGACTAGCGCCTCAGCCGACCGAGTACGATACCATGACAATGGGACGGATTCCGGGTTATCCTTGCGCACATGCAGAATTGGATCTGACAAGCGGCTCTTAGGGTTTCGGCTAAATGGACCTCCACAGGATCAAGGCCGCGCGGTTACGGCGCCTTAATTCCCTTCGGAGCTGCCACAATGGTTCCAGAGCCGATCCATCGTAACTGTGCTTCTACCAGGTCCATGGCTTCATCGGATGAAGGTTCGGCTGACTCTGTGGTTTGACTTACCGTGCGGTAATTTCGTCGCCGCCAACTCCGAAGTGCATGCTGCTGTCATGATCAATGAAGGGCGAGATTCAGCACGATCGGACGAGCGTTGAACCTCCACGGGCTGTTTGTAGATGACGGTCTTGACGCTTATGGAGGCGGACGTGTGAGGCGTTAAGGGCGGGATGGGGGCTCCTCCGAGAAGACGCAGGACTATCCCGCTTCTTGGAAGCCCCCCGCAAGCGTTGGATTGAGGGCCACGTGGAGAATGAGCCACCATGCAGACAAGAATTCAGCTTGAAAGAGACGGTGTGCAGAACGGTGCTGATAACGGTTTACAGACGAGCCTCTGCTGCGTCAGGCTTGCACTATCGACCGCTAGTGTTGACAGGCTTGCAGTTCCTGTGGGGTGATGAATGGTTGTTCTGCGGAAGCTTGCGGCAGCCGGAGCCTTCAACACATGTCCAGTGCGTTCTGTGGCGCTCGAGGTGGTCCACACGTTCGACTCGGGGCGCCCGCTTCTCTCTTTGTGGCGCACCCAACCACCTCATAATGCATTCTGCGCTGTGTCCTGCATGATTCCAGAAGTCTTCAGATCATGGAAACATCCGTGCCAAGCATGAGTGCTGCGCCACCGCCGACGCACATCTGTCTCCAGCGTGCAGGAGCTGTTCTGCCTCCCGGTTAACGATGGCGGCGGCAGGCATCGGAGCAACATGCCGTCTGATTTTGAATCCGCCCAGCTGATGGTCGCTAGGACAGCGCATTAGCCGGGTTCAGAGAAGAACGGTTGATCCCTGACCGACCCGATGCAAGAGGTCGCAGAAAGGCCTCGCTCGGTGATGGCTTAGTGGCTTTAGTGTCCCGTTGGTTCGACCATCTTTTGAATCCAGGTGACGGCGAAACTCCCTCGTGGCATCCATGCATCGTCGCGTGGGACGGTTGGAAGCAGCCGGCTGCTGCAAGGCTTGACGTTACCTGACATCCATGTGTTCGCGTCGCACAACGACCGCACAGCGGGTGCGGAGGTTCTTGCCTGAAAACACAGCGTACGGCCGTAAATTCGCAGCGGCCTTCTGAAAACCCCATGAGCCCGTACTCCGCCAGAGCGTCGCCCCAAGAGGCAGGAAGGCGAGATGTGGCATTCCCATTACCTTTGTGCTGGGCCTTGGAAGCATGCTAGTCATTGCGCCATTGTGAGACTGTCAACCGGGTTTTTGGGCGGGGAAAGCAACCTGACAGTCCGGTTTACCTCCTGCCCGCGGCCCAATGTCGTCGAATGTCCAACCCAATACTACTTACGGGAGGAAAGCAGGGTTCCAGCTTCCGCGACTAACTGGCAAATCGGCAGAGCCGAGCCGCCGTCCAGGACCTCCCCAGTAGGTAGATGAGTACATAGAGTTCGTCGGGTTGTTGCAAAATCCGCTAGTAATTGTCAGAGACATTGGCGTGCGCCACTGGAGTGTGGAACTCAATATGCGGCTATTGTCAGCCCACTTCCGTGTATAGCCATGAGGATGCGCAGGAACACGACCGTTGGCTCGTCTGCGAGGACGCCCGTTGTCGTCAATGGCAGTAAAGAAGTGAAGTCTGTGCCGTTGTGATCCTGCAGAAAGCCCTAATGTGGATCAGGCGGTTTTGGTTGGCGGAAGCAACGGCAGCACCCTCATTAATGGTAATCTTCCCGCATCAGACAAAAACTGGGTTGAGGATACTGTTCAAACCGGACCTATCTCGACACCGACGGGGGTTGTTTGCGAAATCGTTCCAGGCTATTAGTGTTGCTGGATTCGGAGTAGAATATTGTCGAGATTTCTGACTCCCTGTCTTGGAGGATATCGAAGTGTAGTTGTTACCACCAGTCCGGTCAGGTAGACTCACCAGTTGCTGAATAGACAAGAAGAGATGGCTCTCCCCAAACTGGCCCCCAGCAAGTCCAAGAAAGAATTCCTACGACATCTAGGGCTCTCGGAAGACAACGAAGCTGTCAGACGGGTGTACAACATGATGAAGGTACGGGTCCAATCGTACATCAGGTGATCGTCTGATCCTAACGATGCACACAGGACGAGGCTGTTGCGGGCCTGCAACGCATAAGTCAGACGCCGCACAATCTGACAGTAGCTGGCAGCGTCCCCCAACCCCCCTACTCTTCGAATCAGATAACGGAGACGGCCATGCACCAGGAGGTCCTCCGAATTTACTCCTTAGCTAGTCCGATGACCCGACCCATATATGACCTTGGTCGCTTCAGGGATGGACCTAATGAAGACAACTGGGTCATCAGGTGGTGCCTGTGGCATGTGTTCCGATACAGGGATAATCGGAACAGACGCCCTCGGTCTTCGCCCTCTGAAAGTCCTCCGGCAGATCCGCAGTCGAGAGATGGAAGTGAGGCGAGCGGCCGTGCCGGTACGTAGACCACTGCTGCTCTGCTTCATTGCCGATGGATTGAACGAGGCCTGTAACCAGATGTCATGTGATGCCCTTGCAGAGTGAAAGGCCGATAGTTCCGGGGTCAACTGAGAGCGGCTGGGGTCGCTTACGACGGCTGTTCGACTATGCGATTCAAGCGAGCAGCTATACTGACAGAAGTCCAGGCGAATACTGGGACCCGGTCAGGAATGCCTGAAGAAAGGGATTGAGAGCAACACAGTGGTGGTGCGTAAGTCGCTCGTAATCTCGTGGAACCAGGTCTGACGTTGTGCAGCTTCACTTGTTTATCGATGAGCGTGAGACGGCCGTTTAATGTAGCCGAAAGGCTTATAGCATCATCAATTCCGGAGGTTCTTTGCGGTATCGAGCGACATTTCGACACTATTTCCTGCGATTGCTCTTCATGTCACCGGCTGTTGCTAAGTTGGCTGGAACATTGATTGCCCTGGAGTTCTTATGGGGTATAGGCAGTGGATGCCGTTTGACGACCTGTTCTTTCTGCATGTCTGCCTTCTCGATGTGTTGTTTCGCTCGCGCTGTTGTTTTGTAATATCTTACTCGCTGGCGGAAAAAGTGCGCCAGCTGCTCAGAAAGTCTTTGAGCTCAGCTTTCGCGTTACAGAACTCACTTCGACCAACAGTCCCTCCGTCGTCTGACCAAAGACCAAGGGAAAGTCTTGCTCGAGGTAGTTCTGCCCAGCTCATGTCGGCGGAGACGCTTCGGCGGTCCAGCGGAGCTTTCCCGGTGCATGGTCGAGATGAGTGAAGACGTTGATATTTCTGTCTTCGAGCTGAAAGGAGAAACGAGGCAAGTTCAGACCAGACATGTGTTCCAAGCTCATTCATAGACGTGAAGCAGGAGGAAGGGTGGGATGGGAGCGTAGGTCTCTAACACGAAGGAAAAGGTCTTGTAAAGAGGGACGGGGCATTCGAGATTTCAATCTGCATTCGACAGCAATATATTCTCGGTTACAAGCAAGAAGGGCACTAGCGACGTTGATATGAAAGCATGTGATGGAGAAGATGAAACTGCCGACAAAGGAGGTGCACTTCTTTAGTACTCGACTACCCGTCATACGCAGCGGAATAGTCCACAATTCCAAATGTACGATCGCCTGTAGGTCTTCGTGATCATACCATAGCCGAACTGTAACGAGTCACATTTAATATATCTACAATGCAGGGCAATCAGAACATCCAGTAGCACGGTCTGCGTGACTGTGGCTGGCATGTTATTCCAAATCTTATCGGCACAGCCAGAATAGTAGTACTCTGAGCTCTGCGGTTCTTTGCCTACTCAATGCCGAATTGATCACACATGCAGTCTGAAGACTGTTCCAGACCGGACTACCGCAAGTGAATCGGCATATGGAGTTGCAGTCACGTGATGGTGGGCTGATATTAATACCAAGAATTCACGTTGCAGCGCCCTTCCATTCCCATTGCCACATGCCAGGCCCACCTCCACTCTGGCCCTCCTGAGTCTCTCAAGTGCATCGCGGGACTAATGGGTTTCCAACAGGCTCGAATAAAGGTCGATTCTTCAAATGTATGGTCACAACAAGCAGGAAGGGTGCTCAGCTGCGTCCCCGCCACCTAGCCACACAAGCACATATCAGGGCCCCTCACTTCCCATTATCAAACAAGTCCCTCCAAAACTCCTTGAACCCATACCTCTTCGCCGTCCTCTCATCATGCACGCGTGCCTTCCCCCCCGCAAACTTCTCCATTACGCCGCCCGGTCTATGACCCACAATCTCAACCTTAACCTTGGGCGCCAGCGCGCGCTCCCTGATCGCGTCGACTAGCTGCGGTGCCACGTCCGCGTAGCAGGACCGCAGCTCACGCTCGAGATTGTAGTAGGGCTTCTTGGCGAGGTTGGGTGCCATGAGGTTGTAATTACGGGTTAGGGAGTTGAGATTGTTGATTGCAAGGTTGAGATAGGAGGACTCAGTTGCGAGCCAGGAGGGGTCGCGGAAGGGCTGGGCTATGACGTTTACGACGTCAGGCGCGGCGGCAGTGGCTGACGGTGTGGTCTGCGTTACTGTGATTGAGGCGTTCGGCGTCTCTGGCGATGCTGGCGTTGTCGGCGAGCCGTCGTCTGACACGGGCATCTCGGTGATGGTAATCTTCTCCTCTGTTGATGGCGACGATAACACGCCTGCTTCTGAAGCTGCAGACTTGAGTTCTCCCGCCAGCGTTATCTGGCTCATCTGCCCGCCCTCGTCGACCGTGTTGATCGTCTCCTGCTTCCTCTTCACCGGATTCACCACCGCCTCCGCGGCGGCGTATTCCCTCGCCCTCGCCAGCTGACTTTCCAGACTCCCGCCCCTACTCGCGATAACCCTCGCCGCATGCCTCTTCCAATCGTTCCTAAGTCTCGCGCGGAACTTGTTCGCCGTGCTGACCAGCTCCTGCTGCTTCTCGATCCACGGCGGCACGATATCCTGCTTCTGGATGATCTTGTTCATGAAATACTCCGTGGTGTCCAGAAACGGACTCGAGGCGTTGTAGTCTCGCTCGATCTTCTGTCCGCGCGGCAGGTTCTTGAACTGGCCCCGGGCTATCGCGTCCTCGATGCGCTCGTTGGCCAGCGATGCCAGTCCTTGCAGCGTTGCCGGTACCGCGCGCGAGGCGGGCTCGAAACGCGCCTTCATTTCCTTGCGGAACCGCTCCCGCTCCGACTCAGTCATGGTTTGGTTGATGGTGCTGTAAATGCTGGAGCGGTCGCGGGCGTTGGCCAGGCGCGCGCCGGTCGAGGGCTTGCTGGTCGAACGGCCTGTGTCTATCTTAGTCGGCGCCCTGGGCGCGATGGTCCTGGTCCTGGTCCTGCCGCCCCCCGGTACTCGCAGCGGCTTGTGTGCGTCGGTCAGCATGCGGAGGGCGGCGTCCTCGACCGTCTCGGTGCCAGTCCAGGGGCGGGCCCCAGCAATGTCACGGGTGCCTTTGCCGGCGCTGGTGGGGAGGTTGGCTTGTGCGAAGGCGGCGGCATTGTCGCTCTTGAAGCTTGCGGACGCGATGCGTTCTTCGAGTTGCGCGCGGAGGGCTTCGCCGAAGCCGGCTTCTGAGACCGCTTTGCGCGCACTACGGCCGCCGGTCTCGAGGCTGTCTTCGCTCATCTGGGCTAGGCGTTTTGACATTGCGCCCTCGTCCTTCTCCTGTGTCTCGTTGTCTTTGCTCTGAGCTCCATTATGCTGTCGAGGCTCATCCGCCTGAATCCGTGGCGTAGAGGCAAAGCGGCGCCGCTGTAGGCATGTCGGGGATTCGACGACGGCTTGTCTGGCTCGCAGACAGCGAGTGCAAATATAGCGACCGGCTGTAGCACTGGGCATCCAGAAGGCAGGTTGTCCTACAATTTAGGATGATGGACGGGCGGCGAGATGAATCCATAGTGCTTTTAATCGCCCGCATCGTTTAGTGACGTTTGCCACATGCAATGCGGCGGCAGAACCGGGCTTAGTCATCTCTCGCGCTCACGTTACTTCAATCAAGAGATGCCTGGCCTGCGATCACCGCCGAAGTCGTTGCTCCTTCTAACATGTTACGGGCGTCAACAGTCTACAACAAGCAGGATGGAGTCCTGACGGTGCCGAGTGATGTGCGCAGCGTGTCTTGGACGCCAGCGGCACCGCCGGGCTCCCCTCCAGCTCTTACCATATCTCTAGCAGACGTAACAAGTATGCCATGGATGCCCTTCCTTAGGCTCTGAATAGTTCGTAGCTTGTGATGAAGGCGCGCTGTTGACTATTTGTAGATCTGCAGACCACCCTGCCGACGAGCAAGAACATATCGATCAAAGTATTTGTACAGAGACCTTCCGCTTCCGAGCCGGAGACCTTCGTCTTCAAATTCACCTCGCCAACCGCTGCCCGCGAGGAGTTCAACCCAATCAAGGACAAGCTCACAGATGCTCTCGCCAAACTCAAGGCGGCATCCGCGCCGGTAGCCAAACCCAAGGATGCATCTGCGGCAGTAGCCACTGCGTCGCCCGCTGCGCCCGCTGCGGTTGATGAGCCGGTCTATCAGGACAGTCGTCTCTTATCAGATCATGTTCTCCAGGAGTCTCTGTTGAAATCAGACCCCTCTCTCAATCAAAGATTCCAGCAAGCGCTGAAAGACAAGCCAGAGACAATAAGCCTAACGCAGTTCACCAGGGTATTCTGGGCCTCTCGAGTGCATCTGCTCCGCGCGCATGCCGTCGAACGAAGTCAAAGCCAGGGAGACGTCAACGTCATCTCCAACATCAAGCCACGCTATGATGAGAGCGGCGCCCTAAAGCTGAACGTAACCAAGGAGCAATTCCAGCTCCTCTTCAAGCAGCATCCGATCGTCAGGCGGCTGTACGATGACTCGGTGCCCAGGCTTCCGGAGCAAACCTTCTGGGAGAAATTCTTCCGAAGTCGATTGTTCAGGCATCTCCGGGGCGAGAAGACCGACGAAGTCTCACTCGAGTATGACCACGATTTCGATAAATACATCGCTATCGATGAAGAGGCGGAACGCGTGAGGCAGACCGTCCAGGCGCACGTCCCGCTCTTCATCGATCTGGAGGGCAATGAGCAGAACCACAGTCAGCGCAAGGGTAACGGACCGGACAGGGAGATGCGACAGCGACACAATGCGACCATGAGGGTCTGCAACGCCATCAGCGAGAAGATGATGGCGCATATCACACCTGCTGATGGAGACACCCACGCTCCGATTGGCATGGACGAGGAGACGTTCAATCAGCTGCAGTTGCAGGACCTGCAGCGCGACGCCGAAGACAACCGCATCCTGCTCAAAATCCGGGATCAGAAAGAATTTTTTGCCGGCAAGGGCAGCGAGAAGTCGGCCGAAGCCGCGTTGTATTCTCGGCAGTCGCCACGCAAAGTACTTGCAAAGCTGAGGCGCGATGTTGAGCTGCGGACAAGCACCGACACCGACTTTGATCTCCAAGAGGCCATCGGCGTGCACTCGGACAGCGACAGCGACGACGAAGACGGAGCGCCAAACAAGCAACCGCGCATCGGCAGCAAAAGTGGTCTCAAAGCCGCCACAGCCTCCATGCTCAGCACAATCGCCCAGCGCCGCTCCCTCCACGCCGACGAGGGCTCATCCCCCTCGGGCACATTCGCCACGCTCCAAGCGACGAGTTTCGGGCTGTCGCAAGACGTCGCCGACACGCTTGCCGCAACGCACAACACCACCGTCGAGTTCCTGCACTACTTCTGGACCGTCTTCCTCTCCGGGGACCCCAGCCAGGCGGCCGACATCCAGGGCCTGGTCGAGTCGCTGAACAAATCCCTCGACAGGATCAAGGCCGTAGCCGAGAGCGCCGACGTGGAAAGGAGGCTGCTGCTCGAAGCGAGGAGGAAGCAGATCGAGGACTACTATAACCGCACGGGGAAGCGGCAGCGATTCGACCCCAAGACCATCGGAGGGGGCGCCACTGTGGTCGATCAGATGATGGCGCCGACGGTTAGGGCGATTGGCGAGGCGTCGAGGCAGTATAGGAAGGCGTTTGAGGAGCAGATGGCGCAGGCGCAGGCGCAGGCTGCGCAGGGATGACTGGGAACTGGCGTACGCATTCAAAACTTACATGGCTGATTGCGTCTCAGCGTTTTGGGTGGAGCTTCAGTCATTGGGGAAGCATAGCGAGGGCGTTCTGGTGGTTGGGCGAATGCCGGATGGGCTGGGAAACATTTACTGTTGCGTGCTCGGCAGCTAGCAAGAGGATTAACAGCATGCCTAATCGGCCATGTGAATCCAAGTCATGGATAGCCCGAGCAAACATCCTCACTTCTTATCTTCCCGGTTTACTGGTGGGCACGCGGTTACGCCTCCAATTCACCTCCGGCGATCAATATCCGTTATTGCAGGGTATGCACGCTGCTGGCACACGACCTAATAGGTTACAGAAGCGCGTTTTCCCCGTTTCAAACCAATGAACGGGCTCGGATACGGAACAAAACGCATGATAGGCCACCTGCAAACGAGCAGGGCATCCATCGGATGTGCAAGGGAGGTGCAAAATGTATTCGGCGTTCCGTGTGTCGAACTTGCACGGATTTGCCGGCAGGTCAACCCAGGGGGGCTCCGAGCAGACCGCTTCATCCATCTCGAATAACTCTCAGCAGGACAGAAAAGCACGTTTTCGAACAAGAGCACTCATGTACACGGAAACGTAAACTACACCGGCAAGGGCCAAAGAAGCCCCCAGCTCGCATTCCTCCCTGTTGTGCTCGGAAGGAAAAGAGAAAAGCCAGGACAAACAAGGAGCCCCATGCACGCATCGTATATCTCACATCCCTCCATCCCACCCCACCCCACCCCACCCTATCCCGTCCCGTCCCGCTCGTCCCGCTCGCCCCGCTCGCCCCGCTCTCAATCACCACCGCTCTCTCCCACCACCCATCTACTCCCCCTTCAGCTTATCCTGCTTGACCGAGAACGCGATATCCAACAACTCCTTCTCCTCCCTCTTATGCACGGCCTTCAGCCCCGTCGCGACGCTAGCGCTCGGATTGCGCCCCGCATACATGACGTGTCTGCGGTTGTGATGCTTCGTGTGGTTCAGCAGCGTCTCGATCCTCGGCTGGGTGAAGCTCCAGGCGCCCGCGTTCAGCGGCTCCTCCTGGCACCAGACGATGGTCTTGGCGTTCGGGTAGCTGTCCAGGTTGTCCTGCAGCTGCTGCCACGGGAACGGGTGCAGCTGCTCGATGCGCGTGATGGCGATCTTCTTGCCCTCCTCGCCTTTGGACTCGCGGTGCGAGTGCAGCGCCGTGTAGACTTGGCCTGTGCAGAGGATCACGCGGTCGATTTCTTCCGGGGGCGCGATGGCGCCGGACTCGTGCGCGGGATCCCGGATCAGCCACTGGAAGTGCGAGTCGCCGGTGAACTCTTCGATGTTGGAGCGCGCGAGCGGGTGGCGGAGGAGGTTCTTGCTGAAGAAGAGGATGAGAGCTGAGGGGGACGGTTGTTAGCGGGTGTATGTTCGTAAGACATAAATGGGTGAGAATTGATAACTCACGCTTGCGGAACTGGCGGTTCATCTGCCGGCGCAGGATGTGGAACATGTTGGACGGCTTGGTCAGGTACGCGACCTGCATGTTGCAGTCCTGGTGCTGGCGCTCGAGCTTGTCCGGCGACGGGAAGATGCGCGGGTCCTCGTTGCAGAGCTGCAGGTACCGTTCCATCCTGCCGGAGGAGTGCTCGGGACCTTGGCCGTCGTAGCCATGCGGCAGGCTCATCACGAGCCCGGAGCGCTGCAGCCACTTGACTTCGCCGGACGCGATGAACTGGTCAATGATGACCTGCGCCGTGTTTGCGAAGTCGCCGAACTGCGCTTCCCAGATGACCAGCGCGTTGGGCGAGGACAGAGAGTAGCCGTACTCGAAGCCGAGACTATGTGATTCGTTAGCAACGTGAACACACCGCGCAAACCGGGGGGCCACTTACACTCCGTATTCACTCAGAGAAGAGTTGGAGATGACGAAAGACGCCTGGTCCTTGCTCAGGTTGTTGAGCGGCGTGAAGGTTTCCTCGTTCTCCTGGTCGTGAAGCACGGCGTGGCGCTGCGAGAACGTGCCACGCTCAACGTCCTGGCCAGATACTCGGACGTGATGGCCCTCCATACAGAGGGTACCGAACCCAAGTGCCTCAGCAGTGGCCATGTCAATGCCCTTGCCGTCCGTCACCGTCTTTTCACGCCCGGCCAGGATACGCTTGAGGTTGCGGTGGACATGGAAACCTTCCGGTGCGTTGGCAGTCTTGTGCGCGATGAATTCCAGTTGGTCACGTTCGACAGCGGTTGGCAGGTGGGGCAGGACCTCGGTGGCCAATTCCTTAGGCGACTTGAATCCATTCCAGGCGGACGTTAGCCATTCCTTCGCAGTCGGCTGATAGTCCTTGCTGCGGGCAAAACTCTCCTCGAGCATACCCCACACCCACTGCTTGTGCTCTTCGATATCCTCCTTGGTGAAGGTATGCTCTTCCAAAAGCTTGTCAATGTATGTGTCAAGAGCAGGTCTTTGCTTGGCGATGCGCTTGTACATGAGAGGCTGCGTGAAGAAGGGCTGATCGGTCTCGTTGTGACCCTGCTTGCGGTAGCAGACCATATCAATAACAACATCCTTCTTGAACTCCGCCCGGTAATCCGCCGCCAGCTGGCAGACGAAATTGAAGGCCTCGACATCGTCCCCATTCACGTGAAAGACGGGTGCGTCGATGGCCTTGGCAATGTCGGAGCAGTAGGGGGTTGAGCGAGAGAAGCGGGGATCCGTGGTGAAGCCAATCTGGTTGTTAACAATGAGGTGGATTGTGCCACCGGTATGGTACTTGGGTAGTGCATAGAAACCCATGGTCTCGTAGACAATACCCTGTCCCGCAAACGCAGCGTCACCGTGAAGCAGAATGCCCATGGCAGTCCTTGCTTCCTGCTCATCGTTGTTGTAGTGAAGAATAGCCCGCGTCTTGCCCAGCACGACCGGATCCTCTGCCTCAAGATGGGAAGGGTTGGCCACCAAGGAAAGCTGGACACGTTTGCCAGATGGTGTTGGCCGCTCGAAGTTCATGCCCAGATGGTACTTGACGTCTCCCGAGCCCTCATCTGCACCATCAGCAGATCCGGCGAACTCGCTAAAGATGGACTCGTTCGGCTTCCTGACGACGTTACTCAGGACGTTGAGACGGCCACGATGAGGCATCCCAATGACAATGTCTTTGACGCCGTAGTCAACGCTCCGGTCGATGAGAGCTTTCATACCGGGGATCAGACTCTCACCGCCTTCGAGGCCGAAACGCTTGTCGTTGGGGTACTTTGTGGCCAGGAAAGCTTCAAAACTTGTGCCCCAGATTAGGCGGTCCAGAATCCGCCGCTTTTCATCTACGGAGTACTTGTACGGTGTAGGAACCTCGATACGCTGACGGAGCCAGTCGCACTGCTGTCGGTCCGGGATGTGAATAAATTCAGTACCATACGAACCGCAGTACAGCCTCTCACAAGCATCGACAATCTCTCGCAGAGTCATCTTTTGACGAGTCTCTGTCTTGAAGCGGGGTAAGATACCGGGACCAAGCTCAAACTCCTGATTCATGTCCTTCTCCGTGAACTCGTAGAACGAGAGCTCCAGCTCCTTGGGCCTGCTGTATCCTAACTGTTCAGCCTCAAGGCGGATGCCAAGCGGGTCGATCTTAGCTTTGTGATGTCCTCGCGCCTGGTATGCTCGCACCAGCAGCTGAACTTTCAAGTGGTTGGTGACGTCGGTTCCTTGAGCTTGAGACGGAGCGATGCTCGCGTCGATGGAGCCAGCAAAGACAGGACCGCCTTCGGGTGCGGGAACGAGGCTGGGAGGCGGCTGGAAGGCCTGCGATACTGGCATGTCGCCGGATTCCATGTTCTTGAAGTAGACCTGCCACGAGACGTGTACGCTTGACGGGTCGCGCTTCCAGGACAGGTACATCTCGTCGACATAGTTGGCAGTGTTGCCCTGGAGCCATGAGTCGTTCGGATCCTGTGAGACAGGTGTTAGCGAGTGTACGGCGGCTTCGACAGCTGTCAACCAAGCTCCAGTGGACGTGTCAAGCATACCACGCCCTTGTCGGTGTCCTCGGCGGCAATAGCATAGCTCCTCTGTTGCGACAGCCGCGTCGCCAGCGCAAGAGGCCGGCGCCTTGCGGCTAAAGAGGTTGTAGATGACGTTCGTGGGAGGGTGGAGAAGCTTGCCCGCGGGCAATAGCTACCTCCAACGAGCTTGCTGCCGCATTGCCTCAGAGCGGTGCGAAGCATGGTGAAGCGTGCGCAGTAGGGGAGGCCGTAAGGGAAGAACAGGGAGGGAAGGGGACACTACATGCAGCGAGCAGTAGTTGGAGGCAGAGTACGAGTAGGGGAGGAGCAAGCAGAACGAGCCGCGTTACGCAGTACTTTGTCACAGAAACGAGGTCGCAGGCGGAGCTTCAGCGCAATTGGACCGACAGCGGCAATTCCGCGCCATGTCTGGGATCGGCTAGCGGGTTCGAGAACTCCAGGGCTCTCCCCTCGTCATCCGCGCAGCATGCCTGTAGCCTTCTGCCATCACTTGCTCAGGGTGGAATAACGTAGTGATGGCATTGTTTCGAATGCTCCCGTCACGGCAAAAGAATACGGATGTGTGTCTAGGGGTAAACTGCAATGCCCTAGCCGCAGATGTCACAGGTCTTACTGGGGTTCTCATGCAGCAGCTGATATCTTATAGTCCTACCAAAAAGTCCAAGGCTCGAGGCAAAAGACGAACGAGAAGTACCAAGGTAGTAGAGTCATATCGCTAGCTACCCGGACTGGTTGACACGCGCTGCGGCCCGAGTCCTCCGCTCCACCCATCTCTTCCCCATGCATCTTCCGAACTACGCCGAGCCCCACCGCTCGTCCAAGCCCTCCATCCCCTCCGCAGCCTCCCGTCTCCTACTCGTCTCTCCGACGCTCTTCTGCACTCTGAGTTTCATCTGCCCATCCGTTTGACTGAACATGGCCAAGTTCAGCACATCGCCCTTCGGATCCCAGCGCTGCCTGACATCAACCGCCCTGCTCCTTCCCATGCCAGCACCGTGGGCTTCTCGCGCTGCATGCACTGACTCGCCCTGGAAGACCGGGTCGGGATGCTCGTCGAGGACGGAGGTCATATCGAGCTGTACAACACTGCCCTCCACGCCTGCGAATAGACTAGGCGAGGTGGATGAAGGCGAGGAGATTGAATAGACGGGGGACTCGACGCTCCGTCTCGAGCGGCGCGAGCCGCGGTTGGCACCTCTAGTGCTGTTTTGGGGGTTGAGGAAGAGGGACCAAGCGGAGGACGGGTCGTGCAGTAAGGGTGGCTTGTCTGCTTCATTCGACGGGGGTTTTGTAGGCGATATTTGGGGCCGGGATTTCGCTCTTTCCGGTGACGAAGGACGGGCGTCGAGATAGGAGTACGCGCGACCTCCCTGGACGCGAAGATCGAATATCTTGAGAGTGCTGTGACGCGAGGTCCCGGCTACCAGACGCTCCCGTGCGATAGGCTGAAGGGAGTATATGGCTGAGGAATCTCCTTCGTCGACGTAGAACGACTCGGAGAAGCGAGGAGAGCGCATGTCGTGAAGTCTAGAATCTTTGTGAGCAGGAGTGGAACGAGCAGCGGGTAAAGACTATAGACTTACCGAATGACACCGCCATAGCTGCCGCTCAGGAAAACCTGCCCTGGGCTGTTGCTCGCCTGAGACGACCCTGGCAAAGGAACAATTGGATAGACTGTTGCCTGAGTCGCTGGCTCGTTTTCCTCTCCGAACTTGCGAATCGGCTCTCTGCTCAGACCGCTAGGTATTATTCCGTAGACGTGCAGTGGTGTGTTTGAAGGGCCCAAGCCAACTGCCAAGCTGTCTTCAGATAGAAAACGGGTAGACCAAACGCGGCAGGCGTTCGAGCCATCACAAACTCTGGTGTCGCTGACAGGATTCAGCGCCCAGGCTGAGGATTTACCGTGCACAGGGTAGAGTGCAATATCGACATCTGAGAGCGCGGCGGCCAGTATGGGGGCCGTCGAAGGCGAGACATCAGCGGATCTAACCTGCCGACCATTCGTCGCATACACCCTCTTCGCCATCTTCGACTTGTCCGTCAACCCCGCATAGAGCAGGTTCAGCTCTCCATTCGCCGTCCCAAACATGATCTCTTCGACGCCGCTGTCCCCAGATTCCTTCTGCGACGGCCTCAGGACCTTCACGGCCATGATGTCGTCCCTCCCCTGCAGTGCATAATACGACTTGTACGTGAACCAGTCCACAAGGTGCCGGTGGTGGTCGAAGTAGAACTCGCGCGCTTCTGCGGAGCTCTCCTCCCAAGACTCCAAGATCTGTTTGCCCATGTGCTTCGCCCTGATGACCAGTTCTGCCCCCGCGCTCCATGCCACAATCTCCCGTCTGTCGGTCCAGCTGCCCCCAGACCACTCTTCGTAGCTGTCGATGACGGGCCGGTAGCCCATCGTCTGGCCCCGCGGCCTCTCCCACCGCGGGATGTACTCCCATTTGTTTAGATTTGTGATTGATCCCGCGGGCTCGATGTAGCTACTGACGAAGGCTCGGCGGTCCCAGTTGCGGGATAGAGTCGTGAGGGAGTGCGCGACTTCTCCATGTTGTGGAGCAAGTGCCGCTGAGGGAAACCGGGTGCGTATGAAGACTTTCCAGCCCTCTCTGCTAACGAAGTCATGGAGGCGGTGGCAGCTCTGGGATAGGTTCGCTACGGCTTGGGCGCTGGGGAGGTAGGCCGTTATCTGAGTGAGGATCTCGATAGGGAGGTCTTCGAGCATGTTGCAAGAATACTGTAGTGGGATATGTTTGCGCCATGGCTACCTTTCTGCTCTGAAGGTTATACAGATGCTGAGAAAAGTGACTCAGGGAAATGACGTCGAGTTGCAGTTGTCTAAAACGGCAGTGCAAATCACGTGCAGACATAAGTACATCGCTCTCAGTCATACGTAGCAGCCTCAATGAAATGTTTCTGTTATGTGTATGCCTCGAGCCACCCTACTTAGGCGCTGAGCGGAACGACCAAGCCACCCAATGTACAGCAGCGGTCTGACTCCGTTGATCATTCCAGCGACACCGTCACAAGCTAGACAACGTCCCCTTCAACACGCGGCATGAGAATTCTACCTAGTCGAGCTTCTGCTAGTGTTGTACCTAACGATCTCAATTTCGCGGTCGCCCCGACCTAGAACGGAATGCCGTAGACTTGTGACGATCCACTTAAACCGTTGCTGCAGGGAGTTCGAAGCAGGAGAAATCAACATGACTCACGCGCTCATTCTAGCTCTAGAATTCGTGAGGATCGATGTCTCAAGTCGAGTAGTAAGACTCGTAACAGAGAGGAGGTGGAGTCGCCGCCCTGTATCTGTGACTGGCTGTTGTAGCAAAACATGATCTGTTCCACGCGCCATCTCCTAGCCCTGGTACCCCCGGAAACTCCATAACCCGAAGCCCGCGAGGCCTGCAGCCAACAGCACGCACGGAAGCCGTGCAGAAAAAACCGCAGTACCCGAGAATGCAAAGAGCGCGCAACAGCAGCGATCCTATGCCAACCAGCCTTTCCCAGGCTCCCGCTTTCCCGCCCTGATGAAAGCGCCCGCTGATGTGTGAAAAGGTCAAACAGAGACGCCCTAAAATTAAGAGGAGAAGGGTATGCGATCCGAAGATGCTAGATTGTGAGAAAGATGGAAAGAAACTCGTCCCAGCGCCAAGGTATGAGTGGAACGAGGGTTAATGATGTCGGTCAAGAAGCCAGGGGCTACTAGTTGATACGCGAGGAGTCTATGTCCAAGTCCGTGCTGGACAGCGATGTCGCTGCGAGCGTTCGTGACAAGAGAAGAGCGGGCGCGGATAATCGTGGGATGAGAAGGTCGAAGAGAAAGGCAAACAAGGGCTCAGTGCCTACTCCCCGGCCTCCCCTTCCTCAGCACATCCCTAAGCGCGTCTCTGCAGTTGTCGCAGTACCATTTCGCTGTCAACTGTCAGCTTCACACCCCTTCACCCAAACCTAACAACTTCCGCTGAGAAGAGACTCACTATTCCGCCCCGGCGCCCTCGTCATCCCCACACAAGCAAGATGGAACCACTCCCTCTCACATTCCTCGTTGTCGCACGCCACCATATCCCCATAGCTCACACCGTTGCAGTAGCAATACCGCGGCTCGTTGCCGTCTTCGTCGACTTCGTCTTCATCCGCGGCCTCGGCTTCGGCTTCTGCTTCCGCATCTGCGCTTGATAGCGCCGCTGCTTGCGCGTCATCTTCGCTGCTAGCATGTCTGCTGTTGCCTCTGCTATTCCCACCACTGTTGCCGTGCTTCCTCGTCGCCATCGCAGCCGTGGTAGTCGCCGAGGCGGCGGCCGCCGCCGTAGCAGCGATCCCAGCGCCCTTCTTATGCGAGCGTTTCCCGGTGCTCGAGAGCAGTGTAGCCGTAGTCGCGACATTGCCAGCCTCGAGCGCGACGTTACTCGTACTCTCCGAACTCGCGTCTCTGCCCGGCCGGTCGCGGTCGCGGTTCCGCGTGCTCCGCTGCCGCACAATCGGCACATCCGGGAAACTCGCTGTCAGTGGTGTCGCGGTTTTGCTGGCGCGGCCGGCGGAGGCACGGGTTGTCATTGGAGGTGCCGCTGGGGCTGTGGCTCCCAGCATGGAGGTAGAGGAGGGCTCCGAGGGGGATTCTATCGTGGGCGCTGTGGCTGGGGCTGAGGGGGCGAGGTCAGTATCTTCGTGCTTGAGGTGTGGGTTTTGCTGTGTGCTGCTGTTGGGGTTGTGATTGTCCGTGCTGTTACTAGGGGGCGGGACGCTGCGGGCTGCGAAATCAGCGGCGAGGGCGTCTTGCGCTGTGGTGATGTGCGCCAGGCTCTCGGGCAGGGGGCGGTTGGCCGCGGGATCGAGATCTTGTGGCAGAGTTCGCGCGCCATTGAATGGTTTGTTTGAGGCTGCGGACGAGGGGCGCGCGCGGCTGTTGTTGTTCGTAGTGGTGTTGGTCTCGGCGGCGGCGATGGAGTGGATGGAATTCGCAGCGGAGTTCTGGCGGATGCGCGAGGATTGGGGGCGCTGGGCTGCGCTGATGGTGTCGCGGGGTGCTGGGAAGGCGGCGGTGAGGGGAGAGGAGGCTGGGGGTGGGGATTGGGCGGTTGGAAGGCCGCTTCTGCGCAACTGTTAGTGTGACTATCGCACGGAGGGTGAGGGAGCAACATACCGTTTGCGCCCTGGAGCAGGCGCTGGTGCTGCCCGCGCTCTTTTCCTTACGCTGTCCGCTCCGGGCGTTTCTCGAGGACTTGCTCCGCCAGCTGCGGCACTTTTCAACGCTCCGCTAATGGATCGCTCCATCGCCGGCGCTGCTGCCTTCTCCGTCTTTCGCCGCTTGTTCGCCTGATTGACGCCGTTTGTTATACCAAGACCAAAGACCTTCGGGTCTGTCGCCTCCTTGCGGCCTCTGTGGACAGCAGGCGCCTTCTTCGTCGCCGGTCGCGTGTCGTCAAAGTCCGAATCGACGTGCTGCTGGCGGCTGCGCTTGTTCGCCATCATCGCTTCCCTCCGTGCTTCGCTCCTTGACGCTGCCATGTCGCCCTCGTGCACCGCTGCTGCCGCCGCCGCCAGATTGTTGGCGGCTGCGACGTCCCGCCGCGTGCGCTCACTGGTAGCGGCCGTCTTCCGCTTCTCCTCCTTGTCTGCGTATGCCCAGTGTGTCATGCTTCCGAAGCGCGCCTCCTCGCTGATCTCGGTTGCGATGTACGGGTACGAGCTTTCCATCCGCGCCAGCTGCTTCTCAAGCGTCTTGTTCGCAGTCAGGAGGACGGAGTTCTTCTCTTCGAGAGCCTGAATCACGAACGAGCGCGCCATGGTGGCCTGGAGGTTGACAAAGTTCAGAATGTTGCGGTGGACGTCTAGTTGCTCCTGGGTGAGCTGTGAGGCCTGCGCTGGGTCGTTTAACACCTCGGCTGCCTTCTCGTAGTACAGCATGGTGCTGCTCTGCATGGCGCCGCCGTCGACACTGCCGCTCACGCTGTTATTTGCGGTGTTGGGCAGGCTCTGTGTGTACTCCTCCACCGAGAATCGCGGCACAGGCGTTTGGCGTTCTACGGTCTCGCACAGCGTCTTGAGCTCCTCGTTGGGCGCGGCCAGTTTCGCCTCGACTTCTTTGAGCATGGAGATGTGTCTCATCACCTCCTTCGGCAGCGCATCCACCGCGTCGGTGAAGTGCGTGAGCGCTGGGAAGAAGCCGGGCGCATTGTCATTGTGGGCTCTGCTGTCCGGTGCGCGCTGAAGGGAGCCCCGGGGGCCAAAGGGACGGGCATAGTAGTTGGTCGGCCTTGTAGAGCTTGTGCGTGCCTGTCGAGCTGACTGGCGTCGATTCGCGCCTGGAGGAGCTGTGGCCGTCATGGCGACAGTCGGTGAGGGCCTCATTATGCGTGTTGGAGGTGGGACCGGGCGCGGTGGTGCGCCGATGGTGATCTGGAGTGGAAGATGAGGAGCTTGGGTGTTCTCTTACAAGAACCAGGCGAAAGATATCAGCTAGAAGCCATGTGGGTGAGGGGACGAAGCTTGCGAAGGGCGATGAAGCGTGGTGAGTGCGAGTGGGAGTGCGAGTGCTGGGTTGCAATTCGGCTCTGGCCAACAGGGCCAACTCGCGCGAGACCCTGGATTCCTCCGCCAAGAGCCGTCGGCTTTCATTGAGCGGATGATGACGGCCCGCACATCGACACCGCCAGCCTCAGGCACCGCTCCCACCACCAGCGGTTGAATATTCGAGCAAAAAAGCACATCCTGACAAATCCTATGTAACACTGTATATCGAAGTCATAACCCACTAGCTGCGTCATGTGAGTCTCTGGATGTAGCATGCAATATACAAACACTGCTGTGCTCTCTCGTCCCTTTCCTCTGTCTTCTCACGCTTCTCAGCTACAACCGACGTATATCTCCATCAAGTCATCTCAATATAAATAGACTCCCCCTTCAATTCATATTAGCCATCTCTGCCATGACCATAAAAAAGGCCTCCACCCTCGGCCACCGCGGCGCAGCCCTTGCGTCCCAAGAGAGCATCCGCGACAAATTCGGAACCATCCTCGCCGACCCCTACGACCCAGACACCAATCCCAGCGGCTTCATCAACATCGGCACAGCCGAGAACTACATCATGCTATCCGACGCGGCCGCATTTGCCAACAAGCACATCAACCTCTCCGCCAAGAACTTCAGCTACGGCGAAGGGCCCTGGGGCACTAAACGTCTCCGTCGAGCAATGGCCGCTCACATGACAAAATATTTCCACCCGCACCACCCCCTGCACGAAGACGACCTCCTCTTCGCAAACGGCTGCACCTCCCTCATGGAGATGCTAGCCTTCAGCCTCATGGATCCCGGCGACGGGATCCTCCTGACCCGGCCGTGCTACACAGCCTTCGCGCTCGACTTCGGCACGAAAGCAGCCGTGCAGCCCGTCTTCGTTTCTTTCGGGGACGTAGACCAGTTCTCCACCGCCGCCATTTCCTGCTACGAGGCCGCGCTGTCCCAAGCGAAAGAAGCAGGCATCAATGTGCGAGCGCTCATGCTGTGTCATCCGCACAACCCTCTGGGCCAGTGCTACCCCCGCAAGACGCTGGAGGCGCTCATGGGGTTTTGTCAAAAGCACAGTATTCATCTGATCGCGGACGAAATCTACGCGCTCTCTGTGTACGACATCCCCGGCGATGAGGCGGCTGTGCCGTTCGAGAGCGTCATGTCCTTCGACACCTCTTCGTACATCTCAAGCGACTACCTGCACGTCATGTATGGGCTCTCCAAGGACACGGCCGCGGGCGGTCTGCGGCTCGGTGTGATTTATATTAGGAACAAGGAGCTCATGCGCGCCATGAGCGCCGTGACGCAGTTTCATTGGCCCGGGGCTGCGGACGAGAAGATCGCGATTGCGATGCTTGAGCATCGGGAGTGGATGGCTGGGTTTTTGGAGACGTCGCGGAGGAGGTTGGCGGAGGGCAATAAGCTGACTAGGAGCTTGTTGGGTGAGATGGGGATTCCGTTTCGGGCGGGTGCTAATGCGGGATTCTTCATCTGGGCGGATTTGAGGAAGTTCTTGAAGGACGAGAGTGGGGCGTGGCTGGAGGGCAGGGCGGACGGGTGGGAGGCGGAGAAGGTGCTGAGTAAGAACCTAATCGAGGAGAAGGTGTTTATTATGGATGGAGGGAGTCAGGCTGCGGAAGAGCCGGGGTTTTACAGGGTCATCTTCTCGCACGATGAGCGGACCATGCGGGAGGGCTTGAGAAGAGTCGGGAAAGCGATTGGGAAGAAAGAGGGGAAATGACTGAGCCGTCCGGAGTGGAATCGATGAAGCGCTTACTTACAGTGCTGGACGCGCCCCATTTCCGACCTCCTCAGAAAGAATATTGCGGGGCTTCCGCGAGTCGCCCTACACGAGCAGTAGAGGCCGCCTCAGGACGCGTCAATCTCGCGCCTTTCAAGCCACCAGAATACGGGCGTCCGACCTGGAACGGCGAGATGAAGACTAATTTGCGCCACGGTACGTCAGAGTATGGCGTCTACCGCGTCTCCGGACCTCTAGTCTCAACGTAATACTTTTCGTGCGACGGCGGCTTGAAGGCTGAGGTGCGTTCTACCCTCAAGAGCGTCCTACAAACGCACCGGGTTTGCACGCAAAAGCGGAAGTGGGGGAAGAAATGCCACCGCGCTGATACTGGACATTTGGCCGTGCGTTTAGAGTGATGGCAAGCGCTCTGGAGAACGGGGCTATCATGCTGGAGTTTGCGTGTGTCGATCAATGGATGGATAGGCAGATCTTTCAGAAGCTTCCTTCCTCTCAGTATTAAGGCTATATTACAGCGTCTCCGGTCGTAGTAGCTTACAATGCAACCGCCTGGTTACTGAGACTGCTGGAGTGAAGTTCTCATGTCCATCCCTCCCTTCCGTCGATGATGATTTTGGAGCCCAAGTGCCTAACATCGCTCTGAACCAAAAAAAGAAGAAAAACATAGGTATATGGCTGGTCTCGTCGCCAAAACTCCCGCACAAACCCTCATAACTCGCACAAACAGCACATGCAGATGCAAGACACAGCCTGTGCCTCACGCATCCGCCATATCGACACCCTCGCCCTCCGCATCCTCCTCAGCCCCCTCGGCCTCCGCATTAGCAGGATCAGAATCCCCATCAGCTTCAGCTTCAGCTTCAGCGTCGCCACGCCTCTCAACGCCCCCGCTCCCTCTTATCACCACCCCAACCAACTTCCCAACACCCTCCCTCACATTCGCACCCTTCCCCCTCCCCTTCATCGGACTCTCACCCACAACCACCTCCTCTCCCATCTCCCCCTCTTCCTCATCCTCACCCTCACCCTCCCCATCCCCCACAACACTCGCCACCTCCCCCAACCGACTCCGTCCCCTCCTCACCGTACTCCTCTCGCCAGGCTCCCCAAGCTGTTTCCCACCCCTCGCGACCGGCGTCCTACGCGACGCAGGCGTGCTTCGCCGCGCGGTGCCAGGCGTCTGTGTGCCATTTCGTCGTCGCGAACCGAAGGGCCGGTTTGAGCGCCGGCGGTTCGCGGCGCCGGGAAGAGGTGGGAAGATCTCGAATCGGGTTGGCGGGATTGTGGATGCGGGATGTAGGCGTTGGTGCGCAGGGGTCGGGGTTGCGGAGGCGCGCGTGTTGGGCGGGCGGGGGGTGGCATCGGGATCGGAGTCGGGAGCGTCGTAGATGATGTGGGTAAAGGAGGGGATGGAGGGCATGGGTGGTGGCGGCGCGGGGGTGGCTGGTGGTGGTTTTTCGGATTCGTCGGCGGGGGTGGGGATGTCTTGGGCGGGGGTCTCGGCTGTGCTGGATGTGGTGCCTGGAGGTTCGGACTGTTTCTGTTCGTGGGCTTCCTGTGCGAGCTGGACTTGGATGCCTTCCTCTGGCGCGACTTGTTCATCATCCAGATCGCCATCGCGGGGTGCCATGGTCTGCAAATGTGGACCTTCTTCGTAGCTGCTCGAGCTGTTCCGACCGATGACATAGGGCGTCCAGACTAGAGAGTCTGGATTGATCTTCGGCCAGGGTTTCCGCTCGTGCTTATCGATGTATTCGCGGAAGAAGTCGTGGTCCAGGCGTAGCGCGTACGTCTTGGTAACAGGATCTTTGACAAGCGCGCGCAAACCTTCGAGTGCGGAGATGATGTCGTCGGCTGTCATGCCCGTGTTTTCGGAGATTTGTGAGATGCTGAGGGGGTTTTTCCGATTGATGAGTTGGTAGCAGAGGATTAGGCGCCAGTAGCCACGGTAGGATACTAGGCCCATATCGGAGAGCGGCTTTTCCGGTGAGCCGGTCTTCTGCTCAACGCGGGTGAGGAGGTAAGAAAAATCGATGAGCATGTGGCCGAAGCCTTTGCGTTGGTGGATGGGGAGGACGAGGATGCAGGAGACGTTGTTAAGACTGCTCGGCCGCTTCTCCTTCGAAAAGTAGCCAACAAAGTGGAAACCGAATTCGTCGTACTCGGTCATGACGTAGAAGAGAAAAGGCTCGACGTCGTAGTAGAGGGTTTTGGAGCCGAGGAAGAGTTTGGCGAGAAGACAGAGATTCTGACAGTAGACGGGATTCTTACGGCCGTCTACCTCGAAGAAGGAATACTTTCCATCGCGATAGATTTCGTCGCCGGGCGGATGTCTTGCAGGGCATTTGAGCTGAGGAATGTTAGCAGGTGTGTTGCAACCCTCGTGCAGCTGCTGGCTTACCTTGTGCCTCCACGCTACGTAATCGGAGTTCATGTACTTCAGACAAAACTCGCAAATGTAGAGCACCCTGTTCCTGCTGTACTCCTCTGGATATGGCGCCGCGTGCCAAGTGTCAATCTCCCAGCCGCCGAAGTTAATGCACTTGATCTTGCTTGGCGGACCTGACACTTTGCTTGGCCGAACACTCTCCTGCCCGGTCGCCGCAGCAGCAGTTTTCTTCCTCCAGTCTTCCTCAGCCTTCTGCCGTGCTAGCTCGAATCGTTTCCTGTCTGCATCTCCGGGAAAGGTTTTTGATGTATCGGCCTCTGCCTCAGACAGGATCCCGCCATAAGGCTTGTTCTTAGTTTCATCCTTCTCGTTGTCGAGGTAGAATGGTGCATAGTTCGCCGTCGTTGATATTGCGGGATAGTGCTCCAGCTCTGGCTCAGGTGTGGGTGGGACTACCCTTCGTGATCGGTCACGTGCTCTCCGGCTAGAGCCCTTCGGCCTTCGAGAGAGTATCTGGGACACTCGAGTGGGGTCAAGGCGGAATGCAAGTATGAGACTGATACCTTCGGATTGCACGATTCTAGCGAGAGGTTGGTCGGCTTTCTTCAATCGCCTTGTTCGTGATGGACGAGTCCGTTGCGACCCTTCCATGTCAGATGCAGAATCGTTGGCGCCATCGACGTCTATCTTGTCCGACCTGTCAGCTCTTCTAGATGCGGGCGAGGAAGCTTCGAAGTCAACGGTTGGGGCTGTTGGAGCATCGGAAGGCCGCCGTCGTTTCCTGCTTGACCGCACGGGCGGTCCGTCTTCGTCCGGTGAGATCTTCCGCTTTCGAAGTGAACGCGACCCGTCCATTGGATCGTCGTCGAGGATGAGCTTGTTAAAGACGGAGTGCGAATCGGACTTGATGCCGCCACGATGTGATGGGAGGAGATCTCTGGCAATTTTAGGAGCAGAAGATCTGCGGCGTGAAGCTGAATCCGGTGCATTTTGAACATCTGCTTCAAGGCCGTTTTCTACACAATTAGTGCAGCGCCACCGTTCGGCATCTGCGTGAAGGTAAGTCAGTGTTTGACGGTGAATGCTTTGTTTCTGTGATCACGGGATATGTAACGTACCGTCACTTGCTCCCAAAGAACTAGCGTTGCGGGCGCATTGCCGATGTGCTGCAGGGTAAATCTCATCAGCCATGGACCCTTCGCAACTAAAGAATTTAAGAACTATGATGCGACAAACGCTACTCACCGTTATCTCCGCATACAGCACATGCAAGGTATTCTTCAAACTCTTCGCTTGGGTCGTCTTCTTCTTTTCCTCCACAAAAGCTGCCATAACATCAGCGTCGGCAATCAGTACATGTTAAGCATTGAATCACTTACATGCACCGGTTGGGGTCAGCTATTTCTACTTCGGCTCCTCCTCCGGTATCGCTGTCGCCTTCCCACTCGTTTTCGGCATCCGATTCTGAGCTGCTGGAACTGTTGTTGTCCTCGCTGCCGCTGCTCTTGGCATCAGACGATTCGACAGCAATATCCTCGTCTTCATCAGACGCTGCATCCACTGCTGCCGCTTTGACAGCGCCAACGGGCTCGCTCTCGTCTTCTTCGTTGCCAACTTCCTCCCCCTCAGCATCTACGTCCGAACTTGCTGTCTCCATTATCTGCGCATATTGCCCACTTCTTAATACCGGCAACCTCACGTCGACATCCTCCTCATGCTCGGCGTCCACGTCGCTGCCTTCAGCGTCCATGGCATCCACCCGACGGCCTAACAGCCTGCTAGGCTCTGTGGCCATAGCATATGTAATGACGGTCGCCAGCTTGGAGGCGAAGTACTCCAGCGTCGCGGATTCGTGGTCCAGTCCACCCTGACTATTAAGGCGTCCTCTGGTGCCGTTGCTAGAGTGGCATGTAGCTTGCTGGCTGCCGCGCGGAGAGCTGTCCAGGTATAAGGTGATGAGGTGAGATATTAGGTTCTAGCGATTAAACTTGATTCGACGGTGTGCCAAAGGGTCTTCGATGGTTTGCGATCGCAGTGTTGGCGGTAAGGACGGTGACAGGACTGCGTCAGAGGGAGTGCTTCGTAGGTGTCGTGGATGCGCTGACGCGTGTGTTCAGCTTGTAGGACGACCGGGAGGGCGCGATTGCGCGACTCAAATGAAAGTCTGGCTGCTTCCGACACTGAAACCCATCGTGATTGTGCCTTGAAGTCTGTGGTTGAATAGCGACAGTTGATCCTGTGTCCCGCTCGGTGTTGGAGTTGCGCTTTCTGGGCACGTGACCACAACCACTTTGACGACCTCACCTTGTCAGAATGCTGAAGCCTCAAGAGAGGCCACCAACACAACTTGCAAAGAAGAGTGCCGCAATCTGTATCTGCCGTCTATCATCTATGTCAGCATAGGACAAGTACTTGACTGAGCTGCCGTCCTTGGGATCTCTACCTATAAGAATACGATTGCGAGCCCCGCGGGCATTGGCGGGTAGGTCGATCATGCTTGGTGGCATTTCAAGAAGATGAGAAGGGCTGCGCTGATAGTCGTACTCGCGAACCCAGCGGGACGACACAAAGCTGCATTTGACAGTCGAATGGTCCTGAAACTGGGGTTATGCCGTGCTACGTATTGCATTGTGACGCTGACAAGCGCTCCCACCGGTACTGGAGTTGTAGAGAATTGATGTTCAAGTAAGAGAGCGGTTGCAAGGAATGTTTGATCTCATCTGGCATCGCTTGATGGCTCGGGGTCCCGCTGCGCCTCCTTCATATTCCTTGTCTGAACCATGAGTCCAGGCCCGAAGATCTATCTTCCTTTTCAACCTCCCGATATTTAAAGTTCTGTCCAATCCTGTCCTCGCTCACGTAGCGCTCATATGTATTTACTGGCATTCGTGGTGCCGCATCTCACTGCACACGCAACCACTACATGATCATATCAGAATATTTCTGACAGCTCTTCAGCCGCAATTACACATTTGTGTATCGCTTGCGATTTTTGAGCAAATATTATAGCACAAAGTTTCCAGTTTTGGCAATCCTGCGATCAGTAGACTTGCTCCTCGTGATCAATACTTCTTGCCTTGACGGCCGATTGAGTAACGTTTTAGCTCTGCGGCATGCTGCAGCAGGAAATGTATGATCTATATCAAGAGAGACCAAATGATTCTGGAATTTGTTTTCTAGATGCCGCTCTGCGCAGCATCAAGCTCAGAAACCATCCCCTTGATGCCATCCCGTTCGCCCTCGCTGAAGCGGATGCCAAAGACGACCTTGAGGCACTCTAGCCTTTCCTCTTCGTTCTTGAATTTCCGCTCCTCGACCGTCTTACCGCCAACGCGTCGCTTGAACCCGTCCCCCAAGATGACTTGCCCACTGAGCTCTTCGCTCTTGTTCAGTATCATCTTTGCGCAGACAATCTTCTGAGTGAACCATGTCGTCGGACTCGTGCTGGTAAAGAAGTTCATCACGTTGTAGTCGTTCGGGAGGAACTCAAGCTCCGTAAAGCAGTACATGTCCTGAAAGTCGCTGTTGTCATTGATGCGGTGTTGGTAGACCCAGAGGCGTTGTGCTGGATCTGTATTCTCTTGAATATTCTTCCAAACAAGCCGCATGGAGGCCGGAGCGATATGAGTAGAGACCAGCTTTTCATGATTCAACAACAGAGGACGCGTGGACCCGTTCGGCCCGAATCCCACGTCCACCTTGTACTTATTGTCTCCGATAGTGACAAGACTGATCATGTGGCTCCTGACCATAGGTGAGAAACTAAACGACGACATGAACAACGTTCTTGATGGGTGCCCGCTTACCACCCATTGAAGCCGCCGCCGTCGTTGACCCTTGCTCCAGCGGTATACAGCTGATATCCCAGTGATCGCAGCACTGTCGAGAACAGACCATTCGCCTCCATGCAGTAACCGCCTCTCCCAGGGGTGAGTACGATCTTCTTAAACAACTCATCTGGATGCAGCGTGATCTTATGATGCTGCGAGTAGTGCAACGATAGGTTTTCAAAGGGCACCGCGGCCAGGTGGAACTTTTGCACAAGGCCAAGGTATTCCAGTACTTTTTGGGCCGGTGCCGAGGAGACATCATACTCCCGACTATCCCTGGGGAGATGAATCCGGTCAAAGTACTGCTCCAGCTGGTCCCGAGTGTAGATTGGAGACCTTGCCCCTGTGGACGTGATGACTGTATCCATGCTCCAGATTCACTCGGACTGAGCGATCGCGCGTGATAGAGGTAGCCTCGCCGAAAAATAGTCGGACTGCACGAACTGAGATGGAATAGGATGGGAAGACGTGAGACGGATGATTTGTAACTTAGCTATCGTCAACGTCTTACCTAAATGACACCGCCCCACAGGACCCGCTCCACGTACTGGAACCTTGCAATGGTTAAGTATCAACACCAGTATTCCCGTAAGCCAGATCAAGCCGTATCAAGCGGCTTGTGGATTGCTATACAGAACCAGGACTGACCACAGTAATACCTCAAGACCTCATCGTGCTCGAAACATGCCCAGGTGGTTTTGGCCGGCTATCGACTTTCGGCCCCCCCGCCAAGCCTTCCCGTCTGGCGTCAGGGCGTCCCGGACCGGACGCCGCCAACCGCATGTCCGCAGCCAAAACATCGTGGGTGCACGTCTCGGCCCCAATTGCTCCTCCTTTCCAGACGCTGTGTCATGGATCCTTAGTCCTAATCATCACGGGCGTCTGGGGCTGGTGGCTCTCTTTGCTCTGTTTGTGCCTTTGCGACATCGTTCCTTCAATCGCATTCTTTAGAACCACGCGCTGCCTGCCTCTCCACTCATTGAAAGCAGCAACCACCCGCAACGTTTCCACCACGACTCCTATATACCCTATATACCCAGCTGCATGCGCCACTCATAGTGCGCAAACTCAGAATGCAGATGCACGACGACACCCTGAGCTTGAACACTCAACAGCAATATTTCGGATACCCATCTCCTTCCTCGAACTCGATTGGCGGACAAACGCCGAGCGTCGGCAGCCCTAGCTGGTCCCCTAGAAGCCCCCAGCATGGTGTATCGCCTCGAATACCACCACCGGACGCGCTGCTGAAGGGCTACAAGCGGACGATGAACGGCACGAACGCGGTCGCGGGGCAAGACGATGGCGGACCCAGCAGGTCTTCCCGGCTCGACACTAGCGACAGCGTAGCCATGCATCTTCTCCTCGAGACTGCGATGGCAGACAGCCAGAACTTCCGTATTCAGTCCTTCGAAGAGGTGGAAGAGCTCAAGAAGACACAGTTCGCAATATCATCGCGCATGTCAGCAGTAAGGCAAAAACTGGCGCTTGAATCAAAGGTCAGAGATGCAGCAAAATCGCTCCAGCGCCTATACTCGGAGAAGGGCCGGACGCCGAGTGCAGGCAGCATATCGAAGCCGGGCTTAAACAGGAGGACCAGTCTCTTGAGTAGTCGGGGCAGCATCAGCACTGGCAGGCCCGATTCTCTGCACCAAACGGAAGACGAGCTTGCTGCTAGCTCGAAGAAGGTCGACGAACTCTCGCGGGAGCTCTGGCAACTGGAAACGCAGCATCGAGATGTCCAATACCAGCTTCTTCGGCATACGGCTGGGATATTGCAGATGGCGGCGAACCAGCAGCGCCCGTCCAAGTTGAAGCAGCTCCAAGCGTTTATGGGCACTGCGCGAGACGGCCAACCGGACAGTCCAGGCAGTACCTTCAAGTTCGGGAACGAAGTGGCAAGCGGGTCGCTGGCAGTGGACGACGACTTCGACGATCGGAGCCTGTACCAGTCGCCAGATGCACTGGATGGTGTTATGGACAGGTTCGGGAAGCGCCGGTCTTCTAGAGCTTTCCCAGAGGACATGTCAGGGAGCCTCCAAACTCAAAATCAGCATCTGGTAGCTATTGGAGAACGGCTTGAGGCGTTCAATGATCGCATGCGAGAGCTCATAACCGGACTGAACTCAGAGATTGGCCAAACGTACGCCACACGACCGGAATCCGGTTCAGGCGCTACGACTGCACAGCCAATGTCCGAAATCACGCAGCAGCTGGATAATCTAGACAAGGGACTGCATTACATAAGTGTCGAGCAAGCGGATTTGCAACGCAAAGCAGCCGAGGCCCTGCGGAGCAACTCTGGCCAGCTCGAGCATCTTAACCATCAGATTTACGACATGATCCGCGCCTCAGACGCTGAGATTGAAGACCAGGTTCCAGTACCTCCGCCGCCAGATGAGGATACGGCAAACCAGCTTGACTATCTAGAAGAAAGCCTGCAGACGCTCAATATCCTCCACCAGGACTTGTCCGTCTTACTACACGCCAAGAGTAAGACTGCTACCGAGCAGAGCGAGCAGTACGAAGCTGTACTGGCAAGCCTCTGGTCCATGATCATCTCCAGCGAAGAAAAGGCCAGGCAGCATCACCAGAACCGACGAGAAATGCTCGGAATGAATACAGATCTAGCCGCCGACGACGATGACCTCTCCGATGAGCCCGGCTCTCCCATCGGCGACGGTTCCTTCTCGCTGCCCGCGTTCTCAGCGAAAGTCCAGTGGCTACACAGCCGCGCCATCTCCCTCGCTGAGCAAAAGGCGATCCTGAAGCGCCAGATTAAGCAGCAGCGAGAGCTGAACCACAAATCTGACACCGAAAAGGACGCCGAGATCGCCTCACTCACCGCGCAGCTAGGACAAGCTTCCTTGGGCCACACGAACGCCGGCAGCGCACTTGCGCAGCTGGAGCGGGAACTCAACCACGCGCGAGAGGCGATGGCCCGGCTGCACAGCAAGGAAGACGAGGATCGGGACGCTATCGCGAAGGCGGAAGAGCATGTTGCGGCACTGACGGCAGATCTAGAGGATGCAAGAGACGACGCGAGGATCGCGGTTGCGGAGTGGCAAGCCAAGCTCGCGGACGCCGAGGCAAGAGCGTCTGGCGCAGCGGCCGCGGAGGCACGGAGTGGGGAGTTGGCCCAGGAGCTCGAAGCGCACCGCGCACGCACCGCGGAGCTGGAGCACGGCCTGCAGGAAACGGAGCAGAGGCTCGCAGAGCTGGAGACACTAGACCAGCGCCTTCAAGCCACGACCGCCCAGCTCTCGGCCTCGCAAACCGAGCTCCTCGCTCTGCATCACCAGCTCTCCGAAAAGACCACCGAAGCAGCCAGAGCCGCAACCGAGCTCCACGAACTAGAGTCCGAAGTCGTCCGCCTAACAACCGACCTGACCGTCTCACGCGCCGAGCTTGACGGCGCCTACGGCACCCGTGCTCAGCGCGCCGCCGAGGTCGCCGCGAACCCCGAAATTAAGCGCGAGCTGGACGAGCTGGGCGCCCACAACCTCGCGCTGCAGACCGAGCTCGACACTCTACGGGCCTCGGAGGTTGAGAAAGCCGAGCGTACCAAACAGCTCGAGGTAGAGCTGCAGGGCCTGCTGCGAGGGTTCGAGGCCCTAACGCGTGCGGGTCTTGAGGCGGAGCGCGAGAGGGAGAAGTTGGAGGGCGTGGTTGATGGGTTGAGGGAGGGGGTTGAGGGCCTGGAGGCTAGGCTGGCGGATGAGAGGGTTAGGTGGCTTGGGATTAGGAGTCCGGGTGGTGGGGGAGGGGGGGATAGACCTGGTGCGGGCGTCGTCGCGGATACGATGAGGAATGAGTTTAGGAAGATGATGAAGGAGACGAGGGCGGAGTTTGCGAGGGTCTTGAAGGTGCGTTCCTTCTTTCTAAGATGGGAGGTGTGAACGAGGGATGCTGACTTTGATCAACAGGCTGAGACGGACGAACGGAAGAGGCTGGAGAATCTCGTCAGGGCGATGCGGAGGGAGCACCTGCAGCCTGGCCCGGGGAAGTCGGGACTTAGTCACAGCACCACGGCGTAGGAGTGCAACGGATGGGTGCAGGGCGATGGTGTTGGATTACTATGTTGACTGCCACGGTTTAGCGGCATCGTCCGGCTGGACTTCACGGTTTGGTGGCGTATTGAGACTCTTGTACAAATCCCTTGGATACGCAAGCGATTCAGCGCGCAGGATGCATGGTGGAGATAAGAGGCGTTGCGTCGTTTATGGCGGCCGCCAGCTTGACTGGATTGGCATCTACTGCGGAAGAGAAACAGTCCGCGTAAGTAATCGGTCTTCGTTCGATATATACATTGAAGCACACTCTAGAGGAACCCTCTATCCAAGTCGGCTTTGCATGTGATGAACAGATTCATGGGGCTTACAACTGAGTACCAGTCCCCCTGCACAGTTGTTGAATCGATATATCTCCGCCCCTATACGCTCTTTTCAAGTGAACTGGGACTGAAGGTTAGTCCTCGCTCGGCAGTTCCGTACAGAGCGTGTATGCATCACTATCTTAGCAGCTGAGAGGGCAGGAAGTGATCAGCACGAAGAAGTAGGCAAGCGTTGATGGTCGCTTGGCTGACGACTGACTTGTACAGATCGTGCCCATGCAGTGAGCGTCAAACCCCTAAGTTATTGCTGGGGAGAGGCGTCCGTATTGGAAACGGCCGAGAGTACTGGAGCGGACTCTCCGCCATCAAGGAGTGCGGGGATCTGGTGTGGAGGTGTTTACTGTTGCAGTTGCGGTGGGCCGGCTACGAAGGAGGGACTCGGAGCGCGGTCGATGAGGAGTGTGAAACACAGGGGCTGGAGCATAAAGACCTTGCCTTCCGGGTATGATCACGGTAGCTTGCTGTCCTATCCTATCCGTGCTTCAGATTACTGAGTTAGTCAGATGTCACCACAATGAGAAGTCGTGTGACCATAGCACAAATCGCAGATGGTGTGGGTGAAACGCCGACAAAGTGTGTCTGAAATCTAGTAGTACAAGACAAGGAGCCCAAGTTAAGTCATTCGAGTTGTTCAAGGTGCTGCCCGATAGAATAGGACGGACGATTAATCGAGTCATTGAGACGCACAGCCCTTCGCCGGCCCCTTGATCCTCTTGCCCTGCTGGAGTAGCGTGTGAAGTGCGCTGAAATCACAAGGAGGTCTGTCCGGAGCATGTGTTGATCGCCCTGGCAGACGAGTTCTACCGTGGTAACGGCTAACAATCCTCGACGCCGCTCCGGGGCCGGGAGTCTATGTCCTGGCCATCTCGATTTTGCTAGTGCTACCTCATGGTGCCTCTCACCGGCCCATCGATATCTTTGAACTTCCGGGATAATGTTGGATCACGGAGTGCTGGGTTTGCTGTCAGAAGCAGGCTGCAACGAAGCTCTATAGGACAGAGGGCCTTCGAAAAGGCTAAGTAACGACGAGGAGGAGGTGATTAGATTGTTTAGGACGGCCGACTACTCTGTGCAGTGACTTTACTCCCTTTTGGGTCATTCCTTCGGAGTTGGTCTTCGAGGTTTGGAAGGCTGCAACCAAGTCTAGGCGAGGCGCGCGAGGGTGTGTCTGTGTTGCTTGAAGAAAGGCATAGTGTCAGTGACGGGTAGAGTGCTGTCGGAACGAAATTTGGACATCGAGGCGGGGTCGAGCAGGATTTAAAGAAGAGTACTGAACCTGTTAATCTCACTCTGGCGTTGACGATGTTTGCGGCTCTTTGTCCTGGCCCCTTGCTGAGAGACCATCACGGCGTCTTCCACATGTTGAGTTTGGTACTAGCGGACTCTGGCAATACACAAAGGACGTAAACAAGAGATGGTGTGAGGGTCAACTTTGTAGAAGAAAAAGAAGCTCCCAAGTCGTACTGGAGTCGCGATGACACGTGCAACTCGGAACGGTTCCCCCGAACCACAGCCGGCATTAAGCAGTGGTTCTTACAGGCTTAGCGTGCCACTGATCAATATGCTCGGTACTTGAACCAACATGGAAGTTCTAAGATAGCGGTGGGGGGTTCTGAAACGGTGATACAGAGAGTCAGAGCGCACACGAGCATGGTTGCGTTTACCAACAGCTTTACCCAGAAATGTAGTGCATGATCGTGGTCGGGGCACTGCCCTGTCTTCGTCAAGGCTAAGATACCTAAGAGCGTTACTCTCGTGCTCTTGACAGTTGACATTAACGACTCCGCCGTGGTGAAGACCCACTGCCGCTACCTATTGACCAAGTGTCCTCGAATCCGAACTCACGCGGTTGGGAGAAAAACCAGGGGCAGAAGTAACTAGAGAATGGAGAAGATAACCTGCTCGGAAGACAAGTCCGCATCCGAGGAGAGCTCGATGACAGTTTAGTCCAGTTTGCATGAGAGCCTGCAGAGAAGGAACGAGGCACGCAGTACAACCAAACGCAGCCCCAGGGTTAAAGAAATGCCATGCAGGTAAGCCCAGCGACTTCAGGGCCTACCGTGATCGGCTTCCGGTAAGTGGTTGGAAACGGCGAGATTCCCGGTCATGCTCTAACACAAGTTGATGCAAATATGCAAGTGCCCGTTGAACGGCGCAGCATCTGTGGGGAATGTCTCAGAGTACTTGAGAATACCTCGTCCAGGTTGGGGCGTTAAGGTGATCTGTATGAAAGGATAGTCTCCCATATCGCACAAGTCTGGCGGCGCATCTACATGACACTGGTACTTGCATTCTCATGCTTGTAACAGCCGCTTGTATGCAGGGTTACAGGCAGTAGTCGAAGACATCCGAGCTGCGGATGAAGTGGAGGCAGATGCGGCGGCAGGATAGGTAGTCAGAAGCATGTAATCATAGGCTTATTAGACGCATGTCATCCGCACTTGTACGCTAGATAGCAGACGAAACACAATGGCATGAGCTCAGCTTTTCCCTTCCAGGTGACCCGGGCCATCGATGGGCCTGATGTTGTTTACTGAAGCATGCCTTGTTCTCCGGCGTTCGAAAATGCGGGTTGCCGTCCGCTCAATCCTCTTGGAGTTACATCGAGTGTTTTGAGACGGGATTCCACGTGGATCGACGCGATCTGGCAGACGTTGAAGACACTTGCAGTCGTGATAGAGCGCGAACAGAGTGACAACGGGACCTCGCTACACGCTATGATGCCGTACAACAACAGCAATTCCCCTTACGGTTAGCAAAGCCTTGACGGAGTCTCTGGCGAGCTTTGTGCAGAGCCTTTCTCGTTTCCCGTGCTATTTAGCTTCAGCTTGCCACGCGAAAGGGACGCGGGGAGAACATGTCCGCGACGAAGCCAACAACCACCTCCTGAAGGTACGCAATCCCGCAACTTGAGCGTGACAGCGGAGAGGACTTACCGTGCAAACAAACAGCGCAAATGTCGAGCTGCGTCTTCGAGTCTCCATCAGCGTAGGGCATAAATATCAGAACGACGAAATACACTCACTATTCATTCGAAAGCAGCCGGCTGTGCCAGGACCCGCCAGTGCGCAATGCACATCACCTCCTACCCCTTGCCCTCGACCTCGATTGCTGTCCGCCGAACCCGGGATTGTTGCAGGCTAGGCGGGGATGCAGGGCTTAGCCCATGCCGCTTACAGATTGCCAATGCCGCGCCGTTGCAGACTGACAGGGCCAGGGATTCCCTTGTCGGTGCAGAATGCGACAGCCACATTATCGTTTTCGCGGCAAAGCGTTCAGCGATGCCCTTGACCTTGGCCGTCCGAAGCATCCCAGCGCGTGGTTGCATGGCAGACGAACCCGTCTCTGGCGGCTCTGAAGCTCAAAACGAGGCTGCCGCATACGCCTCCTCGATGACGGACAGTTGAGGTCCCCATCGTTAAGGACTCCCTGCTACATCCCCTTTCCGGACTGGCGTCGGTAGCTCATTTGACGTCCGTCAGTCGTCAGCCTTAGCCCCACAGCAACCCACGCCGCAAACCGCTACTGCCGTTCGCGATTCGATGTCCAGTGCGGCCAGAAGAGGGCAGAGTTGTGTCCTTGATATCTTTCCTGGCAATTCTGGTGGTGAGCGTTGAGCGCTCCGTTGATCGCTCGATGATCCCAACGCGCAAGTGCCGAGAAATTCGTTAGCCGCACATCGCGAAACCTTCTTTTCTGGTGGCGCCTGCGAGAACGGTCTATTGAATCGAAAAGCATCTGGGGCAGCCTTCTCGGCTGGAGCTGGCGTCAGTTCGCGTTGGTGGGCTTGTGCAGCGGCCAGGGCTCTTACGTGTGGCCAACGTCCGGCATCGTTGATGCTTGATGAAGCCTTTATCGTCCTCATCTCACCCCTCTCATCCCCCACGGCATAGTTAAAGGCCCCCAGCGTGCCGCTCCGTTGTTTTCAGCAGCCTCCACCTCCGCCGCCACCATTACCTGTTACCAGGAACTGTTCCCGCCTGGCCGAGCTTCCGAACCAGCGTTGGTCCCGGCGTTTTCCACGGTTCTTCCATCGACGCGAATCGCGGGGGTCAACACGCTCTATGTCTTGCAGGCTAGAGAGCCTGAGTCGTAGCTAACCCATTGGCCTGACTCTCGTCACCGGCATTACGTTTTTCGTTAGGGCAGCTCGCGGCGTGCCCCAGTGACCGGGCTCGCTCCCGTTGCGGGAAAAAACCATAGATCAAACGGACGGCGCCCCTCGACGCGTAGGGAAGACGCGGATCGTTTGCGTCAATATCAAAAGCTTCAATCTCTCCAAGGTCCTTTAATCCAGGGCTCTTCCCCCTCTTCCGGCGCCGTAGTTCTGTTGCACGCTTTGCTCGTTTGTGGACTAGCCACCCCAGAAACGTCTCGGCCAGCGAGACCGCTTACTCTCCGCCGCCACTTTGGGAAGCTTCGACGTCTGCGAAGTCGATTGCGCCTTCTTCTCTGCCCGCTGAGCCTCTTCGCTCCCTGCAGTTGGAAACATTCCCCTCATAAACTCGCTCGCAAGAGTGCTTCGCTGACGCTCACTACGTGGATGCTGACAATCGCCTTGCGATGCTTCGTCCGCTTGTTGGTGCATTTTCTCCTCTCACCCATTTCCCCACCAGCAACTTTATCAGTACCACGAACTGAGTTGGCATCCTTCCTTGGAACCACCACACCTTATTCAATATCACCCACAGTGCGATCGCTTAATTTCGACCTCTCGAATACTTTACTATAAGCACGTCCCCCGCCCCCCAACTTTCTCTGGTTGAGGTTCCTCACCTTCACATCACTCGCGCTGCTACTACTACTATCATCCGTAGTCGACTCAGCCAACATCAAAAAGCTTCTGCAAAGCAGCAGCTCCCCTCAGCAGAAAACATCAAAGCGGCTCAGACCGTTATCGAAGAGCCGTGGGAATCAGAAATGTACCATACTACTTTCGCAGCGGGACCAGCTTCAGGCGCAGGCGCATACCACGGACACCAAGCAAGCTATGCAGCGCAGGTTCAACCACCTCGCGGAGTGGACGTCCCACTCAATAGGTGCGCAGTGCAATCAACGCAGGCATCGCCGCTTCAGAACGCCGGCCTTTTGACTAACACCGACTCACGCAGCCATGAGCTTCATCTGGAGATCAGACAGAATCCGAAGGAAGCGCTGGTAGCCCTCGACGGCAAGGAACGAGGCACGTCTGGCATCACAGATGGTCATGCATCGGCAGAACTAACATCGGGTTCTTGTAGCACGCAAGCCGGTCGATCCTCCGCCAATTATCCAGCTCCGAGTCAGCTCACGCGCGGATCCCGCTCAGTAAGACTGCTTCTGCTAAACACCACAGCTGTGGCTAACGACCTCTATAGGCATTTCCTTCAGAGCCCGTACCTGTTCATGTGCGCTAGCTTGTACCAGCATCCTGGCGAACAACCCAAGAGTGAAGACAACAAAGACCTCGTCGGGACCTTGGCGTCTTCCCTGCATCGTCTGAAAGACACAAACGATACTGGTATGCTGTTCGTTCATTGTGGGTAGTAGGGAGGCTGATGGCTGACACCAGGACATCTAGATGGCGCCTTCTTCGTTTTCGGTGACATCTCGGTCAAGTCTGTTGGCTTTCACCGATTGCAGTTCAGCTTGTACGAGATGCGCAGGGATACGGGTGAAGTTGTCTTCCTGCAGTCAATCGTTTCGGACACGTTCAATGGTGAGGGACTCCGGACCGCGTTCGCTGACAACTTACTGACTGGCGCACAGTCGTGACGTCAAAGGACTTCAAGGGCATGGAGGAGTCTACGCACCTATCACGCTCATTCTCCGATCAGGGCGTGCGCCTTAGGCTGCGCAAGGAATCTCGATCAGTTGTGGGGTGAGTTGGTCGCACCTTTCCCTGATATCCGTCTCTAACACGCGGTGATAGAAGGAGCAAAAGGGCATACCCGTTCGACCCGCAAGGACAGCCTACCGCTCCGCAGGCGCAGCCTGCCGCCCAGCAGGTGCACGCCCAGCAGGTGCAAGCCGTCGATACCAGCCCGTACAAGCGCTACCGAACCGACGCCGAGCAGGACGCCTCGTCAGGGCTACAAGGGCTCCAAGGGCCGCAAACGCTGCCAGTGCGAAGCTCCGCCAATACCATGAGCCGCTATGGGGCCTATGGGCTCGTGAACGGCGCCTACACCGGCATGCAGCAGCAACAACAGCAGCCGCAGCAGCCGCAGGACCAGAACGACATCCACGCCAACTGGATGTACGGTAACTACTACACAGGGTAGACAAGGACTGGAGGGGGACATTCGGTATAGCCTTATGAGAACGTTCAAGCCGTAGCTGGATATGAAAAGCTGTGATAAAAATATTCTCGGAAACATGGTGAAAATTAAAACTTTTGGTGATTTTGTGATCTGATAGTTTACGACATCCTCATCTGTGTGCTCCATTAAAGAGTAATAGCCTCAATGCAAACAGCCCGGCCCTCAACGGAGACGTAACACACCATTCACGACATCCTCCATCTGATAATCGCGTTAAGCAGCTTTCTGTCCCGAGGCGCGGGAATCCCAGTCCCATGATCGATACTCGCGCCGTTAGCGCCTCAGCCGCTCCGTCTTGCACACCGATACCGGGGACGGGGGACGGTGGAGCAGGCCGTTGCGATTGTGGGGGGGGAGGGAAGCATCTGAGCTGCAAGAACTGAGAGTCGTGCATGCACCTTCTGCTTCAGTTTGATGCTATTTGAAGAAGCCGCTCGCTACTATAGACAAAGCTCGGCGACTCAAGGGGCCTCAGTGACACTTTGATGACGCCCGGCCTTCCCTCGGACTTTGAGAATTAAGGTTTGAAGTGGCTAGCTGAACTGGCCCCCCTGTACAGCTGATATGCAAACCTTGATTGCGGCCGGGCGGTTGCGTCTCATGTCCATCTGACGGTTGACATGCGTGAGCCGTCGCCGCTAACGCCGGGCTTGCGCCATGCCAAGATGCTGCTGTACCCGGTTTCGAGCGAAGCTTGATTGCGGGCGAGATGGTGATCTGCTACTTTTACCGTGGTTGGCTGGAGGGACCGCGAGGACGGTGATTGGACAATAAGGTGGATGGTGGGCTGGCCTGAATTGTGGATGAGGAGAGCTGCTGGGAGGAAGGGGGATATTTCATGGCTGCTCATGATGGGTTTACAAACGTATCTTGTGGGCGGATAAGGTTTGCGTGCCTAGTCAATCTGACATCCGGAAGGAGTTGTTTGCAGACACAAGCTATGGGCATACAGCTCCCCGCATAAGAAAGCCCGACTCTCCGCTGCTCAGCGTTTGCATGGAACCGCGCTGAACGATGGGATGTCACTCACTGTCCACTAAGATTAGCGCCGTTAGTCCTGCGCTGAAAGCTGTTGTTGCGAGCAGCAGGGAAGATCCCTCTTCGTGCCAAGTTTGTCGGGATGCATTTGGCGTTTTAGGAAAAGTGACGAGTCTCGGCTTTCCTGACTCGGTCCTTCCAACAGACACAAGACGATAGTCGAAGAGGCTTGCTTTAGGTTGGTGTCAATAATGCTCCGCCTGCGATGCGGGTGTCGTGCATGCAGACTGCATTACTCGCATCTTCTGTGGCGTCGTTCCGTTTGTGCTGTCCATACACTGCATCCAGCAAACAGCGATATCCCTTCGACAAGAAGGCGGGAGGCGCTTATCAAATCACTCTAGTCCAGCTGCGGAAGAGGATTCTGTTAGAGAACGGATGGGTAGCAATACAGCCCCTTCCGTCAAGTCTGCAACCGCGGAAGGCAAAAGACGGCGATGCAGAGCGACTGTAGCACTCAGGCCGTATGCCGATTTCAAGCGTCCTTGAGACGTCGTCCATCTCTACTTGCTGAAGTGGCCTCGAAATCCAGGGACTCCATCGCCATAGTGGCCGGAGCAGAAGTATGGTTCCTTGGCTGTCGAATCTGGGCACGACGGGTCAAACCGCTTGTCAACCTCAGTCTCAACTTCAACCCCAACCGTGGTGGAGGATAATCACCGCTTCGACGGGATCAGATAGGCGACACTCAGGTATTCTACAGGCTCTTGCGTACCAAACCGCAGCGCTAGATACTCAATCTTAAGTGCACAGGCCAGCTGAGCGAGCCAAGCCGTCCCCGCCTTGTTTTCCTTCCCGTGCTCTTCGTTTGTGATGACCTTGGAAGTTCGAGCTTTTCTCTACAAGAGCACCACCTGGAGCTCTTTCTCTTCTCACAATCTGCTTACTCGTACAAAGCATCATGAGCCCTTCCAATCATGGACACGGTGACGGCCGCGGAGCCTCCGAGGACAATTCCTCAGAATCTCATCCACTTCTGCCGAGCTTCATCCCACAAACCATCCACCCAGATGGCGAGAGCGGCAGGAGTGGCTTCCATCCTCGTCATTTCTTCCAAGTCCTCTGGCAAAGCTCAAGTCAAGTGTCAATGGCCGTAAATCTGCTTTGGCCCTTCGTTCCTGTAGCAATCATCATGCATTATGCCACCAGAGACCTCCAACTCTGGATCTTCGCCGCCAGCTATGTCGGCATGGTGCCCGTTGCCAATTTGCTCGGATTTGCCGGTCAGCAGTTCGCACGGAAGATGCCCAAGGTCTCCGGGATTCTCATTGAAACCACGTTCGGCTCAATCGTCGAAATCGTTCTGTTCCTCACCTTGATCGTGAAGCACAAGCCTGTGGAGGGTACCGCCGAGCATGGAAACCTCATTCCAGTTATACAGGCAGCTATTCTGGGCTCAATCCTCACCAATCTGCTTCTGTGTCTGGGCTTGTGCTTCTTCGTAGGTGGCATTCGACAGCAAGTCCAGACTTTCCATGCCGCCGTGAGCGAGGTTGGCAGTGGTCTGTTATTGGTGGCTGGCTTTGGGCTGCTGATTCCAAGTGCCTTCTATTCGGCCTTGAAAGGATCGGCCGTCTCGCATCCGAAACATCACGGACATCACAGCTTCACAGATGAGAGGCTGCAGCACGACATCCTCAAGATTAGTCAGATCACCTCGATATTACTTATCATCGCGTTCGCCATGTCAGTTACCCTTCCCGCATCTACAGTCGATGTACAAAGCTGACTCCGGCAGATACATCTTCTTTAATGCCCGCACACACCATAGCGTATTCGACGAAGTTCTCGAGCATGATGAGCACCGGGATCTCGATCGCCATGAGGATCTGGCCAAGCCCAAATTCACGTTCACGGAATGCGCCGTCGCATTGACCATCTCTATAGCGCTGGTCACTCTCCTGGCCGTTTTCCTTGTAGAGCGAATTGACGATGTTGTCGAGGCGGGCGTGCCAGACCAGTTTCTCGGTCTGATCCTCCTTCCGCTAGTCGAGAAGGCTGCAGAGCATCTGACAGCAATCGATGAAGCTTGGGACGGTCAAATGGTGAACCGCTGATATGACTTCCATTTCCATACACGTACTAACCTCATCCAGAACTTCGCGCTCTACCACTGCCTCGGCCCTTCGATCCAAACGGCCCTCTTCAACGCCCCGTTGGTCGTCCTTGTCGGATGGGCAATAGGGAAGCCCATGGATCTCAACTTTGAGATCTTCATGATCGCTCTGCTCGTCCTTTCTATTTTGGTGGTTGGCAACTTCCTCCGCGACAAGGAATGCAACTACTTGGAAGGCGCGTTACTGGTGGTAGGTAGAATTGTGAAGAGTCCTCGCTGCAGTAAGCTGACCGGCCATCCAGATCGTTTATGTGATCATGGCCGTGGCGGCATGGTATTATCCGAACCCAGACGTTGCAACATCGAACGGTGGCGAGTTTCTTGCTGGCGGGGCGGCCGGTGTGAGGCCTTTGGTGCTGCAGATGCATGGCTGAACAACCCGAGCAAAGACGCACTGAATCAAAGATCTCTTATTACTAGGTGCTGCTATTGGAACACATCATTACTCCCCACGGCCCGGCGCGGGAGTTGTCATGTCGTAAAGGAAGGCAAGGTTCAAGGGGTGTCCAGAAAATCCACGGCCTCTGTCCAGGCCCAAAACCTTGCCAAGAGGGGCCACGAATATCCTGGATAGCCTTTGGTCGGGCAGTCGCACTTGCAGCGGTAGTTTACAACGTAAAAACTACCTAAAATTATACAGATGAGCAGAGCATAGGCAAACGGTGACCTCCCCACTACTCGCTTGGTAAAAGGGACGAAGGATCAAGGGATCAAGCGGCCAGCTTAGAGTTACACGTCCATGTCGTGAAGCTATAGAAATCCATCAACCCTAGCCGAATATACCGCTCGGGAGATACTTGGCCCTGAGAGTGGAGTCGTTGACCTTTTATCTCCGCGCCTCGTATTACCCCACTTCCTGAAACATAATGTAGCATAAATATCAGAAGACGTAACAATTCATCCATCCTCAAGTATGGGCAGCCCGCGCGGCTTGTCCACTCTGTTCCCGACGCTTCTTCCGCCAAACACGCAAGATGGCGAAGTTATGCCAGTGGTGCAAGCAGATAAACTTCGCCACCATTCTCACACCTCGACAATGCAACCTTACCACAGGTGACGAAGGGCCTATATACCGTCCAGAGTACACAGGCAACGGTGGAGATCCGTCGCTTCACTTTGAGCGCTATGGTAGAACCGTACGATCTGGCCCACCTGAGTCGTATTTGCCGCAGATACGGACGGCGCGATATGAGGAGCTTAGTAGCTCTGATGATAGTTCCGAAGCTTCTGATTATGAATTGAAGAGAAAGATTTAGCGCCTGTTGAGACGGACGACGGAGAGGACGGGCCCGCAGACGACGGCTTCGATAGTAGTGGTGATGACCCTTCATAGCGGCTGAGTGCTGAGAGCGAGAGCGCCGATGAGGATCATGAAGATATTCCACCATCACCATCGGAAACCGGAGTGTCTGACGAGCCCTTTCCGGAGGTCCCCCCATGTGATGTTTTCAACTACGTATTCGAGGCAAAGACGGTGAACGAAGCCTGGGAGCAAGTTAAGCTCTTACAGGGAGCAGAGGGATGGGCGTCAGGTCTACGTCCTTTCACACGAAAGAACAAGACCCAGACCGAGACCGACAACACTCATCTGGATGGGAGTAGCATTGATTACTCGGTATCTGAAGCAGATACTTCTGCCCTGAGCGAGAACGCCTCCTCCGCCAGTACATGGTCTTACTGGTCCCATTTTACGGAGCTCTGGCGCAACGACCTCAAGACGCAGGCAGAGGGACAATGGAATTACCGACACGGGCATCTCCATTATCTCGGCACGATTTGGGATGTCCGCTCTCGGCGCCGCAGATGTGATCTGTGCCGTTGCTTCTGGCGTAGGATGCGTACAAACGCCTTTGTCAAGGAGGCCTTCTTGACCAAGTCTCGTTGCGTCCTCAAGTGCATCGAGTTCAAATGCAAGAGTATCGATGAACTGGGAAAGAAGGAGATTACCATGCTGAACATCATGGCTATCTACGGGTATAAGTTGTTTGATCCGGGAGAAAAAGCGTGGCAGGTGAAGATGCCGTTCATTCTACAGAGTATGCATCGCAACAAAGAGCTTGCAAGTCCAAGCGTATCAATAAATGCGCCGATTCAGTTCAAGGACGAATTGTTTGGCGAAGAAAGACTGCGCGGCGAGGTATGCAATTTTGACTTGTTAATGGAGTGGCAACATCTCTGCGAGACCAGCCACATTCGTCCCGGAATTGATGCAACCGGTGGAATACAGATTCGGCTCATCGATGTGGTTGATCTATGCATCATCGAGTATGAGGGGCCAGCCGGCGACTTGCCGCTCTGGTCTTCACGCGCAGGCAAGTATACTGGGAGTGTCCCACGTGCACTTGGTGCGAAGAAACACATTGGGAGTCCAAATCTCTAGCCTTCGTGGGTCAAAGAGCCATCAACGACCCGACACCGGAGGAGATATGGACAGACAATTTTGACCGGCGCTCATACGGAGGCGAAGCGGAAGGCAAATGGACACGCAATTCATACCCGAACCTGGTCAAGTCGTACTCACAGAGGCAGCTCTCCCGTGACGAAGACATTCTGAATGCATTTACCGGAGTGCTGGCATCGATAGAGGCTAGAGAGAAGACTCGCTTTCTACTCGCTTTGCGAGAGAAACATTTCGGGAACGACCTTCTTTGGGGCTGGGATGGCCCAAGCGAGCCGAGAATTTGCTGATACGGAAGGAACGGAAATCTTTTCACGCGTGCCGTCTTGTGCTTTCATGGAAGGGTACAGTCGACATCCCGAATGAGCCACGGGGTAACAGCTACGATTCTACCGATGACATCAATCCCAGTGATGGCGTCCGATGCTATGTTCTTGAGCCAGACGGTAACGATGGGTTGAGGCTTCGTATGGTCAACGAGAGCGGTAGCTGGCGCTTTCACGAAGGTTATACGAAGCGAGGCGGTGGTATATTTGACCCGACGTGGTTCCGAAGACAGACGAATCCCGAAAAGGAGCGAGATGACCAGAAATAGAACAAAAATAGGAAGCATCTTACAGCGCTTGACCAATCTAGTGCTGCAGAAGTCAGTCGAGAGCTTTCGGAAGATGAGGAGACGGGGGGCAGTTCACTCCTGTTAGTTTCATTGAGGGCAGCTCGTGGAACTGAACCCGGACCGTATGAAGCAAAGGTGCTCGGATTTTCAACGCTTTGATAGCGTCGACCATAAACATGCATAATATGGCAGGGATTGATCTTCCTGTCCGCATGACCGGGGAAAAGTCAAGGATAAACCATCCCGGCATACACGTTGTGAGCTTAGCTTGACAACGAGTTCTTGAAGCGCCACAGAGCCGGTGTAATTGCTCTAGTCCAGGATTCGCGGGCAGATGCGGAGCAGATGCACGTGGAACCGACGGAGATTAGGAATGTGTCTCGCCAGGCAGAGACACAGGCGTGTGGAACGCGTATCTTCCTGCCAGGAACGCGTGTAATCAAGCACGGTACCGGTGGTATCTAGTTAAAGGTCGGTCAGTGTATGGAACGTTGGTTGGCCCAGCAGACTACTGATCGAGCTTTCATATATACAGTTCTGTGGTGGCGGCAGGAACCATTCCCATGAAGTGGTCCTGCAGCGCCTTGAGAATGAAATTTCTTTAAATACTTGCACCCAGTAAGGAAGGTCGAGACACCCCGAAGGCGGCTATTGAGCCACACTTCCAATTCAAGGCGGTGGCGGATCTTGTCCAAACGAGACTTCGGTAGCCCGTTGCCTGAGAACAATCTCTCAATACTTCCAGGAAATCGGCTAGACAGATTCTTAGCTGCATCATATGGCGTCTGAGGAGTCCGCGGATCCTATCCGATTTAGGAGGAAACTTGTTTAAGGCTTTGGCAGAAAGCGTTATATTGCTGAGGAGCACTTCCTGGGCGCATCTGTACTAGCACCCGCTAACAATAAGGCGGTCTACTCTTGCGCGAAACCCATCTGCTCCAAGTTTCTGTACCACCAAGATAAGCAGCTCGGGCGGGAGTGATTCAAGAGAAGACACGGTTTGCGTAAGAGAGCTGGAGGCAACTATCAGCACTACTCAAAATCTTCATCAATATTATAAGATCCAGCGCTACCGGGGAGTGCTGCTCTTGGAGAGATGCGTCGGGCAGATTCAATGCCTCGGATCCCGTCTTCTCAAGCGGCATAGAAACAGCGAGAGAGAGACAAAGTCTCTAGGGGGCAGGATCGCAAGCAGCTGGCAGGGTGCGTGCTTATGTTTTGAGTTATGATGGTGGAGAATTGTCGAAAATCCGATCCAGCAGGAAGGCGAGGGACATGAGGTTGCCACGGGTTTAAACTGCAAGGATGCAGAAGTGCTTGAAGGATGATGATGCAGAACGAGCGCGAAAGTTTAGAGTGTGATGGGCGCTTGACGGCCTTCATACCTGAAACCTGCAGGGTACTCTACTCAGTTGTGGTTAAGCTTTACGCACCTGTAATTGAAGTTTTGCGTACCCGTAATTGGAGCTTGAAGATGTATGCACTACCAACGACAGGACCATGAGCCAAAGGCCCGGGCTCAAAAGTGATGCTAGGTTATGCCCGGAGTTCCACCGCCTCACCTAAACTTATTAGTATCGCACGAACTGTTGCGGAACTAGACTTCCGAGCCTAGGCCTTGTTCCTCCTGCCCATACCGGTGGGGGTATTTCCAAGATTGGAATTTAATCTCCGGCCGCAGTTATATTACCTTGATCTCCACGCGATAACTTTAGGCTGCAAGGCTTCTTGGAATTCTACTTGGAATGCTCAACACCACGCCGAGATACTCGCTTGTTATAATGGCGCGATTCTTGTGTGGCGACGCCTGTCGCATCCCCATTCATGACATTAAGTAGGTAGGTACTGGATCACTGCGCAAAGCACAACCGCATTGTGCTGCTGAAGCACCCGGAGTATTTTGCCCGATTTTGGCAAGAACGGCAAGGTGAGCGCCGATTCGCGGGGCTGCGGATCGCGATGGGGAATGAGCAAAGCGAAATATCCTCAACAGCTGTTCTCGTTCCATCGCTCTCTACTGCTGTCACTTCTTTAACCTTCAAATCTAAGTTTACTATTGACCATGCCCGAAATCACGAACGGAACCACCTACAACTCATCTCACGCCAATGGCACCTCCAAACGCTCAATTCCATCCCGGCTTTACCATACACATTCACCTCCAGCGCTTTCAGATTTCAAAGCATTATGCTCCCGCTCAGTAACACAATCAGACTATCCTCTCTCCATCGCTGTTGAGTCCAACATTCCTATCTACGACCTATCACGATACTCCCCTTCTGATGCCCAGACCACCACCCGCCTTCAAGATGAATGGTACCACATCCTCCACTCTGGGCCCGGGGTTTTTGTTGTCCGCAGTCTCTCCCCAGACACCTCCCTCCTCTCAACCGTGAACAGCGTTTATGCGTCCATCATCGCCTCCGAGAAGACATCTACGAAAGGCGACCACTTCGCCAGCTCCGGCAAAAACGACAGAATTTGGAACTCCTTCGGCAAGCACGGCCTCTTCGACCCGTCCTCCTTCCTCCAGTACTACTCCAATCCCTGGCTGCCGCTGCTGTTCTCCGCATGGCTCGGTCCAGCTTACCGCGTCACGGCGCAGGTCAACATCGTCAAGCCCGGCGGCGCGCCGCAGGTCTCGCACCGCGACTTCCACCTCGGATTCCAGACCACAGAAGACTGTGCGAGGTTTCCAAAGGCGATGCAGCACGCGAGCCAGCTGCTGACGCTGCAGGGAGCGGTGGCCCACAGCGATATGCCGCTGGAGAGCGGGCCAACACGGTTTCTGCCGTTTAGCCAGACGTTCGAGGAGGGCTATATGGCGTATCGGCTTCCGGAATTCAATGACTATTTCTTGAAGTACTGGGTCTCGCTGCCGCTGCGGATGGGCGACGGAGTGTTCTTCTCCCCTGGGCTGATGCATGCGGCGGGGGAGAATCGGACGCAGGATGTTGAGAGGAGTGCGAATCTCTTGCAGATTTCGAGCGCGTTTGGGAAGACGATGGAGACGGTGGATAGTGCGCCGCTTGTGGAAAAGTGCTGGGCAGGGCTAAGGGAGATGTATCGTGACGGGAAGAGTGAAGAGGTAGAGGCGTTCGTGGCAGCAGTGGCTGAGGGCTACCCGTTTCCAACGAACTTGGATAGGAGACCGCCTGCGCCGGGCGGGATGTGAGTACTTCTGCGGTGTTTTTGTTGCATATGAAAGCCAGGCTGACAATGCACAGGGCGCCCGAGAGCGAGCAGGATATCTTACGGAGAGGACTGAAGGAGGACTGGAGTACTGAGGATGTGATGGTTGCCTTGGCAAAAATAAGGGAGGATTCCAAGGTGTAAACGGTCAAGTTCAAGCATCTCTGAAGGTCCTGGAAGATTTGACAGACCACTGGTTTGCAGTCTTACCATGCTGCTGGTGGATGGTCTGTTGTATTGACTCACCACTTACAAGCACGGTAATGAGTTTTCTCTAAGAGAGATATGTTGTCGCTACTATAAATCTGCCCTGTTTACAACGCTTCGCCGGGTATCCGCGCAACTCTGCCTCTACCAGCGCGCTGCACGAACAACCATAATGTTCATACCATATCGCCAATACTCCAACTACTCAGGTAGTGCAGAACGCTCGACCAGGCCAATGAGGTCGACAAGGCTGAGTTGATAACGAGGTGGTTGCAGCACGTGATAGAAGATGGCAGAAATGGCAGCGGCAGAAGCAGAAGGCGAGAGACGGCGCATGTTCGGAAGTCGGAAGGTCGGGGAAGCCAGCGGCGATCGCCTCTCCGCCATCATCAGCCTGTCAACGCCTGCCGTCCAGAGAAGTTCAACGTTAACACCATCATCTATTGCGGTGCTGCGCGCCCAAACCGCTACACTATCGACAGCTGGCATACACATCCCGCTGCCATCTTTCACACCTCCTTCTTCTACGCAGTCGTTAGTTTCGCTTGACAGGGTGGGGTTGGCCGCTCACCACAATCTTTCCATCATGGCCTTCCAGGCTCCTGTCACTATTCAGGTATGCGCTCGCCACGGCAAGAGCCCCTCAATACGAAGTAGACTGACTCCAGCAACGCAGAATATTGCATCCGTCACGAGCGAACTATGGCCATCCATGTCTGCTCTACTCCAGGCGCCGTTCCGAACCGTCAACCACCGCACGCCACCGGCCTTCCCCAAAAGAGATACGCAAGGGGCAGTAATAAACAGCATACCGGAACAAAGCGCCGCCAGCGAGGTGCGGACGGCTCCGAGGCAGGCGCTGCCAGATTGCCTTGAGACAGTGCCGGCCGCAGCCATGAGGTTTCGTCCATCACCTGAGGTCCTTCGATTGACGCCCACAACAACGACGCTGTTTTCAGCACTTTCTAAGAACGCTCTCCGGAATGCCAATCCCCTCGCTCGTGCGCTACCTCCCGTCTCTATGGCCTCGCGCCAGTACTCTACGTTCACTCGTCTGGGGCCTCTCAAGCTCCATGCCATCCCTCGGCCAGGCAACGTGGGGCTCTCACAGACACGTAGCATCTTCGGCGGTAACACCTCTCGGAACCTCCTCTCGCATATGGAACAAACGGCGAACAATAACCCAACAAGCGCCACCGCCCAAAACGCATTCTACTCCGCTCTCCTTCGCGCCAATCTGCCGGAAATACTCATTGAGCGCTACCAGAGCGGACGCTATGCTAGCAATCCCGCTTGCGAAGCCACTTATGTCCGCGCGCTTGAAAAGATTGGAGAGACCGAGAAAGCTGCAGCTATCATGGAGAACAAGGGTACAACTGGGCAGACTGGTACGCTGACCCCTGAGCAATTGCAAGCGATCGGCCAAGCCGTTGGTGCCCGTGCTCGCGGCGGTAACATTTCCATAGCGCGTAATGGCTCCGGTGGCAAGGAATCTCCGCTCTACGTCGTCGTCGAAGAGTCCACAGGCAGCACTATCTTCAAATGGGTCAAGTTCTTCGTCTACTTCGGCTTAATCACCTACTTCTCCCTTGTCGTACTCACTCTTATCGTTGAAGCGAGCGGTATGCTCAAGAAAGTCGGCGGTACCCAGAACGCCGAGGCCAGACCCGAGCTTCAGACCACGCGCTTCAGCGATGTCCACGGTTGCGACGAAGCGAAGGAGGAGCTCCAAGAGCTCGTCGAGTTTCTCAAAGCACCCGAAAAGTTCTCGACTCTCGGTGGCAAGCTTCCGAAAGGTGTCCTTCTTGTCGGTCCACCCGGTACTGGTAAAACCCTTCTCGCGCGTGCCGTAGCGGGCGAAGCCGGTGTCCCCTTCTTCTACATGTCCGGCTCCGAATTTGACGAAGTCTACGTCGGCGTCGGCGCCAAGCGTGTGCGGGAACTGTTCAACGCCGCCCGTGCCAAGGCCCCTGCCATTGTCTTTATCGACGAGCTAGACGCCATCGGCGGCAAGCGTAACGAGCGCGACGCAGCCTACGTGAAGCAGACTCTGAACCAGCTCCTCACGGACCTCGATGGCTTCGACCAGAACTCCGGCGTCATTTTCCTCGCGGCAACCAACTTCCCTCAGCTGCTCGACAAGGCGCTCACTCGCCCTGGACGCTTTGACAGGAATGTGAATGTACCACTGCCGGACGTTAGAGGCCGAGTAGCGATTCTCAAACACCACATGCGCAATGTTCAAATCGGCACTGATGTCGACGCCGCCGTTCTTGCGCGCGGCACGCCTGGCTTCAGCGGCGCGGAGCTCGAGAACCTCGTCAACCAGGCCGCGGTGCACGCATCCAAGAACAAGGCCAATAAAGTCACTATGTCTGCTTTCGAGTGGGCCAAGGACCGGATCCTCATGGGCGCCGAGCGCCGCTCCGCTGTCATCCAGCAGAAGGACAAAGTCATGACTGCATATCACGAGGGTGGCCATGCGCTCGTTGCTATGCTCACGAAATACACGGATCCGCTCTACAAAGCGACCATAATGCCCAGGGGTCACGCGCTAGGCATCACGTTCCAGCTCCCGGACATGGACAAAGTGAGCATGGCAAAGAAGGAATATCTAGCGAAGATCGATGTCTGCATGGGCGGCAAGGTCGCCGAAGAGATCGTCTACGGCCCCGACGACGTCACATCGGGCGCTTCATCCGATATCCAGACCGCGACGCAGATTGCCTACTCCATGGTCACGCAGATGGGCATGTCGGAGGAACTGGGCAATATCGACCTGCACTCGGACTACTCTCGCCTGTCGTCGGAAACTAAGATGCGCATCGAGAACGAGGTCCGCAAGATCGTCGAAGAGGGCAGATTGAGGGCTAAGAAGCTCCTTACCGAGCATCGCGTCGAGCTTGACCGTCTCGCCAACGCGCTCGTTGAGTACGAGAATTTGAACAAGGAGGAGATGGAGAAGGTGGTCAGGGGTGAGAAGCTTCCAGATCGCCTGCTTGCGAGTCCGGAGGCCCCGATCAAGATCCCTGCTGTAGGCCTGGGCTTGCCGGGGATTACGAGCGGCGGGAGTGCGGGAGGTGGGCCTGGTGGTGGGTCTGCGGCGGGCGATGAGCCTGGGCCTGGATTGCCGGGCCCGGGTGTCCCTGGTGGAGGCGATGGTGGACCGCCCCGGCCGTATCCGGCGGGTCAGTGAGCGTATGGAGATAGCGGAGTAGGATGTGTCGGCTTTCTCGGACGGGTTGCATAAGGTGCCGGGTACGGCGTGTCTGGCGTTCGCTTGGGACGTGCCGATCTCTTCTCTAGGTGTGAGGATGATGCGCACTGTTGGGTCCTTCCCTTTGTCTTGAAACTGTTTCGCATTGGTAGCGCTTGCTGGCTTCGTTTACTAGCATGTCGTTTGAGGATATAAGGAATTAACTGCGCCTGTTATGGGCTATTCCTCTACCACGATTCCATCCCTGTCATAAGTAGTTTGACTAGGTACTTTCCACGACGTGAATCATGTTGAAAAGCACAGTGATCCAATGTCATGAAAAGTGACAACATGCACTTCAAAGCGATCATTAAGACACAACCACTCGTACTTGCTCCTTACGGAATATCTAGGTTCCAGCGTACAAGTTCTATCCAGAAGATTTGTAACATTTCCCCGCGGCCCAAAAATGGTGCCAAGAGCGGTTACAAAGATTCCGGATCGTCCTTGGGAGAAGGTGAGGAGCTGCGCCTCGTACCAGCTCGCCGCTATTCCGACTTGCAGTATGTATTTGCCGCCTCGCTGGATCAATGACCGAGGAAACAACCTGATTAGGATGAAGACGGGTTCCTCGGTGCGTCATGAGCATGCGAAAGCCGCGGCCGCCGCGATGCGGATAGTATCCGGATTCTTTTCCGACGCGTGTTCTATGCGCGGTACCGCGGAGTATACACGGCAGCGGATAAAAAGCGAACGAGGATTCATCCGCAAACCGTAACAATGTGGGTCAGAGTGGACGGCCGGCTATATAAGAAGCTTGGTGGACCAGATGGCGTTCCTTACTTAGTTGATTCAAGACCACCTTACTTGCTTTGCATCCAAGTTTCTAAGACACCTTGCACAGCATCACCTTGAACGTAGCAACGCATTGGATATCCTGATACGCTTGAAGATCACTACAGCTATTCGCAATGGCAATGGACCGCACCTTCAAGCTACACGACGGGAACAAGATCCCGGCTGTTGGGTTTGGCACGTGGCAGGTACGCAACAGCTGTACTAGTACAACTCTCATGGCTACAAGCTTACGAAGAAGCACAGGCCAAGCCTACCGAAGTTGAGAGAGCCGTCGAGATAGCTCTACGCGCTGGCTACAAGCATATCGACTGCGCGGCTATCTACAGAAACGAGACAGAGGTCGGGGCTGGCATCAAGAACTCAGGGGTTGACCGGAGAGATATCTTTGTAAGTTGCTGTTGACGGGGGTTGTTAAAAGAGTGGAGTGCTGATGTAGGCCATGGCAGATCACATCCAAGCTATGGAATACACGCCATCGACCGGAAGAGGTGGAGAAGGCGCTGGATAAGACGCTGAAAGACATTGGTACCGATTATGTGGATCTGTATCTCATGCACTGGCCGGTGTAAGTAGAAGGAACCGAGCTTCGTAGGGTTGGAGATAGTGCTGACAAAGTTCGCAGCGCATTCCGTGCAGGCGACGACTGGTTTCCCCTCGACAAACACGGCATCTTCGAGCTCGACCGCGAAGTCGACGTAGCAGCAACCTGGGAGGCCATGGTGAAGCTACTCGAGACCGGCAAGGTCAAATCCGTCGGCGTGTCCAGTAAGTCACCAGTCGTCCACCATGCAGCCAGATTTAACCCGGCTTGCAGACTTCAATATCCGCCGCCTAACCCAGCTCCTTGAGAAGACGCAGACAGTGCCAGTAGTGAACCAGATCGAGGCGCATCCGTACCTCCAGCAGCCCGACCTCTTCAAGTTCTGCAAGGAGCACGACATCCTGATCGAGGCCTACTCGCCGCTCGGCAACAACCAGACCGGTGAGCCGCGGACCGTGGACGATGCCAAGGTGAAAGAGCTGGCCACGAAGCTGGGCGTTGATGCCGGGCAACTACTGGCGAGCTGGGGAGTTCAGCGTGGGACGGTGGTGCTGCCGAAGAGCGTGACGGAGTCGCGGATCAAGAGTAATATGCAGAGTAAGTACCATAACTTGGCGTCTCACTGAATGGACGCGCTGACAGACGTGCTAGTCTTCGAGATACCGGAGGATGTGATGGCGGAACTTGACGCACTGGAGAGGCACAAGCGGTTCAACTTCCCGGCCCACTGGGGATTCGACATCTTTGACGAGGCTGGTGAGATCAAGGTTCGGAAGGCTGCGGTGCAGTGGGCGGAGAAGAATAAGCAGTAGAGGCGCATAGACACACTTGGTTTTGGAGTAAACTTGCATGGGATCGGCGTTTTGCTGCTGATGCCGGGCTAAAAGTTGAAGATTGATGGTGTATAGACTTAAAGTAGGTTTAGGTTTACAGCATAGACTGTATCAGAAGAAGGTGTCGCTGCTCCCATTGTGCTTGGTTCGTGCTTCTCGTCATGGTTATACTCTAGTTTGAGGCTAGCAGAGTGGTTCAGCTACAGCGGAGATAAGGGGGCAAGTAAGCGCGCTTGAAGTACGACTTGTTGAATTCTTCGCGGGCCCATATACTTGTAAGATGGTAGAAGACGTCGAGTGTCATTCTGTACCTACAGTCTTGCTGAGGAGTCTGCTGGTCCTAGTTAAGATTTTGACGCTCGATTGTATTAGCGCAGTTGAAGATGCGCTGTTGTGCTCGGTTCACCTGGGCGTGGTCAGGAGGACCCTATGTCGGATGACCGATGTCAGCCTGAACGACGTGGCAGCTCTTGGGGTTCACGCATTTAGTGGGCAAAGGGCGACTATCTCTTCGCATCCAAATGCGGTGGTAGCTATGGTTGCTTAGAACGTCGTTGACAGGAGAACCGGTTATAGTGGCTTTGCGCAGCTGACGACGGCACAGACGCGCTGCAAGAGGGTGACGAGGACGGTAATGGCTTGAAATCGGATCTCAGGCGAGTGCTTCCTGAATGTAGAGAGGATTTATGAAGGGCTACCTCGCCGGCCTGAAATGCTCTGCATGACGCTCACGAAGACTCTGAATCCGGGGACTTGGCGCGGATGGTTCACCAAAAGGTTCATAACGCATGATTAGGCCCAGGTTGGAAATCGTGATGCATGTCAGCAGGTTTGCAAGTCCTACCACATTGTGAAAGGCGTGCCTCGGAGCATGGTGGGACAGTCGGATGATGAATTGTGTAGAGCCGCCACGCCTTGGGCTGCTGGCGCTGTTCGTCACGGCGGTCAAAACACAAGCTCCTGCTCGATGTGGTGTTGTTTCCTGGATCGTGAAACACGCTGAGCCGCCGAAGGCCCTTCAGCCGCCTTTTGGAATCTGTTTCAAGGACAGCGTTAGTGATGGGGAAGCAGCCAATTGGGCGGGGAGATCCAGATTGCGGAGATGGGGAGGCACCGGCTGCGAAGGCTGCGGTCCCTTGGTCCATCTGGATCACCCGCCGAGCCTCGTGCCTTCGTCACCGGCAAACAAGCATTCCACCGCACGCACTAGACGTGAAAGCAGCTGCTTGATTGAGCAGCAGAGCCACCTGGGCAGTCATGGCTGCGCGCAAGACGATCTTGGTCTTGCCTCTTCGCCCGCCGGATAGGATAAGCCCTTCTTCCAGATCGTCTCCTTCATTCCCTTCACCTTCATTCTCCGCAGCCATCGCGTTTGCCACTCCTTCATACCTTCTCCAGCGTCTCCTTCAATCCTCCCTTCTTCCTTCAACTCCCTGTTGCTCCCTGTTCGGCATTCCCTTCTGCATCCTACAGGATGGGGTCTCCTTTCTCCTCAATCGCTCTGGCAGCGACCGCTTTCCTTTCCTTTTCTCACCTCAGCCATGCCATCGCCTTGGACCTGGACGATAGCGGTAATGGAGTGCCCACCTCTCCCAATGCAACATCCAGCTGACAGGACCCGCAGCATCCATCCGCGCCGTCGCCAAGACCTACGCCCATGGCCTCATGCAGATGTACCCTGGCAATCAGTCAGGCATACCAGCCTCAGAAGTCGGCATCTTCCCAAGACCGCACTATTGGTGGGAGGCCGGCGCCGCGTGGGGGGGAATGATTGATTACTGGGCATACACCGGCGACGATAGCTTTGTGGAGACAGTCCAGCAGGCCCTCTATGCACAGATGGGACCCGGACGGGACTTCATGAATGAGGCGAAGCGTGGAGAGACTGTACGTTTACCCTCCCTCACGTCACTGTAACGCCTTTCATTGGCCGTTTGGACATCTCCAGAGTGGCTGCCAGAGCAGCCGCGGCCTAAACATCTTCACCAGACTGACTCTCCCAGGGCAACGACGACCAAGCCTTCTGGGCCCTCGCCGCCATGTCCGGGGCCGAATCCCGCTTCCCCCGCCGCGACACCGCCGGCGCCGCTGCACCCACCTGGCTCTCCATGGTCGTCAACGCCTTCAACACCCAAGCCGCCCGCTGGGACCTGACCTCCTGCGCCGGCGGGCTAAAATGGCAAATCTTCCCCGAAAACGCATACGGCTACAACTACAAAAACGCCATCTCGAACGGCGGCTTCTTCCAGATGGCCGCGCGGCTGCTGCACTACACCGGTGACTCTCGGTATCAGGACTGGGCCGAACGCACCTGGGACTGGTGCGAGCGCATCGGGCTCATCTCCTCGCCGCACTACTTCATCTTCGACGGCAGCGACGACAAGCTCAACTGCAGCGAGATAAACCACCTCCAGTTCTCCTACAACGCAGGCATGTTCCTCGGCGGGGCCGCCTACATGTACAACTACACGAACGGCTCCACGGTCTGGGCGGAGCGGGTTGCCGGGCTCCTGCAAGGCTCCGCCGTCTTCTTCTCCCCCTTCCCAAACGCCACCGATGTCATGTACGAGGCCGCGTGCGAGACTATCGGCACCTGCAACCTCGACCAACAGTCCTTCAAAGCCTACCTGAGCCGCTGGCTTGCCAAGACCTCCGTCCTGGTCCCCTTCACCGCCCCTGCGATCCGCACCCTCCTCCGCACCTCCGCCGCGGCCGCCGCGCGGTCCTGCTCCGGTGGCGCCGACGGCGTCACCTGCGGCTCCAAGTGGTACACCGGCGGCTGGGACGGCAAGAGCGGCGTCGGGCAGCAGCTCTCGGGCATGGAGGTGACGCAGGCGCTGCTGGTCGAGAGCGCGCCGGCGCCGGTCCACGAGGCGGATGTCTACATTGGGCCCGCGCCGCCGATGGCTACCGTTGGTGTTCCGAAGCGGACTGTTACTGCTGAGGCGGCGGGCGTGACTAACGGTGCTGCTATAGGGTCGAAAGTTGGAAAAGTGGTGCCGGGAGCGGCGGCTGCGGTGGTTTTGGGCTTTGGTGGGTGGTTGTAAGGTGTGAGGGGTGCAGAGTGGGCGTTGGCGAATGTGCGCGGAGAGAGAGAGTCATTGGGCGGTCATGGTGTTTAAAGCTGCCGCTTAGACGACGGAACGACATTTTACAATAGAGCGGTATTGCTGGCAATGTTACTGTTGTGTGGGCTTTGGCGCTAGGGTGGAGAATAGAGAGCATACCCTGAGGGCATATGCGGTATATTATATTCTGCTATGTAGATCGCTAGATGGAGCTATCCGATTACTCAAAGCCCTCGCAGACCCCCTGTCGTGCCTTACGCCGCCTATAGGCGTCGCTGATGTGCTTTTGTGGTCCCAGTTTAAGTCTTCCCCAGCCAGTTCCTAGCGGCCATGCCTTCGCGATCCGCATTTTGGAAGTTCAAAAGAAGCCTGATGGATATATTCCCGTTTCTTAGACCCGTGAGCCTCAAGACTTAGCCCAAAACACACACAAAACGCCAGTGCTATGCAGAAAGATTTCTTCCTCCTCTTTTGTCCTCACCCTCTCACCTCCTGCCCCTCTGCCTCACCCCGCTAGATCCGGCCCCCCAGCACAACCGTCCTACCAATCAACTCCAGCTCCCCCGTCTCAGCCGTCCTTCTCCGCTCAAGCACCCACCTCTTTCCTCCCTTTTCGTCGTCCTCGCGCACATATGCCACACTGTCCGCCGCGCTGCCCTGTCGTGAGTGGCCTTTTGTTGTAGCCGCGCGGGAGCGGTCGAGGGTTGTTGATGTCAAGGGCGGGGGCGGTTGTGGTGGGGATACGAGGGTGGGAGAGTGTAAAAGGGGGGTGTAGGCCGTGGTGTTAGCGGGGAAGGTGAAGGGCGGGAGCTGCGCTGGTTTGAGATTGGCGGGGGAGCTGGTGGTTGACGAGGGTGCTGAGGGGAAGAACGTCGAAGTGGTGCTGGTTGGGAAGCCTAGAAATGGCGACGTCGGCGAGATGGTAGGTAAGGAATAGGCGGAGGGTTGGTTGGTGTTGAGGGAGAGGTGGGGATATGCTGTCCGCTCCTGCCTTTCGCTTCCGGCGTGTGCAGGCTCGAGTTGGTTCGCTGCGGTGATGGTCGGGCTGGTAGATCGCCCTGGGTAGTCTTCGTCGTCCTCGTCGTCGGAGATGAAAGAGTCCCTGTTATAGTTGAATTCGGCGCCATCGAGTTCGGCTTCGTAGTCGTCCATGTCCTGGGTTTCGTTCTCCAGGTCACCATCTGTCACAGCTTTGGCGGCTACGCTACCGCTGTCTGGAGTGCTGCTGTAGCCTTTGTCACTTTCAATAGCTTGCTGGACAGGCACCATGTGGTTCTGACCCCTATCCTTGAAGTGTCCGAGCTGCACCGTCGGGCTGCTGTTTCTCGGACTGCTGGCTGTACTTCCGAGGCTGACTTGGCTTCCACCGAAGGCGCTCTTCTTCAGCTTCTGAAGCTGAAGCAAGGACATTTCCATGTCACTCGTATCTTCATCCGTAGCATATCCGTTGGGGAAGCCATAGGGACTCATTCTTGCGAGCTGGGCAAGACCAGGCGACGGCAGCGCTCCAGTTAAGCTCGAAGAGTTGAACTGCTTGAGACTGATGAAGGAGTTCCTAGTCGAGAACTCACTGCGCTCGGTTATCGGTGTCAAGTTCGGCTCGCGGAGCGTGTTTCTCCTCCCAATCTCTACGAAGCCTTTCGGGCCAAAGAAGCCGCCGAATGCGCCTAGAGCCTCTGCATCTTCTAGGCTCTGTATCGGTGCAGCGTAGAATCCAAACTCTTGCCCATAGAAGCCATCGGAATCGTAAGCGAGGGCCTCTGCGTTTGCCGCTGCGATCATCGGATCGTCTTCTGCGTTATCGTCAAAGTCTGAGTAGTCGTAGTCATCTTGGAAGCGTGTTATGCCATATCCTTCATCCGCCGGGCCAGTCATGCCGAGTCCTGTAGAGGTCGTCGCACTTTCATGGCTGGAGCAGCCGTCGGAAGGCATTAGACTTGACCTGGAGTCATCAAGAGCAGCGACGTTACTTTCACTTTCCTCAGTGGAGAGTGTGAAAGGCGCACTATTGTTGCTCGTGCTGTCTTTGCGAGTGAAGCGGCCGTTCGCCGCTGCTTTGCTGGCGGCATCAGCAAGAGCGCTGTGATAAGCCATCAGGTTGTTGAAGCCGGCGGAAGGTCCTCCAGACAGTTTGTGAGATTGATGAAGCGGTAGTGCGCTGGAGGTATTGCGGGGACGCTGGTGGAGAGCGTCATTATCGTCAATGATATCCGTGTTGCTCGTCTCAGCTCCTCCGTTAACAGGACCACTTGACGGGAAAGCATCACCCACGTCTAACGCGGCCGCGTCAGGTCGTGGCTTAGGAGGCGGCCGCGCGTAAAGCGGACCGCTAGGGTCATCGAAGGTTGACTCGTCGAAATCATCACCATCTACATCATCCCGAACTTCAATCAAGCCGTCGTCAAAGTAGAGATCATCACTAAGCTCTTTCGCATGGATCGCTTTTCCAGAATCTTGCCTTCCGCTGACCGCATGGCTGGGAGGTGCATCCGGTGTCTCATGGATCCGCTGGGCACCAGCAACGGCATCAGCGTTCAGGTCCATGAGACCGAGCCCGTGGATGTCCTGGATAGGATGAGAGGAGGTGGCGAAGTAAGTCTCATGCTCCGAAGTATGCGCAGCAAGGTCATCTTCAGCCTCATCCATTGGCTCAATAGCATGGCCCGTAGTGTTCTGCGACAGAAGGGTAGCGAGTTCAGGGAGCGAGAATTCATTCATTGGATTGCTTGAAATCTTCCACGCGTTTTGAAAGCCGACGTCTCCCATGCTCAACGTCGGCTGGGCATTGAGTGGAGACGCACCAAAGCCATCTTCGTCATCCGCATCAGCTCCAATCATGTTGATCTCTTCCTCATACCCCCCGTCATCTAAGCCATCATAATCGTAGGCGTCGTCTTCTTCCTCTTCATACGGATCTGGCTCATGCCTTTGCGATGGCGTAGTGGATGTTGCCGCCTCCGCCTTAGCAGCAGCTTTCGCCTTGTGACGCTCTTCGAGCAGTCTCTCTTCAGTCGATGAATCTCCGCCGGACATTTGGAAACTAAAGCGGGATGACCTGCTGTTCATATGTGCAGGCAGTCCGGCAGGTTGCCAGGCGGTATCCCCGCCGGACAAAGCTCGTGAGCGCGCTTTCGGAGGTGTGCGCTGGAAAGCTCTTCCCTCAAATGTGCCAGTAAGAGGGGATTCCGGCACGGTTGCTAACGGAGGGGATTCTGTGCGTTGTTCGGCGGGATCCAAAGGTGGTGAGATGGACTTTAGCGGCGATGATAGTGGTGAGTGTCTAGCGAACGGTGGAATAGACTTTGATGATTTATCTGACGCTTGCAGAGACGCTCTTTTGAGGAAGTCATGATTCGCCAGCGCTTCGGCACGGATTGCAGACTCCGATTCTTGAGGTTGTAAATCGTCGTCAAAGTGCTCTCTAAAGACTGGTGTATGGGCCCTGTCCACTTTCGACGGGCTTGAGTCAGCGGAGTTCCGATCTGGATTTAAAACGCCATCTGCTCGAGACTCTTGACGCAGTTTCTCCTTGCTTGTAGAATCTGTGCTCGACTGGGATTCATTGTGGTAGGAGAACCCTCGATGCGGGCGAGGAGCGCTGAAGTCATGAACGCCCTTGCCTCTGATCCGCGGGTCGTAATCATCTGGCAAGGTCATTGCAGGTACAATCTGACTCTTATGGCTGACGAGGGACTCATCCGAAAGGTTCTCCAAGTGTTGCCCGGAGCGGCGCCGTAAAAGGAGGGACATCGGATTACGAAGGTGGAGCCCTTTTTTGCCCTGTTTGGCATGGTGTGCATTGGTCGAAAGCTGAAGTGGCTTAGGCGAGCTGGATTTCTCACTGAGGGAAGGACTTGGTAGAGGTTGTAGTTTCGGAGGTGGAACAAGTGAAGGGGCCGTAGAAGCAACAGCAGCTGCATAAGGTACAGATTGCAAGTCGCCTGAAGCATTGATGCTAGCTATGCCGACCGTTGTCTGCCCTTTACTTCTATACCCCGTCGGTGCCGCTGTATGTGGTCTCTTAGCGCCTTCGTAGGTGTTTTCTGCCGCTGTCGAAGGCATTAGCACTGGCGCTGCATTTGTTAACGCGTTCGATATCCCTGGTTGCTTCGATTGTTCCTCTCTTACGGCTGCTGCATCGTTTTCTACCGGCTGATTATGCCCTTTCGGCACTGAACGAGCAGCACCAGGTATTTCATGGCGGTAAGCCACGCGCGGTATCGGCGGCAGGACAGGCGGGTACGGCGAGACAGGAGAGTCGGAACGTGTGCTGTTGCTGTCCGGCGGTTGATTGGAAGAGGAGAAGTCAAGGGACTGCACAGAGGTAGCAGGTCGTTGGGGAGCAGTTGAAAGGTCCGGTGTGGTTGGATTCGAGCCGGTTCTTCTATGGTGGGTGCGGAGGTAGGAGAACATGTTCGAAGGCGCCATTGCAATGCAGATGGCCTGAAACAGCTCTGCCGGCTCTGCAGAAGGTGTTGGTAGTCAGCGGAGGGTGTCGAGCACGTCTGCCGCTTTTCAGCGCGGCCAAAGAGCGTACAACATCATCTCTTGCAATTGGCCTTGCACTAGGAACTCTAGGAAGTTTGCGCGGTGCCTGACGTAGGACGGTATCCCCTTGAGTTGTTCCTGAGACTTTCTAGCGGAGTTGCTCGTTGGGTACTCGGCTGCTCGACATCGACTTTGAAGGATTGCAGGGTGCTCCTTGTGGCTTGATTGGACTCTGGTGGATGGAGGACCGGTGTAGGGGGTTTCGCGAGCGCTGGCAATTGGAATTATGGCGTAGACTACGGCAGGTAGGCGTAGCACAGCTCGGGGCCTCGCTGCTGTGTGGTTGTAACGAGTGTAGATTATCGTAACGGTAGGTAACATCGTTCCCCCCCTCCCCCCACCACCTCTGGTTCACATGCGAGGAAACACCGGGAGATCCTATATGCCTCACCCGTGCTGACCGCGCGGTAAGGGGCTATCCACAGCATCATATCATTTTGGGGGCGCATGCTGTTTGTAGAAAGGGAACAGAGACAGCCTTGTTGGATGTCGATTGTTTTTGCACCAACCAACATGCTTCTGGAGTCACGCTAGAAATCTGACAGCGGCCTCCGCGAGAACGCCCAGCGCCTCGCTTGACACACTAAACTACCATAACAGCCCGTAGCTCATAGTTCTTTCTTAAACTCATACTCATTTGCAGGCGTCGTGGTCCCACTCCGCCCACTCCCCTCATCCCCAACCTCCCACCCATCCTTACCCTGGCTTCTCCTCCTCTGTCCCCTCTCCCTCATCGCCCCGCGAATCTTCTGACTCACCTCATCAGCGTTGACTTGCGAGTCCAACGAGCTGAACCCCTGAATGTGAAACGCTCCCGAGTTGGTGCGGCTCCTACTGCGGTGGTGCGTCGGCGTCGTCGGCCGGGTTGCAAAAAGGCCGATCCCCCCGAGATTCTTGAAACTCTCGTTACGTGGTAGATGGCCCGTGGCAGATGATCCACCGCCGATACTCGCTGCTTTCTCATTCTTCTGTGGGATACCAGGCGATTGGGGTGGTGTGTCGACACCGAAGGGATCACTGTCGGTCCGAGGAAAGGCGCCACGACCGCGCCGGGGTGAGGTCTGCAAACCTGGTTCATCCTCACGGAAGGGGTCCGAGACGATACGCGCATTGTCGAAGTCAGGGAACATCTCCGGGCCTAAGGTGTTGATAACCTCTGTGACTTTTGCGGCAAGGTCCGCCCGAGTAGCCCGTAGCCTCACCAGCGTGTTGCCGGAAGAAGGGTTCAGCGATAAGACAAGTGGCCGCAGCGACTTGAAGATGTCCATGCCAGTTTCTCCAAAACGAAGAGCAGCGTAGGTAATGCTGGGAAAGAACATGTAGCCGAAGAGCACGACTGCCCAGAGAGGAACGTAGTCAGGCATGTAGCCCTGCACACGGTTGTAGTAAGTCCACCAGGTGAGTAGGACAGTGTAGAAGGTGTAGAGCATTGGTGCCAATGCCATTGAAACAAGGATCTTCCAAGTGGCCACGACATCACGTGCCTGAATCTTGACTGTGCTTGCTGCGAGTGCTTCCCTCGACTTCTTGATGGAGATCGTTTTTCCAGCGACGAAGACGGGCGCAAAGAGGACCAATCCAGGAAGCACGCCGGCTGAGAGTAGGATCAGCTTGCCGACGCGGTAGATGAGCGTGAACACGACTTTGAAAACGGAAAATCTGGCATATTCTACTTGATGGTCCCGTACGTTGAGCATCATGAGCTGTTTGTTGTAGGCTAGAACCGACTTCTTGAGATCAATGATACGCGGATCGTCTTTGTAGCGCGTATACCCTTTGACCAGACGCCGGTTGAGCTCGACTATCATCGGCAGAGGCAGCTTCTTGCCTTTTGGATTGTAGAGCCGGCGAACAGCTTGTATCAGCTACGGGAAAGTGTCAGCGGGACCACTCATTCAGGGAATTGCAGTCATTACCATCAAGGTGTCGTAGTCCGGGCTGGTCACAGTGACCGACACCAGCGCATTGTACACTGTTTCTAGTAGCTGAGCCACAGCTTCTCTTCGCTCGCCTCTTTTGTACAGCTCGACCAGTTCTGGCTCAATCTCAACCGGCGTCCCAAATTCAATAACAGCCCGTGAGCGGAACTTGTGTGCGTGAAAGTAGTTCATCCCGCAAGGAACGATCTTCAAGCCGCAGTCCGGGTTGGCGGCTAGCGCGCCTAGGGCCATAATAGCAACACCAGCTACGCAGCGTTAGCCATCTGAAGGAGTCGATGCAAAGACAGACAGCCTACCCTTCAGCGGTAGGAGCTCAGTTCTGTCATGACTACCGCCTTCAGGAAATATGCCGACGCAGCCGCCCCTATTCAATCTCTCAAACACTGCGTCATATACAGCTGTCTGGTCGACCTTTGGAGCGACTTTGAAGTTTGTGCCCTCAAATCCCTCCGCTGGCCCTTTCGAGCCTCCATTTAAGAATTCTCCAGTCTTCTCATCGACGTCCTCCCTTCCCGTAAGCTGCTTCACAGCCACACCGCCCTTAAATGGCTTTTTCAGGCGTATCTCCTCTTTCCCATGAATTTCCAGTATCTCCGCGTTGGCAGCTGTACTATTGACGCTTGGTAGAACGATCAAGCCGCCCGCCTGGAAATCTTTTGCCTCGAAATCTGTGCCCACGCCGCGAAGGAGCAGAGGATCGTTGACTGGGTCAGGGAGGTACACTTTGCCAGGCGCCGGTTTTGTCAAGTCCAACGCACGCCCAACCGACACAGCACCGACGCTGCGAGCGAACCAGCCAATAAACTTCCTCTTCATGGACTTCTCGGCGATCAGGAAAGAGATGCGACGGTGGCCTTCTGTGCGGACTACTCGCATGAGGATCAGAGGGTCGACGAACTGCCAGACGTCATACATGTTAGCTTGGGTTTGAATGTCGCGAAACGTGTAGTGGTATTTGCGGTACCTGGTTGGCATGAGGCGCCGCAACAAATATAACCGGCCCTTTTCTCGGAATCTTCCATGAGCTCCGTGGATGTACTTCGCGGAAGAACAGGTCAACGAGGACTGAGAATGTCCACAAAAGAATGTCGTAGACGAAGTTGTTCATTGGTGTCAGAGGTTTCGGCTTCGCCATGTTGAAGGATTGGGCAAGCACAGCTTGGTGCTGCGGGTAAAGCGGTATGTAAAGATGGCGGCTTGCTCGCTATTGACAGGTGGTATGTGAATATGAAGACTAGAGGCCTAATTCTGTTGGAGGTTTGGAGAAGGGCTCCCTGTGCTGACTCCGCGTTAGGCGGTTGCGGGACACAGCAGGTGAAGGCGAAACTGACCTATGCGTGCACCCCGAATCTTGCATGAGGCCTTGCGGAGGACTACTGCGCTCAAGAGCTGTTTAGTCGCGTGGAAGATATGGATGAGGCTGTTGCATGATGGGAAATCCGCTGACGCCGCCGACGTGAACGGCAGCTGTTTTGCCCCGGCCTATCGAGGGGTAGGAAGCAAAGAGCCAGCCGTAAGCTGTTACTGCCAAACGTCAGGGGTTAAGACTTTGTTGATATGCACAATAGCTCAACGGTACCAGTGGGGAAGTGAGATCCGCTTGCGCGGGGTTTTTGGTGGAGCTCTCCACGGGGCTTGGCGACACGCCAGTCGTGACACGTGTAAACTTCTTTCAGACGACATCCACCAAGGTTCGTTGCTTTGAATGCTAACAGCAAACGCTCTCTTCCTCGTTGGTGTTTCCGGGAGCCCGTTGAGTATCGCGAGCGACACCTACGCTACAGCCAGCTCCCCGCCTTACCCATCCTGGTCCGGTATTGACAACAGTTCGGAAGCTGTAGGAAGGGTCTTGTAGTTGTCAAAGACATGCCTACGTGCAAGAGGAAGAGGCGATGTCCGGTGGTAGAATACGAGGGCACCACGCCGTCTGGAAGTTGGTCGTGGCGTGAGCGCATGTGTGTCAATAGGTTTGGGGAAGTTTATCAGAGGATATAGTTAGGTGGAAGCCTCAGGCCCGAACGGCAGCCGGCAGTGTGGGAATACCTTACGGACGACCCTACAGATGACTGGCATCGAGTTGTAAGGAAAGTAAATTTCACAAGGCACACGAGTGTCTGCTTGCATCTGCACCCTCTCCTGGACGATATCCATCTTCACGCGGACCCATGCTCAGCCACCTGGTGGATATGCATTAGCAGTCACACATATTCTGGTTTTGCCGAGAAGAGGTCCGCTACAGTTTCCGCTCGTCTTTCTTTAGACACGTACAAACGGGCCAGGGAAATAGTCATAGCTGTCAGAGAAAGAGGCAGGAATCGAATGTTCCCGTGGTAGATCAAATCTCATCCTGCTTTCACATGTGATCGCAGACAAGCAGTCCTGAAGAAGCCACTGAGAACTGGCGATTATTTCCGGACAGTTGCTTCTTCGGATTCAGACCAGTCGATATCCGTCGCCACTCCCTCTTCTACATCTTAGAGTGTCCGTCAGCGTGTGCATCCGCCGAGCAAGCCAAGTACTTGACCATCTTGAAAATCACGGGGATCTTTCTGTACATCATCTTCGTTACAATAGAGCTGTAGTATGTAGGGTACCGGCGAGCCTCTCATCTGCAACGCCGATGCGTTCATAACCAGTCCCCACGCCTTCCCTGTTTACGCTTGACGTCTTCTCATGTGCTGAAGGCAAGAGCAAGCTGCATGAGATGCGTCTAATCGCCATTCACACGCGGCCTGCCAACCCTTGCCAAGGCACCGCCCCGCTTCGGACTTTGCTCCTGCATTTTGGCAGCGCCGGCAGCAAACGCGACAGGTTGAGTTCGCCTTTCACAACTGCTCGGCGCGGCGAGACAGCCACACGTGAACCTTCAGTGTTCCTTCCAAGGTTCCGTCAGGCATTTTCGATGACAGCCGCTCAGCACGCCACCAATAGGACGCCTTCGCTTACGGTTCCCCCAAAAGTATATTTGGCCCAAAGGCCCCGCACTGGTTTTGTGTTTTCACCACCAGCGTTCGCGCTACTAAACACTTATCGATACCTGCCCCTCGCTCTTTCGCCTTCCAACACCACAGCCACCAGCAGTCTTCTGCTCGCCTCCGTCTTTCAAGAGTACCTTCCCTATTGAATGGGTGAAGAGCATCATACTACCGGCCAAGACTCTAGCAGTCAGCAGCCTGACGTCGAGGAGAGTCCCGAGCCTCCTATATGTGGTTTCAACGAGCAGCATACCCACCAAGATCCATACACCACCAAAAGATCCGCCAAGCCGGAATCTGCGTTCTCCTTCGCTGAAGGGAACAGTTCGCCTGCGAACCTCGCCTCTGTCACCTCTGCAGTGACAGAAAACCAGCCGCAATCATGGGCTGAAGACTACAAATACGCTCACACCTTTACCGGGGCTGATATCGCCAGGACCCTGGACGTCGACCTCCGCCATGGTCTGACGAGCACCGAAGCAGCGGAGCGCCTTCGGCGCGATGGCCCCAACAAGGTTGAGGGCGCCGCTGGGCTGTCCATGTGGAAGATTTTCTTGAGACAGATCTCGAACAGCTTGACGCTCGTTCTTGTCATTGTCATGGGTATTTCTTTCGGCATCAACGACTACATCGAGGGGGGTGTAGTCACCGCCGTCATCCTTTTGAACGTCGTCGTAGGGTAAGCGTATACTGCCGTTTCGTCACAGAGATTATTAACCAACAACCCAAAAACAGATTCGTGCAAGACTACAAGGCCGAGAAGACGATTATGTCGCTCTATGCACTCTCAGCGCCCGAATGCAAGGTCACTCGAGACGGGCAAACCGCCACGATTAAAGCTGAGAACCTTGTCGTCGGCGACATCGTCCAGGTCCACGTCGGTGACGTGGTGCCAGCCGACCTGAGGCTTTTCGATGGCATGAACGCTGCAACTGACGAAGCTCTACTTACCGGCGAATCTTTGCCCGTTTCGAAGACGCCCCATGAGACATTTGCCACACGTGACATCCCTATTGGCGACCGTACCAACATGGCCTATTCCGCATCGACCATGTCGCAGGGAAGAGCCACCGGCATCGTCGTATCTACCGGCATGAACACGGAAGTAGGCAAGATTGCCGCGCTCCTCCGTCGTCAGGGTACCCGCGAACAGAGCTCCAGCATGGTCACCCGACTCTGGACGAGATTTACGGACAGTGTCAAGACCATCCTTGGCTTGGTGGGCACTCCACTCACCGTCAAGCTAAGCAAGTTCGCTCTGTTGCTCTTTGCGCTGGCCATCCTGCTTGCCATCATCGTCTTTTCCTCCAATTTATGGGACATTAGCGACGAGGTACTCATCTACGGCATCTGTGTCGCCGTGGCTGTTATTCCGGAATCGCTTATCGCCGTCCTTACCATCACCGTTGCTGTAGGTACCAAGGCGATGGCAAAGGGAAACGTCATTGTTAGAAAGCTGCAAGCACTGGAAGCCGTCGGTGGCGTCACCAACATCTGTTCGGACAAGACAGGAACCCTGACCCAGGGCAAGATGATTGCTCGCAAGGCCTGGATCCCGGGTGCTGGAATGGTATCGATCCATGACACGACGAACCCGTTTGACCCCACTAGTGGGTTCGTCAAGATCAACGATCAGGATGTCGCCCCTGAGACGATGGAGAAACAAAATCCACTGAAGAAGTTTCTGGATGCCATCGCTCTATGCAACTTGTCTCAGGTGACCAATGATGACAACAAGAGTCAGTCAGATACAATCACCTTTGAGAATCGGCCGGACAACTGGAAGGCTGTGGGGGAGCCCACAGAAATTGCCCTCCAGGTTCTCGCCATGCGGTTCGATTCCGGAAAGCCTGCCTTGCTCGAAGATGGCAGCAAGAAGCTTCTTACGGAGTATCCTTTCGACTCAATTTGCAAGCGAATGACCGTCGTCTACCGCGACGAGGCCGCCAGGGTCACCGAGGCTTTCATGAAGGGTGCCACGGAGGTTATCATCCCAATTCTGTCTAGTCCAGACCAGGAGAAGGAAGAAATCCGCTCCATGGCCGAGAGCATGGCAGGAGAAGGTCTCCGCGTCCTGTGCATTGCAACCAAGGCGATTACTGACGACGACTCTGCCTCGCTTACCCAGCGTACTGCGGCCGAATCGAATCTTGATTTCATCGGGCTCGTAGGCTTGTATGATCCGCCTCGCTTGGAAACGGCGGACGCGGTCAAGGAGTGTCAGATGGCTGGCATCACCGTGCACATGCTCACAGGCGATCACATCCGGACCGCTACAGCTATCGCACACGAGGTCGGTATTCTCAAGGCTGCAGGACCGAACGGCTCACATGGAACTGCGATCATGGCCGCTGCGGACTTTGACAAGCTCTCCGACGGGGAGATCGACCGCATTGAGACCCTTCCACTAGTCCTTGCTCGTTGTTCACCGACTACGAAGGTGCGAATGGTGGAGGCCATGCACCGAAGGAAAGCCTTCTGCGTCATGACTGGTGATGGTGTCAATGATTCTCCGGCACTTAAACGTGCTGATGTCGGTATCGCCATGGGTCTTAACGGGAGTGACGTCGCGAAAGAGGCAGCGGACATGGTTCTGACCGACGACAATTTCGCCTCGATTGTGAAAGCCGTCGAGGAAGGACGGCGCCTGTTCGACAACATCCAAAAGGTAAGCAATAGCCGACACTAGCCAAAAGCGTACTTGTACTGACAATCCCTCGCAGTTCCTCATGCATCTGCTCATCTCAAATATCTCGCAAGTGATCCTTCTTCTCATCGGCCTCGCCTTCAAAGACAACGGCGGCGACTCCACATTCCCGCTCTCGCCCCTCGAGATCCTCTGGGTAAACCTCATCACCTCCTCCTTCCTAGCCCTCGGGCTGGGTCTCGAGGAGGGCCAGCCAGACATCATGCTCCGGCCACCGCACGACCTCCGCATCGGCGTCTTCACCTGGGAGCTCATCACCGACAAGATGATCTACGGCTTCTTCATGGGCTCTTTGTGTCTGGTCGCCTTCGTGTCCGTGGCCTATGGTGCGGGCGGCGGTGATCTCGGCGACGGCTGCAACGAGGCCTACAACGCCACCTGCGACACAGTATTCCGGGCGCGCGCGACGACGTACTCGACGCTGACGTTCTTGCTGCTGGTTACTGCGTGGGAGGTCAAGCACTTCTCAAGATCGCTGTTCAATTTCGACCCGGCACGCAACAGCGGCCCATTTTCGGTCTTTCCGACAATATGGCGCAACCGGTTCCTCTTCTGGGCTGTGGTCGCCGGGTTCACGATATGCTTCCCCGTCGTGTATCTGCCGGTCGTCAACCGTGAGGTCTTCAAGCATCAGGGCATTGGCTGGGAGTGGGGCGTCGTGCTTGGCTGTTTGGTCGTGTATGTGGCGCTCGTTGAGTCGTGGAAAGCTGTTAAGCGCCGCTTCGGCATCTGGAGTGGGAGGAATAGATTGCTTACCGTCGAGGATGCGGAGATGAGGGCGGGTTTAGAGTTGACGAGCTCGAAGGAGCAGAAGTAGAGGAGTTCGAGATGTGGTAAATTGTACAGGACAGCGGTTTAAGGCGATGTACGGAAGTTTGGACGTTCGTTTACTAAATTGTGGACTCAATCAAGTTTGCTAGTCGCTCCTTAGCCGTCAGTATCAATACACGTTCTTTACAAATCATGGCGGAAGCGGTTGGAATAAGCCGTTCAATCCAAAGAAACCGTTGTCGGCCGGGCCGGACCCTTGATGAACTGGGTTGCAAATTCGAAAATATGCAAATCTGCCTCTTGCAAAAATCACTGTACGACTATGTCCCCACGCAACGCGGCGGCCCTGGTCGTATCCTAATAGATATTGCAACAACGGCCAGACTTGAGACATGGTTTCACAAAAAGCTGGATCCTGCACAGCCAACACGGTTGCGCAGACCACCCAAACAGCTCTTCGCGCAATCTTGTGCGCAACACTCCTCAATGCCGCCTATCAGGATCACCTCTTCATGCCAATGGCCACCACACCCGTCTCGCCTACGTCCACCCCACGTCGTCCGTGCCCACCCACCACTATCCCCCAAACCCAAACTCCCGCTCAAACACCCACCGCCCCCTCTCATACCTCCAAAGCGCCATCCCCGTTGCCCGTCCCTCCGCCCCCTTAAAACCCCCTTTAACCTCCTCATACGATCCAGCCGCCTCCTCCTCGCTCCCGACCTTGTTCTGCACCGTCCAGTGCGGCTTCCACCCACCGCCGTCCTGCTCGCTCAGGAACTCGGCCCACGCGTCGCGCAGCTCCCTATGGACCCGCTTCGCCTGCTCAGCGCCGGTCCCAACGTTGACGCCGACGCCGCGACGCATGCGGAAGGGGGAGCCGGTAGCGATGACGAAGGGGGCGGTGGAAGCAGAGAGGGCTTCGAGGGTGGAGGTGAGGGTCTTGAAGCGAGAATGTGGGAGGGCATGGAAGAGGGTGAGGTGCGCGGGGGTGCGGTTGAGATGGGCCGGGAAGTGTTGGCGGCGGAGAGCGTTGATGGGGTCGTGGATGGAGGGGGTGGTTGTCAGGGTGAGAACGTAGACTGCTTTTTCGGGAGACGAGGTGCGCGGAGTGTGGAAGGTTTGGGTGGGAGGTGGTGTTGTTCGTCGCGGGTGCGGCGGCGCGCGGGGGGCACGTTCTGTAGGTCGACCTGCTGTGGGTGGAGTGGTGCTGGCGGGCGGGTGAGGTGCTGGAGCGTTGCCTGGAGGATGATGCGTGTGATTCTGTTGCGAAGTGGACGGTCTGCCACTGAGGGCGCTCGCGTAGGACAACGGCCTGCTGTTGGACATAATGGCAGGTGCTCTAGCTCTCAATACCTGAAAGCAGTGCCGCATTCCTTCAACTGCTTCTGCCGTTTGTCGAAAAACAGATACTCATGAAACGAGGCACGAACAAGAAAACAGATATGAAAGACGTCATCAGACGTTTATCTAACGGTCCACTTACCCTCTTTCGATCTCTGACCCACAGGCTGCTAATAGATTGTTGATCGTTCGCTGCTCAGCTGCCCGTACGAATTCTGTCAAGGGCTGTAAGGCGTCCGGGGAACCAAAGTATCTTTGGTGTAACCTGTCAATGGCCTAAGGAGCTTTGCATGCCCCAGTCCTAGCGCATCCATCCATCACCGGCTTCTGGATGCCACAGGGAAGGGAGACCCGATGCGAACACCGAAGCGACGGGTAAACGGCGTCGTGTGACTCTGCGTGCAATTTCGTGGCTCCGACCCACGTGAAGCCTTTTCTGGAGGCCCTCACGATATTCCGAGTCAGGCGGGTAAGCTCCCGCATCCCCCCAGAGCGTGTGGTACAGGTCACCTGCTACATCCTCAAGACGGTGAGAGGCTGGGCGAGAATTGTTCGCGGGGACGTCCAGCATCTTAAGGTTTCGTCCAGAACACGATTCGACGTTTCAGCGGCGACAAGACTTTTTTAGAAACAGATCAGCCCGCAAGAGGCAAAGATGGTGGATCGGCGGCGGCGGTTTGCGGCTGCAAGGGCACGAAGGGCTGGGCTGGGCTGGGGGGTTCCCGAGAAAGGAGACGTGGACCCTGGTTTTCTCGTGCACACAAAAAGTACATGTATCACGCAAGCTGCCCTGCCTTCAAGTCCCTTGGACCACACCCTCGCCATCCACCACGCATTTCGAACAAAGCCCTTGAACTCCTTGTCCCACCGCGCACCAGCCGTCTGCACTCGCTTGCGCCTGCGTAGCTGAATTCAATTGCAGTCCACCACCACTTTCGAGCTCCGTACAGCAGCAATCACGCATCATGAAGGGTAATTGTCCCCGGCTTGCGCTGATACAGTGTAGCACTAACACTGAACTTTGCAGCACTCATTCTAGTCGGAGGGTTCGGTACTCGCCTGCGACCTCTCGTATGCCTCCCACCGCCTTGCCAGAGCTGAATGCGCCCCCCTCAATACCACGACGTGATACAAGCCCCGGCACTAACGCCTCGACAGACGCTCACTCTCCCAAAGCCGCTGGTCGAGTTTGCGAACAAGCCCATGATCCTCCATCAAGTCCAGGCACTCGCTGCAGCGGGTGTAACAGACATTGTGCTCGCCGTCAATTACCGGCCGGAGATAATGACTGAGGCGCTGAAGAAGGTGAGGATTTTTAACGGACTCAGCCCAGGTCCTCTGCATACCGCAAGACTAACTGCTGTCCGTTCCACAGTACGAGGAAGAATACAACGTGCGCATCGAATTCTCCGTCGAAACCGAGCCCCTCGGCACCGCCGGCCCGCTCAAGCTCGCCGAGAAAATCCTAGGCAAGGACGACACCCCCTTCTTCGTCCTCAACTCCGATGTCATTTGCGACTACCCCTTCAAGCAACTCGCCGAGTTTCACAGGCAGCACGGTGACGAGGGTACCATCGTGGTGACCAAAGTCGAGGAGCCCTCGAAATACGGCGTCGTGGTCCACAAGCCCAGCCATCCGTCACGAATCGACCGCTTCGTGGAGAAGCCAATCGAGTTCGTTGGCAACAGGATCAATGCGGGTATCTACATCCTCAACCCGAGCGTGCTGAACCGGATAGAGCTGCGGCCCACATCGATCGAGCAAGAGACTTTCCCCGCCATCTGCAACGACGGTCAGCTCCACTCGTTCGACTTGGACGGCTTCTGGATGGATGTCGGGCAGCCCAAGGACTTCCTCTCCGGAACCTGCCTTTACCTTTCCTCGCTCACGAAGAAGGGCTCTAAGCTCCTCACACCAACCTCCCAGCCCTTCGTGCATGGCGGGAACGTGCTCATCGACCCGTCGGCGAAGATTGGCAAGAACTGCCGCATAGGTCCGAATGTTACTATTGGGCCGAATGTAGTTGTGGGTGACGGTGTGAGGCTGCAAAGATGTGTGCTGCTACACAACAGCAGGGTCAAGGATCACGCGTGGATCAAGAGCACGATTGTGGGCTGGAATAGCACGGTGGGAAAATGGGCGCGCTTGGAGAATGTTACCGTGCTGGGAGACGATGTGAGCATTGGGGATGAGGTTTACGTCAATGGTGGCTCTGTGCTGCCGCATAAGAGCATCAAGCAGAACGTCGATGGTGAGTCTCAATGCTGCTTCGGTAAGCGTGTACTGACCCTTTCCAGTCCCATCGATCATCATGTAGAGCCGCTTCGGCAAGCTGCATGTCCGCACGGTTGCCTGAGCGATTTTCGGGATACTGTGCGGCTCTTCATCGGCCAGTTCCATCTCAAAAGGCTTCTGCTGCAAGACCCTAGGTAATACAGTACTCTCTTCGGCTCTGTTCTCGTGGTGTAGCATTTGCATGGTTCGGAGGCGCGAAAGGTGTTCTGCAATCCTTATTTCTTCTCTCAGGCTGTCTGCAAAAGCCGAAGATGCGGAGGTGAAACAGCGCACAAGTCGGCGGCTTGTGCAGGTGAGTAGTTGCCTGCCGCGGTGTGTTTTTAGTGCAGTTTCGATTTGAGTCACAAAAGCAAAACTTGCGAACGCTTTTCGTGCTTTCATCAGTCAATCGCTGTGAATTACGTGTCTTTATACTAGTCTCCGCTTCGGGTCTGCGCTCCGCTAACGTCGCGGCTCTTCAGCGGCGTGGGCGCTCCTTCGGGACGCCACAAGCCACTAATGCTGCGCATTTCTCACTGTCACAGTTAGCTTAACGCGCACTTCACCTCTTCTCCGATGCGTCCACTTCGTGGCAATCGTCTCGGACGTGTGCAGCCCTCATATCGAGGCCAAACCTCGTCGTTGCCTACCTCTGCCCGCATGCGGTCCGTGTTCTTGGCCCGGCGGAATTCGCGGGGAGCCTCTCGCGAAGCTTGCCCTACGCTGATCTCCTCCTTTTTATCTCCACCTCACACAAAACGTGCCTGGATTCGGGATATCATCGGACGCCTTTTCACCAGCTTCTTTAGCCTTCCCCATTCATCGCACTTTCCTAATGGCTGGAAAATGCTCTATTGTCAGCTCTCTGCTCACGATGCCGCAGTTGTGCTTCCCGGATTATCAACTGCATTCTTTCCTCTGCTTTGACGCTGCATGGCGGCGTCCGGCACTTGATGCTCTTTAATATGGGTTAGCAGTGCTTGGCCGAGGGCGGAATTGGTGCTGTCACGATGCAGAGGCGCTGGATAGTGAAATTCGATTGATTGGATGGTTTATGTCCTACGGCGGTTTCACTCCTATGACTGAGTGAATTCTGAGACGGACTAAAGACTAGATAGAAAGTTCCGGATAGGAATTCAAGCTAGGATCTCTCAGTCAGGATCGATTTACATCTGGGGCGGGTTGCCCAGCACTCCCAGAAACTGGGAGTCCCAGAGTCACAGGAAGGTTATCCTAGCCAGAGTTACAGTATACTGTAATTGAAAGGAAGAGAGAAGCAGTCGAAATGAGATGCGAACATAGTAACGCATTAAGTTAACATGTGGAGGGTGGGGCCATAAGCGGGGTAAGAATTGCCGGATTCTCCAAGTAGAAACAGGGCCCCTGCCATCTTTGTTACCCTTGTGGAAATAGTATCGTTGAAGTTTATGTTATATCTCGGATCTCGCACTTTGCAGTCTCGTTAGCATATCCGGATCCACGAATGCAATCCGACTCTCCACTCCTCCCTCATCAACGTCTCTGCATTCCTCTCCCCAATCCCGCCGACCCAACTTGGAATGAAGGCTTCCCCAATGAGGATATGATTACTCTCTTCTTTGGACTTTCGTAGCACATACGGAAATGAGGCTCCCTTGAAAACCGCAATGGGATCCCCGATTTGGGCCTCAGCGGGAATTAGAGCCAACAATCCTCTCTTCGTAATACAAAGACGACGCCCAACGCCGTATGATTGAAATCCGGCATGAACTCTATGATTCGGATGAGGACTAGCGGATGAGTGTGATGAGGGAAGTAAGTAGGAGCGTGTGAGCTTGGGGTTGAGGCCAATGTGATAGTATGGACTCTTCAGGGGATCGCTCAAAAACGAGTCGGGGCCCTTGTCTTTCTGTGCGTGAGGAAGACCGTAGTGGCTTTGAAGGTCCTGCGCTTCGTCGACCAGGACCGTTAGAAAGCGAATCCAGTTCCTCGTTTTCTCTTGCTCCTCGCATTTGACGTAGTTGCTGATATCCTGTTTCCATAATTGCTTCCGCAATGATGCATCTTTGGCGAACTTTCTCCAGGAAGAGTATACGAACTCCATGTCTTCCGCATCGGCTTTGTTCCTGATAAAAGATTTGCAGATGGATTCGACAGCATCCACAAGACAACCCTGCAGCACTAGAACCTCAGCTTCGACCTGGACACTGGGCAACTCCGCCTCGGTAAGCCGAGGGATGAATCTTTGTCCCTGCACATTCGCCGTCTGGAAGGGTATTGCTTTCCATTTATCCAGTAGGAACGGTATCCAGGAAGGCAAGCCATGTTTCTTCTCAGGGTTCTGGCAAGCGCCTAAGATTTCAAGCCCGTATTCCAGGCCGATAACGGCCTGTGCCGCACCTAGAAGTACCTGATTCAACTCTTGGCGGTAATTTGGAACGATGGGGTAGATCTCGGGATCCGCCATGCCTAACACAGAGAATACCGTGTCGCGAGCATCTGTTGCTTTGCAAGATCTTGTTATGCGCAAGAGCTGTGCAAGGCCGACCCAGAGAAGCCCGTTTCCCGTGAGTCGCCTCAGTTCGACTAACGTTCTGGGGTGGAAGTCCCATGGTAAGGACACTGTGGACTTGTCATCTGAATTGGAAACAGTGCTGGCATAACCCAACGATGAGATATGCCTCAACATAAAGAGTGCCGGTCCCAAGGCATTCATATCAAAGCTCTTGCCCCCGCACCACAGCTTCACGAGCACATGAAGTGCAATCTCCTGTCTGATCCACACACGCTCCCACCAAGGTCGTTTGAAGAGGGCCCTCAGTGCGTTCCAATGGCGCATGACTTCCTCTTCAGTAAATGATGGATACCGTATTGTCCTTTCACCAGGCGCATGCTTAGGAGGCGCACCTAGGGTATTCAAGAGATCGATCGCCACGGAGCTATCATCCGCCTCTTCGCCCAGCCAAACATGGACCGACGAGGCGCGTTTGTAGATGCGACGCATGAGACAAACTTGATCACCTCGTTCGTCAATGTCGGATTGGTTGATGCCTTTACGTGTGAGCGTCAGGGGGGCTTGATTGTGCGTGGATCAGATCGCGACATCGACTTACATATTTGATCGATCCAGCAGTAGCATTCGTTGCCCCATAGTCTCCCATTTATTTCGAGCGCAGCATTATCCTTCTATGCGAAACGTAACTGCCTCAACGCGGCTTCCAGGCTCTTGGTTATTGGGAACTTGCATCCATCTAGTAAGACAGACCCGTCAAACACTAGTGGCCCCCAAGTGTATGACAACGCTGTATAGCCGTACATTAGACCTTTGATAGTATCATCGTCCAGACCAACAACGACGAGATCTGCAATCAGCGGATCTAAGAGCTCTTCTGCTCGATGGAGCCTCAGAATCCGGATGTGCGATTTAGTAGTGTCGAGAGGAGTGTACGTATACTGGCGATCAGTATCCTGTTCGATGGTGGGTTCTTGGCCCGGTTGCTGCATTTCGTGATTGTTTGTTGTATCCAGAACAGTGAGATTCTCCTGGTTTTCCGAAGTCGAGCCATCAAGCTTGGTTCGCTGCCTTCCATCTTCGTCGTCCACCGCCGACAAGCGCAAACGGTCCAGTATCTTATTCAGAGCGCCTTCGATGCGATCCATCCGCGTCTCAAGTCTTTCAAAATGACTTCGGATGGATTCTGTTGTCACATAGCTGGTTTCGGGCGTCGAAGAGCCGCGGTTCGTTGTCGGGACGGCATTTGGGAAGGGCCTAGAGAACTCCTTCAGGTCGTCCGTGTTGTAATTCATTTCACTTTCCACCGATGACATTGCTGGGATGTGGAGGATTGGGGGTTCTTAGTCACCCACAAAGTTGAAGGTGGCGTAGGGCGTTAATGCTGCGTTAGACGAGTCTGCGACATAGACATAGCAGTAGGTTGCGCTGCATCGCGAAGTTGCACGCTAGCTGTCGCGTAGACTGAGCGCGGTTCAGAGGCTAGGCGCTCGGGTTGGCTCAGTAACAGCGCCACGCAACTGCGAAGACCGATGACGTCTTTGTGGCTAGTGCTGCACCAAAGGCAGACTCTAATAACACTAAGCTAAAAACAGTTGCCGCTTCTATAGCGCCTTGATTGTGCCTAATCTAGTACTTGTAGGTTAGTTCGAGTCTATAGCTTAGCTTATCTATATATAAGTTCAAAGTAGAAGGTTAGTTAGTAGATCTAGACTAAAAGTTACTATAATCTTAATACTAACACTTATACTCTATTTAAGGTCGCTTAATCTTTAAAAAATCTAAATAAAGATTACTTTAGCCTCTAATTCTAACTTTTATTATTATTTCTATATACTATAACTCTAGGATCTAACTATAGTCTTAATAGTAATATATAAGATATTTATTATAATATAGAAAGGCTTAATATAGAAACGTAATTAGTTAAATTAATATATAAGATATTATATAAGATTTAGAAGATATAGTAAGCTTAATAGAAAGAAAACTCTTTATATAGAGCATGTAACTCTAAAGTAATAAAGATCTAAACACTAAGAAATATTAAATTTAAACTAAATAGTAGCTTTTCTTTAAGTACTAAGTTTCTATAAAGTAACTAAGTCTAGATTGTATTTAGATTTAGTATTAGTATTATTATCTAGTTCTATAGAAGATATAGAATAGCTATAAGTCTTAAGCTCTATCTAATATATAGCTAGATTTTTATAGATAGTATATAAAGAATTAATTAACTTCTACTAGAGCTATTAGTATATAGTATAAAGAGTTCTAGAAGTCTTTATTAGAGTTAATCTAGTCTACTAGCACTTTAAAGCGCCTATAGTAGTTATATAAATTAAGAATCTAGTTCACTCTCTATATATTATCTACTAATGTATCTAAATAGAAAAAGAAAGATAGTAGAGCCGATCTAAATAGTAGATTATTAGTAGAGAATTAGATAAGAGAAGTATAGAATATAGAATAGTAGTACTAGAACTAGAGAATCTCTAGCTAGTATAGTAGTGCAGTAGGTTTATTACATGGAAGTTAGTATAAATAGAGTGTAAGAAGCCTTAAGATTCTTTATATAGTTAACTACTAGTTATATTATAAGTATTAAGTAGTATTACACTTATTCTGTATACTGCACTATCTTATATAATCTATTACTATAGTTCTATTGCTATCTTAATAGTTCTATCTCGATATCTTACCTAGTAAATAATAAAGAAGCTAAAGGAAAGTAGTAGTACTACTATAAGATACACCTTAAAGGCCCTAGTTGTAGCTTTAAAACCTATTACTCTATTGCAACTAGGCCTAAATATCCTAGTATAAGTAGAAATACCTATTACCTATAAGTAGAAAAGTCTAGGCGATGTATTATTATAAATAAGTTAGTTTAAGGAGTTTAGCATTCTAGAAAGTAGAGATTACTAGGTATAAAAAGATAAGCTACTACTATATTATAGAAACTATTATTACTAATTAGGTTACTTGCATCTAGATTATTCTGTGGTTATTAGTATACTTTACCTCGTATATTTAATAGATATATAGGCCTTTATATTTAAATTATTAGTTATAATAACCCTAAACCTTATAGTTTAAGAACCCTAGTATCTATAACCGACGCATTAAATCTAAGTATTAAGTAGATTATTATAGTCTAATTACTATAAGTATACTACTAGGTATATTTTAACTTAGTAAATATTAATATATACCTTCTTACTAACTTTAGATAGTGTATAATATTATAAGATTAGGTAATAGTAATATTCTTTCTTAAATCTCTAATTCGAGTGTATAGAACCAGATTATAGGTTACTATAATAATAGAAGTAATAATTATTATAATCTAAATAGTAAGAATAGTATAAGCTAGCCTTCTAGGCAACTTATTATAGAATAAGAGTTATATCTAGAACCTCTTTATAAAAGAGTATACTTATAACTAACTAATCCTAGAATTTGTAAAGAACGTAATAAACTAGATTTAGATAGAAGCTAACTAGCTATAATCTAATATCTATATTATAATAGAGAAGCTGCAAATCACAATTAAAGTATTCTTACTAATTATTATAAATATTAATATTACCACGCTCTAAAGTATTAATAAATAGAATAAGTCGACTAATAAAATTCTAGTAAGACTAGTAATTTATACTACTAACGCTTAACCTTTAATAACTAATTAAACCGCTAGAGATATACCTATACCTAAACTATCTGATCTTAGATATATCTACTAGGACCTTCTAGAAGTATATAATAGTAAAGAGAGAGAGAAGTAGATAGCTTTCGCCTTAACACTAAACTAGTACTAACTTTTATAAGCAGCTAGTCTATAATAGGTTTCTCTTTAACTAGAGTACCTTAATAAAGAATATTTATCTAGAGCTAGTCCCTATTAAGAAACTCTACAGTCTACTTACTAATAGAGGGAACTTTCTAGAAAGTAAGGCTAAGATTATAGTTAACTAAATAGAAATATAGTTTCCTAGTATCTTTATAAAGAAAGGATAGGTCTATAGATTAGTCTAGAACGTAGTAGATCTATATATAAGGAAGAAGAAAGGCAATAATAGAGAGTATCTCTAATAGTATAGTAATTATATTATCTTAAGGTAGTAATAAATATTATAATAGAAGAATATAGAGTAACTACTACTCTACTAGCTTACTATTAGGAATAGACTTAAGCTCTCTTAACTAAATTTTGAAGAGAATAGTCTAGAATACTTTCTAGGTATTTATAGACTAAATAATCTACTCTTTCTCGGGAACTTAAATAACTAGTATAGGCTAATCCTACTAAAGGGCGTTAAAGTCTCTATATTTTAAAAAGATATAACTCTAAAGAAATAATACTAAGTAGTCTATAATATTATTTATAATATTAGTTTAGATATACCTATTCTACTAGTAGTAATCTCTGACTCGGATCTAGATACTAATACTTAGAAATAGCTAAAGGAGGAGAAAGCTATAAAGACTAGAGCCTAGAGCTCTAGTAAGGCGAGTACTACCTTTCTAATAACCTTAGATCTTATAAGAAAGATAGATACTATCTTTCTAATAACTTTAGACTCTATAAGGAAGATATAAATTAATATAATAGAGCTAGATAGCCTAATTAAGAGGAAGATAAGGTAGTTAAGTAGTATAACTTCTACTACTCTAGTACCTATAAGTAATTCTACTATCCGGTCTAAGAGAATAGCGGAGGAAATTAGATAAATATTTAATAAGTAGTATAGTAATAAGTTTAATAGAGAGACTATAACTATTAGCTAGCTCTAGAAGAAGCTAATAGAAGTACTATAAGAGAAGAGAAATCGTATTATAAGATATAATATAGCTCTAAAGGTATTAAAGTATTACTATAACTACTAAGTAATAACTCTCTATAAAATATTTAATGTATTAAATTACATTATTATCTTAGAAGAGAACTTTAGTACTATTATTTGCAACTTTACGCTATATAGTATAAAGATTCTCTAAAAGAATTTCCCACTTATAAATATTCTTAATAAGTGGATAACTAAGTACCTATAGTAATAAAGTAAGGAGCTAGAAGAGTTTCTTTAAAATATTAATCTAACTCTTATAAATGCGCTAGCTCTCTATTAAGCTAAATTATAAGAGAATATCTCTAACTTATAAAAGAAACTCTTTAATAAAAAGAAATAAGTTTTCACTCTTTTATCTCTAGTAATCGAGAGGCTCGATGTAATAAAGTATAAGGTTATTAAGCTTATACTACTACTATTCCCTCTAGGTAGTATACCTCTTCTACTAGTTAAAAAGACCTAAGCTAAATACTACGCCCTCCCTATTTTAATAGTAGCTACCTTCTAAATACCCTAAGGCTTTAATAAGTTAGTAGGCGGATAAGCTAACCTATAAGTAACTACGCTAGTAGCTAGTAGTAGAAGAGAGGCTAATACCTCTATAAGCTTACCTATTACGTCTAGTAAACGCGAAGCTTCGCTAGTAAATCTTACTAGCTCTAAAATTATTAAGAAAACTAAAATAGTAAGTATCTTACTATCTCTCTTTATCTTAATAGCACGCTTTCTACTAGTTACTCTAATAGCTAGTTTCTTACGCGAATAAAGCTATATAATTCTAGACTTAGCGCTTTATAATAATAGGTTTCTAATTAATTATAATAGTAATAACTATTATAATACTACTTCTAGTTCTCCTACTACCTAATTAGATAATATAAATCCCTTATATAAACTCTTTCTATTAGGCCTAATTATAAACTATATAAGTGTCTACCCTATCTTCTTATCTATATAATATATTATACTAATAGATTAGCATGTACTATCTATCATACGAAACTGAAACCTTATTATAAGATAATATATTCTCTTCTTTCTCTTCTAATAATATAGAGCTATCTAATAATAGTACTCTCTTCTTCTTTTCTATTTTTCTTAGTAGTAGCTTATTTTCTTTACTTATTCTTTTTACTACTTTTATTACTTATTTACTCTTCGCAATAGTGCTTCTTATATAAATAGACTAGATAGTATAGTCTTACTAACTAAGTAGAGAAGTAATTAAAAGAGGTAGTACTTACTTTTTACTTTATAATCTTTAAAAATAAAGACCTATACTTATTTTGTAGTAGCTCTTATTACGAGTCTAGGCTATAGTAAGATAGCCTAGATAGTAAGAGCTAACTAAATAATAAGTATATAGTCGGTCGCGTTAAGATAACGCGACTAATAGATAATTAATTATATATTTATAACTATTTGGAAATATCCCGATTCAAGCGTGATACTAGACTCTAGAATAATTACAGTTCTCTTATAATCTTACTACTATTCTGAAGAGAAGTAGCTTTAGACTATTTAAGAAGCTAATTAGAATCTAACTATATTATTAGCTATCTATTATAATTACTAAAGGGTATATTAGAAGTATTACTACACTATTTAATATATATAACAATAAGAGCTCTAATACTAATATAGATATTATATTTATATAGTAGAGTTACCGCTATCTATTTTAGCATATAATAATATATAGACTTAATAGAGCTTTTCTAGCTAAGTTTTAGCTAGTATTATTTTAAAGGTATAATTCTATAATAGTAAAATAATATCGATTTCTATAATATTAAAGTAAAAGAAGTATATCTATCTAGAAGTTATAGCTATTAGTTCTATTACTAGATAGCTCTAGTTAATATTAAGCGACAAGCGCTACTATATTATTAGAAGATAGTAAGAATAATAAGAAGTTTCTAAAGCGCGGAATCTTACTTAGAATATAATTTCTAGAATATTCTATTTGAAAAGCAATTAACTAGCTTTATATTAAGTAGATCTATCTAAATTTACTACTATTATAAAAGGCTAGAGCTACTATATTAGCTATTATATAGAGTATCTAATTGCATAGAATCTTTAGTAGTAATAAGTGTAGAAAAAGCTATAAGAATTATATCTTATTTTGTATCTATTTAATAGTATCTTACTTAGAGACGATTAAGAGAATCTTATATGAGATAAGAGAGCTAATAATATAGAGAGATAAGAGCTAGATACTAGCAATTAAATTATTTATAACTTAGTATACTAAGTTATAATATATTAACTATATAAGTATAACCTTTAGATATATCTAGATATTAAAAGATATTTAAAAATATAAAAATAAACTAGTCTCTTACGCTATAAAAAGCAATTATATAATATATATTAATACTTTATCTAATATTACTAGATGAAAAGTAGATTCTAAGTCTTAAAATTAGCTAATATCTAGGTTTTAGTCTAGTAATAGCTAGAGATGCAACTAATATATATATATTTACAAAAGTAAAAGAATAATATAATATTACTATTAGGATAAATACAGATAGTTATAGGTATACGGCTACTAGTAGATATATATAACTACCTAGATATTCTTAAGAAAATAAAAAGTAATACTTCGAAGTATTAAATTATTAATTAGAACTAATAACTTAGTATAATTATATTTTTACTAGAGAAATAGAAGTAGTTAGACTTAGAAGAAGCTAGATAAAAGGTAAAAGTTAATAAAAAGTATCTTTCTATTAATAATATACTATAAATACGGAAGATCTAGTAGGTTAGAATATTTACTAGAAGGAATCTTTATATAATAGCTATACTAAGTAAGATACTAAGAAATAATAAAGCTAGCTTATAGCTTATTTAAGACTCTATTAAGACTCTATTAGTTGTATTTTCAAGTAATATAGAAGTGGTATATTTATTTAGTATAATAATAAAAATAATAGAAATTTCATTCTTAGCTAGCTAAATAGTATATAGTAAGAGAAATTCAATCTAGAGCTATTCTATATATATTGTATAAATTAATATATAGAAAGTATATTAGCTATAGGGTTAGCTACTTTTATTATTACTTTTAGCTTCTACATGCAAATAATAAGTATAGGTACTTATTTTCTGTATGTGAATAAGAGCTATTATAAGAGCAATAAAGTATTATTTAACTTAGAAATAAGAATAAAGCTACTTTTAATATCTATATTCTTAGACTTAGTGTCTTATTCTAAATATACAAAAATAGAGCTTATTCCACGTCTACTATAGTATATTTTACTATTATACTATAAATAGATACTAGAAAAAGCTATTTTCAACTATCTACTAATTATATTTAGATTCTAGCTACTTTACTATACTATATCTAGCTATTATTATTTTAATATATACTACTAGTAGATAAATAATAGTATGTTACTAATATTTATAGAACTTTTCTATAGGTTTATTATTAGTAGCCTATTAATAGCTAGCTTACTTCCTTTTACTTTATTAATAATCTTCTAGTATATGCTCTAAATATAGATAAAAGTGTTAGTAGTAAGCTTTACATCTAATAGTTTATAGATAGATAGACTTTTATCTACTAGAGCTAGTATTTATACTTATTTTAACTTAGAATCTTTATAGTATAGCTTTATAATACTATAGAGAAGATACTATATAAAAACTATATATTCTTACTAGATCTATTTATAATTCGTAATATTAATCTAAGAAAGCTAGTTAATAATATAATTAATAGTATTATAAGTTGCTTCTTTATTACTAATCTATATAATAAGCTATAGAAAGATCGAAGAAGAATACTTAATAGATAAAGAATATTATTTAAGTAGATTATACTACTTAAACTAGAGTCTAATAGTTTTAAGCTAGAGAATAAAAGATAGTAGAGACAGTAAAGCTAGTTTAAGAAGTTTAAGAAGCTTATATTTTTCTTAATCTATATTCTTAGCAATTCTTCTAGAAGAGAAGAAGAGACTCGTATTATTTAATATAATAATACTACTTAGAATATACGTAGTATCTTTCTTTTAGATAAGTAACAATTATATTAGCTTACTATAAATTCTAAGCTATAATAGAATAGTATAAGTTTATACTATAGTTTCTATCTAGCTGGGTTAGGTAGCTCTTAGTAGCTTACTTAGCTAACATTCCGTATCTTACTACGCTTATTAATTAAGATAGTATTTCCAGCTAGCTAAGAAGCTTTCTATAGACGGATAGAAAGGATATTTAGAATATACTAAGAGCGATAAAAATCCTAAATTAAAAGACATCTATTCATATAGGCTTTCGTATCACGTTCTAAGACTATTATCATATTACTAAAGCCATTATCCGTCAGCATATGCGCGGGTTAATGGAGGATATAGATAATAACTAAGAAGACATCCAAGACCTGGCGGCTGCACACACCTTAAGGACTACCGACCAGGTATATGGAATCGACGCGTCGATGCTCCGAAGCCTAAGTGCTAGAACGATCAATGCGTTTTGCGCAGTCACCGATCGATGGCATCAATTCTTGGAGGTCAACAGTCGTTAGCAGTGGCCAGAGAAGAGCAGAGCTCGCAGCGTTTCGCAGACAGCTTGCCTACCTGAGCCAAAATGACAGAGAATAGAATACGTAGCTCATCCTCTGCCGGACTCCAAAGCTCCTGGCCATCTACTTCTCCCAGAAACACTCCATACATTCGGGTCCATCGGTCGGGCAACTGAGTCAATTGAAGGAGGATATCTCGTCGGACTTGACCAAAGGTCTCGGTCCAGCCCGTTCGCTCGATCCATGGACGTATCAGCGAAATATCTTAACCATTTTCGCTGAGCACTGGCACGGGAAGACGCTTGTTGCTGAGCCGTCGTCGCTCTTCTTCATGCACACCGGAGAGGTGGGATAAGGCAGCCGCAGCAGCTGCTAATTGCGACCGAGGCAGAACGTCCTGGGCGAGCTGTGGTACGCGCTTTCGTCCACGCTTCTGTATGGACGAGAATCGCCTGCTTATCACAGCTGACAAAAGAGCAACTCCAGCATCATCTGCGTGACTTCTGATAATCCACCAATGGCGAAGATGAGGGCCACCAGTGGCCCAACACTGCAGAGAAACGTGCTCATAGTCACTGCCGACTTCCGCTTCTCGCCACGATATACCGTGCTGAGAAGACAAATGTCGCCGAAATAGCTGTTCGCTAGAAGTCCGATCTTTGCAGTGTCTGCATGCAAAGCCTGGAGATGTGGGCAGGGAGGGATCCTTCGCGTGCTCGCGAAGCGCGTTGACTTGATGGGGATCGATTTCGGTAATCAAGTGGTGGGATTAATCACGTGGTAGGGCGGACTTCTACCAATAGGGGCGGCCCGTTCGCTTCCCGCTTCCTTTTTCTCGCGCACATCACATCGAACAGAATTGAACTTATCACTTTTTTGCCAGATTTGCCTTTGTCCGTTAAAATCCTTGTCTTCCTTCAATGGATCATCGTTCTATTCCAGGAACATCGCCTGTCCCTTACCCTCTGGCACCAATACCTGTCCAGGACGAGCCGCTGCCTGCGTCATTGACGTCTCCAACTCCGCCGAGCCCAAACTCAAAATCAATCTTTGCATTCTGGCACTCTGGAATTTCTAAGCTTCCACCGTACCTCCAGTGGAACGTTCTTGCTTGGTACCGCCGCTACGCACCCCTTGGTTGGACGATCTACGTCCTCGACACGATACCCGAATCCCCGCTTAATGTGTCTCGTTTCATCGACATAGACTCACCAGCCGTCGTGCCTACTGCTGTGACCAATGGCTCTCTCGATGGCGCGTATGCCGCACAGCATACTTCAGACTTGGTACGATACCCCCTGCTGCTCAGGTATGGTGGTATCTATCTCGATGTTGGCATTTTGCAATTTGGCGATCTAGACCGCCTGTGGGACGAAGTTATTGCAAATCCCTCATCGCCGCACGATTTTGCCGGATTTACTATGGGCGACCCGCCCGACATTTCTATTGTAAATTTTGCGCTCATGGCTCGTCCAAATAACCCACTGGTACTGCGTGCGCATAAGATCTTGCTCAAGCTATGGCAGGACAAGACGAACACAACCGGAATGCATGCGCATCCGCTCGTGCACCATGTCCCGCTGCTCAGAGTTCCACGTGAGGTCATGGTACAAGACGAAGGCAAAGGGAAGATGGTGATTGACGACGCGGCGATGACCGACTACGCCATTCAGATCCAAGCGATGGGCGCGGCGCAGCGATGGCTGGATATCGAGGACGGTTGGGACGGACGCAGGTACGTGCGCGAAAAGTGCTGGCTGCTGAGCATGATTGACATGGCATATGTCGCTGAGCAGAGGACGGGGTGGGACGGGCAGCGCCTGTTTCGGCTAATGTCGCTGGACATGCCCCCTTTAGGTGCGGAGGAGGATAAGGACCAGAGACTTGCGAGAGAAATAGTAGAGGAGAGCGTGGCTAGAAGTTGGTGCTTGAAACTTGGGCATGGATTCTCAGCGAAGCTCTTTGGTGGAGATACTCTAGGGATGCTGTGGAGGAAGCATGAGGGAAGTGACTGTAGAATTGGAACGTATGCAAGCTGGATGCGGTGGGCTGGAGTGAATTGCAGGCAAGACCAACTTCCAAAACCGATGGAGATTCCGGCTTATGAGCCTACCGCGGTTGGAAGACTTTCAGACCAAGTGTAAAGACAGCTTTTGGAAGACACTCTACATTGCTTGGAAGAGTTAATTTGTACGGGTAGCACGCAACGCCAACCATTTAATAATTCAACAAGTATCAACTAAATATTTCTAAGTTAAAAAGCAGCCCCTATCAATTAATATACTTCCTATAGAGATATCGATTCTACTCTTCTATTATTTCCTTATAGCAATATACCTCTATGAAATATACTATACTTTATAGTTCTTCTAACTAACTCTTCTATATCTATTTAGTTTAAACCTTTATTCTACTTTCTTTACCTCTCTATTAGTAAATACTTCTATCCCTATACCTACTCTGAAATAATATAATCTCCCTACTTCTAGTTTAATATACCTTCCTGTATCTCTATATCTATCTATAGAAGCCTTTATTATAATATAGAAAGATTTAATATAGGAATTTATTTAATTAAATTAATATGTAAGATATTATATAAGGTTTAGAAGGTATAGTAAGCTTAATAAAAGGAAAGCCCTTTATATAAAGTACATAACTCTAGAATAATAGAAGATCTAAATACTAAAAAATATTAAGTTTAAACTATAATAGTAGCTCTCTTTTAAGTGCTTAGTTTCTATAAGATATTTAAGTCTAGATTATATTTAGAATTAGTATCAATATTATCTTCTAATTCTATAGAAGATACGAAGTGGCTATAAGTCTTAAACTTAGCCGGCTAACCGTGTCGACGGAATAGTAAGCTCTTACTATAGAACCGATTTTCTATCCTCGATTTTCCAAGTGCTTAGAAAAACTAGGCTGCTTAGAAAAAAGCTTAAAAAATAGCAAATTCGTTGGAAAATAGAGTATCTAAAGAGTATTTTAGATAGTATACTAGTACTAGATAGTAACTAAGCTAAAATAATAAGTAAATCTAATTTACTAAAAATTTTGCATGCTACTATAAATTTCTAATAATACTAGAAAATAGGATGAGGGTCGCGGATAAGAGTCGCCCTAATTTCTAGGGTTAGAGTTCGCCTCAGGAAAATCACAACCCTAAGCCTCATCCTATTTTCCAACCTCTCGCTCTCATCCTATTTTTAATACAATATTACATTCACTTTAGATTTAGTTATCTTTTAATTTATACTAATCTATATTAACGCATCCACTTTCGACAGCCGCACGATAAGTATAAGGTTATAAAAGTTATAGTAATAGAGTTGGGCTATAGGAGGCTCGGGCGTAATATAATGCACTATAGCGCTTAGACCACGTGAGTCCCTTATTATAGTTAAGAGGATACTACTATATAGTCGCCGCCTTCTAAAGCGCAAGGTAATTCTATATATTAGAACTAGGTAATACGAAATGAGCGTAATAGGGTAATAAGATAGAATCGAGTTAATAGGCATAGGGTTATATTATAGAAGCCTTTAATAGATAACCCTTAACACTAGTCTAGCGACTCTTAACTATCTAGTATAGGATTTACACCGCTACTACTATCTAGGAGGTACTCTAGTAGACGAGATAATTGCGACCTAGGCACTTTCTATAACTTCTCCTTATTAACCACCTCTAGGACTAGCCGATCCGGTGGAGCCTAGCGCCTAGCTAAAGTATCTACCACCGTCCTTATAATCTACGCGCTAAATACTATAGCGCGATTATTATGCGCCTTAATTAGATCTAACTAGACCTTAAATCGACCTATAGGCATCTATTTAATTAAGAAGTAGAATACCTTAGAGCTTAGAATTAGCGCGAAGATATCACTTTATACCTTATATAGACCTTCCACTAGCGCCGGCCTCTCTCTAAGCGCTTATTAAAATTCGTTAGGGTTAGGGTTAGGGTTAGGGTTAGGGTTAGGGTTAGGGTTAGGGTTAGGGTTAGGGTTAGGGTTAGGGTTAGGGTTAGGGTTAGGGTTAGGGTT